TCGTTTCCATTTTAAGATAAATATATGTTTTGCCTTTACTAAAGATTATTTTTATAATGCTATTTTATACTTGTTTTTAAAATATTATTTTACTACTATGTGAATCAAATAGATTCTAATTAATTCTATCTTATATTTTACTCATGTGTAGAGTACACATTTTACTGCAATTAAGTCGACGTTCTGTCAATGTACAACGCATTAAGAGTTGCTAAATTGGAAAAGTTTATAACATTATTCAATCTCTGAAAATATCATTTTTCTCGCAGACTAGATTCAATCATACGAAGTCGTTAGTCATTAAAGAAAAAAAGGTCATAAAGGATGAAATTTCTCCGCAATCAAGTTCTAATTCCATCCTTGTTATCAAGTCTTGGATAACTTCGTCTCACGCGTTCCCAATGATCGCAAACTTGAATCAGAGTATCTGCACGAATCTTGATAGAATTAAAGCTCGCTACAGTTGAATAACAACACATTCCCCGACGCATTATTATGCAAATAGATTTAAAATTTTTTAAAGTATGTCTATACGTGTTGAGCAAATTCGAAACACCAACACAATATATATATAATCTATGTAATTTTTACTATGATTAAACATAATTTTTTTGATTATAATTAAAAATAATATAATAAAAAAATCAATTATAAATTTCTTAAATTGCATAATATATTGTGCACTTAAAAGAAATTGATAATATATGTTTAATTATATTATTTTTGCAATAAACACAAAAGAGGAGAGAAAACAAGTATCCGATACACGCGGTGTCAAGCTCTTTCTGTTCATCGACATAATAGTACTTGGCTCGACTTGTGCCGTTCTTCTAGAAGGATTACGTAAAGCTCCATACAAAGCGTTGATATACGCTCTCGTGTTCCCGCATTAAAATCATTTCCTCTAATAAACCAGCGATTTTGCTTCTCTCATGAATTCTTATTGTCCGATAGAAGATTAACGTGTATGTAACGCTTTTGATATTCCTCCCCAATACAAATTTCAATCCAAACGTAATAGGAATTTCACCCTTTCATCCCTCTTTCATTCGTTATTCATTCGTGCACATTTTTCCTTATCAATTTAAATTTAAAAATGCAAAAGATCGCTAAATCCTTTCACAGGATATTTTGTCTGACAGTATCCTATATATATGTATGTATATATATATATATATATACACACACATATATACATATATATATATATATATATATATATATATAATTCTCGAACTATGGTCTTTTTATCAATATTCATTTCCTGTTTCATGTATCCACATGTTTTTTCGACTGTTGGACTCTTTTTTACGGATAACAAATAAATATCATTTTTTTTATTTGCGTAGCAGTTTAATAACTATAACTATGACGCTTTGCAATTTCAGAGAGAAAAAGTTTAAAAATGCGAAAACTGCTGTTATTTTTTACACTATAATGTACATGTGTATGTGTACGCGTGCCATGATCAAACAACGATGAAATCATTTCTCGCTTCGATAATTAATTTAGATATATAAAAACCGATAGGATTTTATTTCATTTTTTTTTATAAAGACAGACTTACAATTAGTTTTACATTTAATCAATATTTAAATAAATTCTCTCATGTGCCAAATCCATATTACTAACAAAAATCATGAAAAACCTTCGCAAAAATGACATAGTTCTTAACTTTCGTATTACGTCCTTCTAAATATTCAATAGCTGGTAATTATAATTCTTCGCGATTAATTCTGTGCGCATAAAATCTACATGTTTAAATAACCTTTTTGTATATTTTTACATCATTTCCGCGGATGTAATGTAATGTTACTCGTTTTGTTCGCGCATTTTTAAGATCCAAGTCGCTTTTTATCGGGGTCAGCGTGACTATACTAAAATCTGCCGACAATATTTGTTATTCATGGTCGATAATGGTTTATGTTTCTAAGCGAACACATTTCGCACACCCCAAGTTTTCCCTTCGCTCTCGAATATTCGCGACTTATATACACGGAGTGGCACTCCGAACGTGAAAAAAAGTGCTACACAGAGAGAAAAATCCTCGGTCTCTCGTCGCTACGTCGAACGAAATTTGCATGATAAAGCGAGTTAATTTTTTCGCCGCGACGCAAAATTAAAATCTCGCGGATGTCGCCGTAAAGAAAGTTCTTCGAAAAAAGAGGGAGAAATTTTCATGTATCGCGCATATATAAATTTTTTATATTTCCCGTTTTTCTCTCTCATGGCTTCGCGTTTTTCAGCTTTGTTTTTCCGTGAAAATGTCTTGTTATTACGCCGACTTTAATTAAGTCACCCGCGCTTACGTTTTTCAATCTCTCTCTTATATATCGGGATTTAATGTTCAACACGAAATCATTATCAATTATTGTCTGCAAAGAGAAAAAAACTGCGCGCGTTGAAGCTTCATCCTATTTGCGCACAAAAAATCCTTCAAGATCCTCTGCAGTTCTTATATATATGTAAAAAGTAGTAAAGGATAAAAATGTACTTGAAAGAAAAGAGTCTAACACGCAAACTGAAATTTTAAAAAGTAAAATGTCGCTGATAGTTATCGATCTCGCCCATTTATCATTTACAGACCTTTGGAAAGTACACCTTGAACACGTGTAAAATTTGATAAGTACTTTACGTCCCAAGAAAAAAATTTGTATATATAACAATATAAAATTATATAGAAATATATAAAATTATACATATAATCGCAAAATTATATATGAAATATATCCATACATAATTAAATAAAAGTGCTTTTTATATATAATTATATAAATTTATATATACAATAATAAATAAGTGTATTTCTTCATCTATATAAATATATATGTTTCATATATATTTATAATTCGACATGATTATATATGAGCCCTTATAATTATGTATAAAAATGGATATATTTCACATATAATTTTACGATTATATGTATAACTATACAATTATTTATATATAATTATATATAAACAATTTGTTCCCGGGGTTAGTTTCGCGCGCGCACGTATATACATATATAATATCGCGTTAGAAAATGCACGTATAAACGGCACACAAAATGTGACATAGAAATGTCCGACGTATAAACAGCTGCCGAAATTTGACAGGTCGTTTTACTGCCTTAAATATAGTCGGGATATCTCCTTACGTCATCGTCTATACTCGAGCACGTCGGAAATTCGTGGCGTTATACGAGCGTGAATCGCGATCGATGCGACACCGTCGGCTACGGATAGAAAAACAACGGTGGATTTGGATATTTCGACTCGATGGGCGGAACCGTGGATTCCGTTCGCGCTCCGCTCCAAGTATCGACCCGTGAAAGGCAGCCTCCAGCGACCTCAACCCCGTATAACTGCTACCTACCCTCTCGTCACGACATTGAAACACGAAGTTAGCATCTTTGAGTGTCTCTCTCTCTCTCTTTCTTTCTCTCCTCCCTCTCTTTCTCTCTATCTATCCTTCTTTCCCTCCTTCATAATTCAAAGTCCTTATCAAGGGCTTATGGAGGACGCTTCGAAACTTCAAAGAAACCGCTCGATTATCTTCGCTTTTCCCAGAGAGATCGCGTCGAATAAAAAAAAGAAAGATTGCAAATCTGGTTGTTGTACTATGTACGTTTAAAAAAATGTCTCGTTTGTTTCTTTGCTATAGCAAAAAAAAATAAAAATAATAATATATAATAAAATATAATAAAAAAATAATATAAAAAATATTATATAAATATTATTATTTTTAATGTATATAATAAATAATATCGTGTAATTTGTATAAAAAAGTACACACACGGTTAATTGAATATACTATATAAATAAGCTAACATAACACGACCACGTGTGTGCAATACAAACGAATTTATCTTGATCTAAGAAACGCTCATATCGCTAATATTTTATTCCTTATCTGGATATAAATTATAATTAAAATTAACACGCGTGTTTACAACTTTTTTTTATTATTCTATATTACTCTCCGACGTGTCGTTTTTATTATATATAGTTGAACAAGATCCCCCTTATATTTATACATATAGGTAATTATAAAACTCTAGAAAATTTTTCGCCTCACCGATTCAAGCAGGGCCACTCTTTTCATACGCTTATAATCGAGTTGGCAGCCGACCTGCGTGCTGAAAGTTTACAGGGTCAACCGTGATTATTGCGAGAAAAAGCCCCGGTTTTTCACGCCGCGAGGAGCGAACGTTATTACAACAGAGCGCTCAATTTCTGAAACAAGCGGTCTTTAATTAAAGCGTTAATTTCGCTCGACACAAGCGAAGAGCGACACGACACGGGGAATCGTACGTTTACGAAGTTACGATTAAACCATTAAAATGCACGCTGTTTTTGTTCCCCTGCAAAAACGTGATACCGTAAAACACTATAGCGATGCCAATGGAAGAAAATATCGGAATGGCTCTCTCTTTCTCGCGACATAGGCACATCAAAATAGGAAAAATGGGAATAGAAAAAATTTAAAAATGCAGATTTTTTTGTTGAAATCAACGAGGGAATAATTAATCTTCGCGTAAAAAAATGTACATTGACTCATAGATTTCCACATTTTTGCTAACAGTAAATATTATACGCGCGCGGTTTGTTCGTAGAAAAATTCATATAAATTAGAGTATCATAAATATGCAATCGTATTAAGCAAAAAAAAAATAAATAAAAATAAATACCAAGAATATTCATATACAGTGATATTATTTCCATCTCGATATACGAGATCGTTCTCTCTCTCTCTCTCTCCTTCTCTAGCTGCGTGGGAAATATTTTATGCGTATAAATTCCAGCGGAATTTTTCATCCGAGAAAAATATTAGAAATTTCTTGTCGAAAAACTGTCCAATGCGAAATTGGAGCGAGATGCGCTCGCGCGCACATAATTAATTAAAAATCTATCTGTCGAATATTTAACGAGCGTGTTCGGATCGAATAAGCTCCGACGAGCTTCGCCATCGTGGTTGTTAAAGCGAGCTCTAATTACCTCGACTTTCTGTTACAGGAATTTAACATTGCGAAGGAGCAACATGCGGTACAACCATCGACGACCGAATCGGGTAACCATAAATTCCCTTAATAGAACCGTATTCGCCACAAATCCTAGTTTAAGTCATACCGTAATTCAACTATAGCAAAGGAGCGAGCGGATTCTCTATTTCTCTCCGGTGCAATTTCTAAGAAATTGTGTATCCGTTTCCGGGAAGCGATGGTGAAACCATTAAACAAAATAGCGCTAAATTAACGTTATTTATATTATCCTTTGTTTCATCTCCGAAAATTAAATACACGAAATAAAATTCTCTTTCATCCACGGATTTTCAAAATGTAATATTCCCGCATTTCCATGATCCATGGATGGCATTCAGAGAGAAATAAGATTCTCTCTCGGTTCATTTTTCAAGGAATGCACGAGAGAATTCACGAGACCGCGTAATTGAGAAAAAGGCTGTCGGAAGTGATCTCCGGGTCGTTTATTACCGCCCGATAAGTTTTCATCCTGTTTTAATTCGTATTCTCCGTCTAAAGGCTTACCTCATCAGAGTCGCAGCTACCCGGGCGGCGGCGGTCGTACTCTGGCCAGGAACTCGTCCGTCAGCTCGCAGAGCTCGCTCGAGGGTGCGCCCTGTTCTTCCAGTCATCGCGGATCGTCGCCCCAGATCAGGGCCTTCGGCCCGGACGGCCGGCATCATGGTCGACACGATCCCTTGCACGCCGCCTCCTCGTATCCACCCAGCAGAAACTCGAGGTCGGTGAAAAAGGCGCCCCTGTCGTAGGAAAATATTTTTATTAAATTGTTACGGCGAAGTGTGAATAAAATTTTCAATGCTGCGATTATTCGGGATGTTGAGAGAAAAGGGTGAAATATTTTCAAGAGATTTAATATGCCCAAAAAGAAGTAAACTATCTGAATAAACCTGATAAAATAACTACTAGCTGTTATTTTTTTTTTTTTTGCAAATTAAAATATAAATTAGAAAAATAAAAAATATATATAAAAAAATTAAAATAAAAATATTTTAAAAATCGTTTCTTTGCTGACTCGTGTTTATTAAGATTTTTCGACTTGTTTTTGGATATATGAAATCCCTTTAAAATATTTTACCCTTTTTTTAACATCTCCTATATATCTATATTTGAAACAATACATGTATAATAGCTTAGATCTTTGAGCACATATATATAAATATTTACACAATTTATTTTTAAGTAATATATTGCAATAAAACAGTGCATTATAGCGAATTATCTTGGCGAAATATTTGCAAAATTAAATTTGAGAAAAAAATCACCTAATAAATGATAAATATATTGAATTTTATTATTTTTAAAATATATTTTATGAAATAAAAATAAATAAATATCTATTCTTAAAAAATGCACAATTAATCTGAAATTATAATTGATATAAATGATTGTGCATAATTATATCCCAAATTGAATAAATCAATTTTTTAGCAAATATCATTAAATTTTATTCTAAGAAAATCGCTGCGGTGGTGAAGTACTTAATGCAATCATAGAAATTGCTTCATTCTGTGATGTAATTATTGTATGATATTTGGATCGTTTTTCTGTGGGGGTCATTCTGCACTTTTTGCGCGGAAAATTCCGAGTAAGAAAAGACATCGTGGGAGCGTCGAGAATAAATTTTTGAAAACTTTACATAAGAGAATGCGGGGGAAGCAAAGAAGCTCTCTCTTCAAAAGCTTCGAGAAAATAGATAGCCTCTTTTTCCTTCTTTTAAACTTCGCATCGGTTTTTCCACGAGTTTGTTTGTGAAACTCCGGTTGACAGAATATGAATAATGAAATACCGTCGCGCACATTTATTCAAGTCACAAATACACGTATGCAAATGTCTAGTATGTCGTTTTATATAGCGTTGTTGTTGATTGTTCCATTCGAAGCTTTATTTAAATAAATGACAGCAGTCATTCAGCCTTCGTAATCGAGAAACTCCTCTTCTGCCGCGACTATTTTCATTTACAAATTTTTCAAATTTTTTTAAGGTCTCTCTCTCTTTGACTGTGTACGCAATTTGAAAAAAAAAAAAATCCTGAATATGCAGAATCTTTTGCGCAACGTCAACATTAGAATTTTTCCATTCTCTGACGTAGATGCGTAATTTGGAAATTTCCCACAGGTCTCCTTCGCCAGCCCGGGTGGCGTCCTTGGATGCACGTTGTGCAAGTCCTGCAAGTAACTCGAGCAGCCTGCATAGCGGAAATGCGTCGCCTTCGCAGACCTCTTTGTCGTCCGTGGCAACGGGCGTAAGTTCTACTTGCGGTTGTTCGCCGATGAATGCCATTCAAAGTACTTCCAGACAGACCGGTCGTTGCTTATCGCCTCTCCTCATCCCGCCGCCACGTGCTTCCATAAGGTATAACAATAGAATTCTCACGAATCGCAATCAGTCATGTCAAAAATATTTTTATCCAAATATATAGTTAGTAGCAGTTATTCTCGCGTAATTAAAGAGCTACTTATATATATTAAAATTCAGATAAATTAATTTATGGAATTAAAAAATTTATTTTATTAGAAATAAAAAAATACTATTAATTATAAACTAAATCATTTTTATAAAATTATACGTAAAATTCTTGATAATTATTTGCGATGTTATGTGTTTAGATGATTTTCAAATTATCGAGATAAAAATGAGATAAAAATATGGATAAATTTAAAATGATTTTGTTTTAAATATCTTTAGATAAAAGATAAAATTATATGACGATTCATCTAGATAATTTATAGAATTAAAAAATTTATTAGAAATAAAAAAATACGTATTAATTATAAACTAAATCATTTTTATAAAATTATACGTAAAATTCTTGATAATTATTTGCCATGTTATGTGTTTAGATAATTTTCAAATTATCGAGATAAAAATATGGATAAATTTATTTTAGATAAGATGAAAATGATTTTGTTTTAAATATCTTTAGATAAAAGATAAAATTATATGACGATTCATCTAGATAATTTATAGAATTAAAAAATTTATTAGAAATAAAAAAATACGTATTAATTATAAACTAAATCATTTTTATAAAATTATACGTAAAATTCTTGATAATTATTTGCGATGTTATGTGTTTAGATGATTTTCAAATTATCGAGATAAAAATGAGATGAAAATATGTATAAATTTAAAATGATTTTGTTTTAAATATCTTTACATAAAAGATAAAATTATATGACGATTCATCTAGATAATTTCATCGGATAATATTATTTGTAGGACTGCTTATGTAAACACAGTTATAAAAAAATATAAATTACAAAAGGGATATAAAAATATATTATACTATTTAAATATAATATATAAATATAATATTTAATAATATTATTGTGCTATGATTCTAAACCAAGTTATCTGAATATCATTATTCTATAATAGATAATTTAATAAAAATAACACTTTTTCATCTAAGATACACAGATATAGATAATACATATTTTTATTATCTATATAAAAATACGACGACACCAATTTCATCTAGATGATTATCTATACAATTTTATTTAGATAACAGCAAACACTGCTTATTTGAAAATATTCTTTCTAAGATTAGCAAAGACACTTTTATTTACATCGTGATTGATAATAAAAGATATTAATTAGCAAGAAGTCGCGTATATATAAATTCTTCTCGGATCATTTTATTGTCGAATATTTAGCTTTTCTCGAACCTTTTCATCCCCTTACGGGGATTGCAATTCTCTTATTTTTTATTTTTCTACAGTAGCGACGGTGGGCCGATACCGCCTGCTTCTCCACTCGGTTCTTTACAACCGGATCTCTATCAAAGACGAGACGGTCCTGTCTTTCTCAGCGCTCGCAGGTACATAATAAAACTTTGCTAATAAAACTTCCCTCTGATAAAGCGCCAGATCTTAAGTTGCTTAACTTGCTCCTGTGCTGCGCCGAAGAAAGCACTCGATTATTGCTATATATATATACAAGATAAACGTATCTGTACATCTGCGTGCGATAAATCGCAGGACAGGGAAGCACTTGGGCAGGCTTCATCTGCGCCTGAGATACGACTTCGATAAATCGGACTTGGATGTGCACCTGATCGAGGCCCACGATCTCGCCGGTAGCGATCAGGGTGGTTTTAACGATCCCTACGTGAAGCTGAGCCTCAGCCCGGAAGTGGACAGCAGGAAGAGGCAGACGCAGATCCATCGAAATGATCCGAATCCGTTTTTCGATCAGCACTTCAAGTTTCCCGTCAGCTACGAGGAGCTGCAGGAGAAGACTCTAGTCTTGCAGGCAATTATATTTCACGTCAAAGCGATTCCCGAATTCGATCGTTCAAATAATAATATACACTGAAAAATACATGGAAATTACTTATTTAGTACTGGAAAAATTACTTGACCATTATTGTAATTTTTTTCTATATTTTTTTAAGTGAAAATATATATTAATGTAAATATGCATGTAAAATATAGGTAAAATTATTATTTTTATGCAAAAATCATATGTGGAATTTTAAATTTACTATTAGAACTTTATTTATTCATTTTATTTATAACATTATTTTATCACGTATATACATTACTAGAATTTCCTATGTGTAATTCCATGTTCAGTGGAATATTTTTCATCTTGAAAATATATAAAAATATATTTCATATGAAATTACATCCAATCTGTAATCTTCCATATAAATAGCAATATTGCATGATTATACTGGGTCGAAAAAAGACCCAGCACAATCATGTAATTTTACACAAACATTTTTTTCAGTATATGATGATAATATTAACGACGTGATATTAATCAGGTATTCGATTACGATCGCTTCTCGAGGAACGACGTGGTGGGTTCGCTGAGGGTGGCGATGGACAGCCTAGAACTGGTCTCCTCTACTTCCCCGGTGGAGGTCTTTGGTGAAATAGCGAGAGAGCGCAAACCGCCGGAAGAGATTCAAGAGGTCTTGGTTTCGTTGTCTTACTTACCGAGCGCCGAGAGGCTCACGGTACTCATGATGAAGGCGAGAAATCTGTTTCCCCAACAGGTAGGCTATGGCCGGGGTGCATATTTTTATATTGCGTCGACAGCAATAAGAGTTTTCTTCTCTCTCTCTCCATTTGCTCCCCATGTTCGCCCCTTCTTGCCTGGAAAATATAAAGAATAGTCTCCGTTTTATTTACTTCCGGCTAAATAAAAATATTTTTCAATTAATAAGATTTATATATATATATATATATATATATATATATATATTTAAATTTATTTTTCTATTATATATGTATACAGAGTGTATTTAAATAAGTGCGAAAAATTTTAGGAGATAATTCTTTGTCAAAAATTAAGGGGAATTTCTTATATAAACATATACTCTTATATCCCTCCCTGAAGAGTCACACTTTGCTAAAGAGGGAGGTAAAAATTAAGTATTTATTTTTTTTAATATTGATAAATAATATTGTATATTTTAATTAATGCGGCGCAGGATAAGGAGACCTTGGATCCTTTCGCGAAAGTCAGCCTACTTTGCGGCGAAAGGCGAGTAAGAAAAAAGAAGAAAACAGCTGTTAGGAGAGCGACTATGAATCCTGTTTGGAACGAAGCGATGTCATTCAACGTACCTGCCTCGTCTTTAGCCTCGTCAGCTATAGAGGTATCTAATCTCTTTTTTAAGACTAAAAATTGCACAAGTAATTTATTTAGAAACAATTTTTCCTCAGCAAAAATGTTGAGGTGTCAATAATTTTCGAATTGTAAGCGATTGAAAATGAAGGGTTCTTCGCAAACTAAACCTTGTGAAAATAAAATATTAACAAAATATTAACACAAAACATTATTAATAAAATATTAATAAAATATTAACACATTCTTCAGTTAATTTCAGGTAGAGTTTACTTTAGTAGAATTTTAATTGAACGTTTACAAGTTTTACAAAGATACATGATGGTAAAAATTTGGAACATACAAAAAATGACGACCTTCCGTAGATAAAGATAAAATTATATGGCGATTCATCTAGATAATAATTTTTAAGACTGCTTATGTAAACACAGTTATAAAAAAAATGTAAATTACAAAAGGGATATGAAAATATATGTATTCATATTTTTATTTATAAATTTTTATCGCTTATTGCTTAAGTTCTACTATTTAAGCATTTTTGTGCTATGATTCTAAACCAAAATTATCTGAAAATTATTCTAGATAATTTAGTAAAGATAATACTTTTCTTCTAAGATGCAGATATAGATAACATTTTCATTATCTATATAAAGATAAAATAAAAGTTTCAATATAATTTTATTTAGATAGCAGCAAACACTGATGGGACCATATGTAAATTGAACAAGAAAAAAGGACTAAAAAATTTAACACGCTTTTTATTCGTTAGGCTCAGTAAATAATAATTAAAGAGTAACAAATGGGCAAAAAGCACCATATTTTGGTGTAAAGTTGTAATAAAACATAAACAGCAATCAGTTGTCAAACGTTTCGGTTATTATTTAACCATCTTCAGTGACAAACTAAAATACAATAATTGACATTAACAAATAATCGGATAAAGAAGAATAATTAATTCACCTTTAGAACAACAGTGACATCAGTCAAAAACAACGATCTATGTCGACACATTAAACGGAATTAAAGTGAAAACAATGATATTTAAACAATTATATTTCGAGGCAGCGACAAAACTAGAAGAGAGTGAAAAGGGAGAGAGAAAGGAAAAAGAAAAAAGAGAGAAGGAAAACGGGTAAAATGAAAAGATTGATAATTGAGGAGTCAGGGAAAAGTTCAGTGTCACTCTGTTGAAAAAAATTGAATGAATCACGTCTGTGTCTAGATATGCGTGCTGGACTCGAGCAGCGAGCTGATGAGCGGAAACGCCATCGTCGGCTCCTGCATCATCGGTCCAGCCACAGGTACGGACAGCAGCCAGGGACGAGAGCACTGGCTCCAGATGACGCAGTCACCGAGGAAGCAGATCGCGGAGTGGCACACGTTACATTAATCAAACGAGAGCCTGCGTTCGATCGCCCTCAAACGTAATTCGCGTGTCCTCGTTTATTCGAGGGAAATCGACAATCTATCGTCGTAACGACGGATAGTCGAATAGTATATATAAATATCACGAATAATATACCTGCACCTACACCACGAAATACGTACCTAGCGATATTGCATGTAAAATGGCAAGGAACAACGTGTATTTCCTATATCCCTTTCGAAAAAGAAAAACATAAGAAAAGATGACGATGACCTATTAAAAAAAAAAAAGAAACCGTATTCTTCTGCACTTTTATATAGGTATTGTATTAATGGCCGTTGAAGATTTTTGTGACATATCGTTTGGAATTCGGTGTCGATGCGCGAGAAAAAGAAAGGAAGAAAAAAAAGTGGGAAAGAAAAATATTATCGTAAATATATTCTCTTCGTATAATAATAATAATAATAATAATAATAATAATAATAATAATAATAATAATAATAATAATAATATACCACTGCACTAAAACTGACTCCAGGCACACGCACCCGCATTTCCGTTCGTTGCACAATGCATTACTTGACGCATTATATACATATAATATGCGCGAGATCCAACTGTATATTTCTTAATTTTTGGAGATGCCTCGAGACGAGATTTAGATGTATGTATTTTTAAAATAATAATATATAATAATCGCGCTCTGAGATATTTTATCGCGGACTTATTACTTCTCTCCGAAAAGCGAAGCTATTTAACGTGTGGGAAGGGAAACGTGAATCCATAAAGCTGTGAAGCAAAAGCGGAGACCGATCTCGCGCGTTTCGCTTAACAGATCAATAATTAAACGTACAAACTAATATTTTAAGAATCCAAAAGATCGTCTCGAAGAGACGATTCTTATCAATTTCTCCGAGTAAGCTGATCGAAAATCTGTTCCACCCTCGGTGAAAAGGAGCTATTTTCTCTCAGGTTTATTCCGTATATACATATATTTCTCTGATATAATTATGCTTCTTCGCGAGAGAAAGAGAGAGACGGAAAGAGAGAAGACGAAAAAAAGAATCATATATTAATAAAAAGAAAAGAGCCTAAGTCTATCGTTGTCTGTGACAAATGTGGCCTGGAAGAGCATTCAAAGTGCGCCATGCCTATATACATAGCTTGCAGGCTAATCAAAAAGATCTATAAAACAATATCTCCGCAAACGAGCATGCTAATCGCGAAAATTGATTGTCGTTGTCGCTATGTATTGTCGAATGTATAATTCATGTGCTAAATAAAGTGGAACATGATGCGCGCGTAAAGAGAAATCGAGCGTGATATGTCCTTTCGCTCGTTTTAACACGTCGAACACGATTACGATAATTGGCAATGAAATTTATTTATTACACATTAACACACAACGAGATATCCTCCTTACTAAACAAATTTATATATATATAAATTTATTTCTTTTATATACTATACTATATATATATATATTGTAACGGAAAATTAAGTCTGATCTCTTTAAGCGAATTAAGAGAATTACAAGTTAACAACTCTATATTTCGACCAAAATTCACCATATCAATAATTTATAGTTTTCATTGTCGGTTCTATTTCTTCTATACGTTTAAATATCGAAATATAATAAGCCTGCCGGTTGTCAAAGGATTTAATCGTATGCATGTATGTACGATCGTGTACATCTATAAGTATCTGTGGTTTGTCAGCTAAAATTGCATTGTCGTGACCCAATTATTGAAAAGAAAGAATTAAATGTTAATGAGAACATTAAGTATATATAAAATAAAATATTATATATATATATATATATATTTATAAATATATAATAAATATTATATATATATAAATATATATAAATATAAATTTAAATATATATATATATATATATATATATATATATATAATATGTATATTGCTGCAGCTTTGGATTTCGTCCCGTTTCCAGGAAATCATCGTCAAGGGTGACTATTGTCATAAAACAATCTTTTGAGCACCCCCATGATCTCTCGGAAATACTCAGGGGATGAAACCCAGAGACGTGAGAATACATATAAAATTATATATGTATATATACATATATATATATATATATATAATATTGTAATTATATATATAATTATATATATAATTTTAATAATTTTATATATAATTATATATATAAAGAGAGAAAAATCTCTAAAGATTTAAAAGAAACGCTTCGCTACATGGAAGCGTAGTCCGAATCGTACGCTTAAAACTTATATATATATTTAAACAGTATTTCTATTATTCTATATATAATTAATATATACTACGAGAAAAAGATATAGTAGAGTTAGAGAGGCATCTTATGCGACTGTAAAAATGGATATCGATAATAGTTTTATTTACACTGATAAAGTTAGAAGCAAACTTTGGAGCGAAGAAAAGCGAAATTTCCCTTTTTCAATAATTAATCATCAAACCCGAAAGAGTAATCAATCGCAGCATGTGGTATTAATTGGCCCATAAAATAATTTAAAACCGCAAAACGTAATGTATTTGTATTAAAATGTGAGGAAAAGTCTCAATCTGCAATGCTTTATGAAATAAAGATTAGATAATGAAAGAGAAAAACGCGATTTGCGGTAAAATTAAAATTAATAAACGTCAATTCTGAAATAAAAAAATGATTAGCGTCACATAAAAAAAAATTATAATAAAAGTATATTATTGATTTTTCCGTTTTTTCAGTCGCACTCTATTAATATATAAATATATACATTTTCTTGACAAAAATGTTCTTATATATACATATATATACACATATATATATATGTTCACCGTCGTACAATCATCTTGGGTGTCTGCTGAAACTGTACTTTCGATATGTATTCTATATTCCTACACCACGTTCAACAAAGAGAATTCTTTATAAAGTATATACTTACACAAATGTTCTCGTTATATAAAGAGCTCAATTTTTCGAAGCTTATGTCAAATTATATTTATACCGAATGAAAAATTAAACTCGACTTGTTTGACGTGTATGCTGAAAATTTAAAACTGTTCACCGATGAAAAAAAAACTGATGTCGCGACACATCGGGTTGTTTTACCAGAACCAGCACGAGTTGTTATATTTTTTATGTGAAATGAAAAGAAAACTCGTTCGTGGTTCTTCAATCAATAGACACACCTATTGATGGACCTGAATTTGCCTTGCATTATACGGTATACCAAGAAGAGCCTCACTTAAATATCTTAATTAAACATGAGATTTAAAAAGTGAAAAAGGTGACGTTTGTCCTGCCAATAATAAGGATAAGAAGGAGCGTTTTATCTTATCTCTTGTGTCGTGATTTTAAAGTAAGGCAGAAAAGGACGCTTTCGCTGCGACGGGTTTTGAAGAGTTTTTAAAAAATAAGTCTCTCGTTTCCGTATACATACACACCGCGAAGAATAAGTAATGTATTCTAAATGTGATGTGTAATTAATATTTTCTTGTAATGTATTCTCGATCCAATCATAATTGCATCTAAAATAAAGAGTTATTTACATCAGAAATCCGATGTATATTTTATATATCCAATAGATTTCGTAGATCTTGCATTTGCAATTTATAAAATATTTATAAATATATATTCCCGAATCATTTTTTCCACATATTTTATTATATATATATATTTTATACATTTGTACTATAAATTAATATATACATTATGTTTCATACTGTAACATGTATCACAAATGACCAACTTCTACATATATGTATGTATATATATATTTTATAAGTATATGTATATTTAAGTATATATATATATAATGTATAAATATATAATATATATAAAACATATATATGTTATATATAAATACATGTATACCTATATAATATATATATATGTGTATAATGTATGTATGTATGTATATATATGTATAACACACATATGTTTGTATATACATATATATATATATATATATATATATGTATATATATATATATATATATATATATATATATATATATAAGTAGTGCTTTCTTCTAAAACAAATTTAACGAGTACTCTCAGTTTGAACTCAAAAAAAAAAACATCTCCAAAGAATGTATAAGCAAATTTAAATAAGTACTGGTAGTGTCTCTTCTCATATGAACTTTCCAAATGTTTAAGAGGTACGCGTACCTCCGCGCGTACCCCCTGAAAAAGAAACACTGAATAAAAGTATATATTCTTTTATATATATGCACATATATATAAGTATATATATTTTTTCAAATGATAGTATTTATATACAAGTTATTGAAACAAAATCTTTCTTCCTATAAGTATCAATTATAAAAACTTTGAATTCACATTTGTCGTTAATTTATCTGTTTCTGCAATATCGACAAAACTTTTTGAACCCTTTTGCCGAACAGAAAGAGTTATACTTGCGCTATTTTCATTTTCATGCCATTTTGCTTTTAATAATACGCTACATCCTTTACCTATTAAACAAAAATGTTAGAACAATTGTACAACATTTAAACGAGACTATATATATATATATATATAAATTAATTAATTACCAAGCTGCCCACGTTCGTGAGCCGCTGCTAATTGATTAACAACACGCCTTTCCACTTCGTACTTAATGGAACGGGCACCATAATGGACATCGTACCCATCTGCTAATATCGATAGGATCTCTCTTTCCCACTTTAACTCAATCGTGTGCCTTTCTTTTGCACGCGTAGCCCACGCTTCCAATTCCCGGGTAACTAATTTTACCAATTCTGCTCGGGAAAATGGTAAAAAGTAAACTATTTCATTTATTCTTCCCAGAAACTCGTCTCTCCGAAAATGAGCTTTTAGTATCGGACGTACCTGTGAGGCGATTTTATCATGATAATATTATTTTCTGATTTTTTTATGCTTTGATCAAGTCATCTTTTGCTTTTATTTCTAGTACATACCACTTGATCCTTAAAATTACGAGATATCTCAATACGTTCTGGTTCTTGATCTTCATGAGTATTGCTCAATCTATGATTTAATAATCTTTCAGATTCTGCTCTAAGCTGCATTGCATGCTCCGCAATTACTTCGCTTCCTAAATTTGATGTCATTACAAAAATAGCTTTCTTGCATTCGATTGTCTTTCCTTTACCATCAGTCAGTCTTCCCTTAAAAATAATGATTTATTTAAAAATACTATAAGAATAGACAAATGTGTTTAAGTAGTAAATAAATACTTCATCAAAGAGTTGTAGCAAAATAGTCAAAACATCGGGGTGAGCTTTATCAACTTCATCGAAAAGTACAACAGCAGAAGGATACTTTCTTAAAAGTTTTGTTAGTTGTCCTCCATCATCATGTCCCACATATCTAGATAATAAATTTTATAATTACAGTACTCTAAATGTAACATGCAAATTTAAAACTTTTTTGAGACAAATCTTTTTTTAATTGGAAAACGATTAAACTAAAATTATAACATTTATAATAATAATAATATAGATTGTACCCTGGTGGTGCTCCGATTAATTTTGCAACCTCATGTTTTTCCTGATATTCAGACATATCTAATCGAATAAAACTGTCTCGTTTATCTTTGTGAATATAAGCAGCTAATTGCTTAGCTAATTCCGTCTTGCCAATGCCTGATGAACCCAAGAAAAGAAATACTAGTGGATGTTCCTCATCTATCCAACCATTTTCTTTCCTTCTAATAGCTAATAATATTAGAAAATATAATTTACAATAAATCTTTTAATTAAAAAAAAACATTCATAATAAAAATTATCAGTTAATCTTACTAGATGCAACAATAGAAATTGGTCCCTCCTGTCCAACAATATGTTGCTTTAAACGTTGTTCCAATGGAAATCGACGACGTTCCTCCGCTTCCTAAGCCAGATATTCTTGTTTATATGTATTATGCAAATTATATTCTGTTTTCATGTAATCTTATGTACATAAGTCGTGTATAATTAAAAGAAAATAATTTCATATACCTTCCCTTTTACTATTTCATCGTATTTAATAGCATGTTTAATAAGCATTTCTTTAATTTCTCCCCCTGTAGCATATTCAACTGCTCGATGTCCACCTTCATTTTCTATAGTTGGGTTTGCTCCACCATCTAATAATGTTTTCACACATATTTTTGAATCGGCCAATACAGCATAATGCAGTGCTGTAAAACCTTGAAACGTGGCCCGATTATTTAGTCGATCAGAAAATTCTTCCTCTCTCTTCATAAGGACTGAAAATAAAATCAATTATTAATAAGTTCTATATATATATCACACATATTAGAGACATATATTCTTGAACTTTATTTATAAAAAATTAAATGTATGAAATATTAAATAATACAGAATATAAATACCATCCAAAGAATGTAATCCCATTTCCATGGCGGTTCTATATACATTAATAAAATTATCTCCTGCATTTACATCGGCACCATTCTGTAATAGAATTTTAATGACTTCTTCTTTTTGATTAATAGCAGCAGTATGCAATGCTGTCCAACCCAATGGGTGTCTTGTGTTTACATCAATGCCATCTATTATAGCCTGAAACATACCGTATCGTCAATACCTTCTCCTTTTTTGAAGATCAACTTTGTTAGCCGTAAAAAAAAAATAAGAAAAGTTTCTAGTAGAAATTATAATTAAAAATCATTCAAGTTGTATAGTAATTTAAGATATATAGTAACTTTATATACATCTCTTCTTAATTTTACATTTTTATCAGAAATCTTACCTTTTTTAATTCAGAAATATTACCGTATTGAGCAGCACGAAAAATCTCTTTTCTGTAAATAATTATCCATTCATACTAGTGTGATATAACTTTTCACACATCTATATACATTAGAATTTGCTCAAGTTAAATACTTACCTGCTAAATTTGGAGCATCGCAGAAAGCCACTATAAATCCAAGACCGCTTAAAAGCAATCCAAGATGTTTATAATGTCTTCTGTGTTTCTTGTTGTCATATTTTCTGTATTCTTCCTTCGTTGACAGTTTCACGGGACGATATTCAAAAAATACTCTGTCCAACAATTTGTATAGTGGAAAAAAGATCCTCAGTTGTGAGCAATACTGAGTGTAACCTCTCTGACACGTGACACTGTCAAACCGATCACCGAATCTTGGATAAAATCGGCTGAAGCTCGTCGGCGGATTTCTCGTTTTGGTATTTCTCATTATAAACGAGCATAATTTCATCACGTGTAATCGTGACATTTCGATCTGTTAATTTTCTCGCCGCGCGTTTTTTTCCTGCCAAGTTTGTAAATGTCACCACGCGACGACGCGAATCGATTTCGGATTACTACGACGGATAGTTGCTATAACGACACAACGTGGCTTTATTTTGCATCGATTTATTATGTTTACGCGATCCGCAAAACTCGAGACACAACCGGAATCAAGCCATAAAATTTTTACAGCGTGTTACAAAGAATCTCTATATCGACCAAGGAACGATTCCTGTTGAAAATACAGACGAATATTTCGTCAGAAAAGTTTTAATTTTTATTTTTTTATTTTTGACATTTTAATGTTTTTTAATATTTGACATTTTATATGTAATAATATATATGAGGAAACTGTCTAATATGTATATATAGGTGTATATATATATGTAATAAAATGCGAAATGTAATTATATATAAATATATATATATATATATATATATGTGTGTGTGTGGTGTGTGTGTTCTTTTTACTATATGAAACTAATATATTAGTTTTTAGTTTAAAAATTAAAACACATTGCATCCCTTATAATTTTCAAAATACACAATAAAAAAAGAAATCTACCTGCGAGAATCCTGCAGACTCGGCAAATGTTCGACTCGAAAAAATAAGCAAGGACTCCTAAGATCCTCGGTGTCTCAGCGCCAATTGCGACGTCTTTTTGAAAAAATTCAAACAATATCGCACTTGGACTCGTATAAAGTACTATAAAGAGAGGTATATAATTTCGCAATTAGTCAGGAGACTTATCTCGATCAGCGAGTTGGCAGGATCGATCGCGTTCGATGTTTCGAGAAGTCGGGTTCCGGCGACCAATCGCCGCGCTTTCCAGAATATTCCAGGCTTGGCGGCGCGCCAATCGGCGCGCGCCCGTGATTGGTCGGTTTTGAAGCGGCCCGCAGCGCAGCAGAAGTCAGTCAGTGTCGGACGGAGAGCGAGAGCACTTCTTTCGGAGCAACGCGCGCGCGAGTGTGTACACACACACATATACATACAATAAATAGACCCACGTCTATCTCGAGGCTAACTTCAGTCGCTTCTCGTCGTGTCGTCGCGCGAGAGACTCATCCGAAGTAGCTGTCAGCTGGTGCGCGAGAGAGAATCCTCGAGGAAGACTAGCTCCGCTGCTGCCGGGAGTTTCTCTGTCTCTCTCTCTCTTTCTCGCCCACTCTCTCTCTCTCTCGCTCGCTCTTGAGTGCGGTCACAGAGAGGAAGTGTCCGATTGTTCGAGGCTTCCCCCCACAGAGCCATGGCTGCGATGTCCGTGATCGGGATCGACTTTGGGAACGAAAACTGTTATGTGGCCGTGGCGCGAGCCGGTGGCATCGAGACTATAGCGAACGACTACAGTCTTCGGAATACACCGTGAGTCAGTTCGCCTCTTCCTTCTCGCCTTCTCCTCCCTGGCTTTTCCTAGTCATGCTCTCGCCAAGGATACCGGTATCGCCGGTCTCCCGCGACCTTGGCGCGATTTCTTACGTCAATGTGTGACTGATTCAAGAAAAATTATGATTTCTGTCGCTTCTTATATCGCTCTTTCTCATTCTCTCTTTGTATTTCGAACTTTCTGGAAAAAATAACCTGATTCGGTTTTCTGCAAAAAACTTACTGCAAAAAAAACTTTTACGAGTTTATATACGTGTGTATGTGTCGCGAAAAAGCAGAATCATCTCGATCCCACGTGGAGCCGGAATTCCAATCTCGAAATTAATACGCTCTGTAACTCCCTGGTAATAAAATATTCTAGTGGAAAATAACAGGCTGAAATATATGTGCGCGGTATAAATCGACACGTTTGCGTGGATTATCGTCCTCTAGGGAGAACGTCGATCGCATTACCATTTACAGGCATCTCATTACCGGAATACTTGCATGTGTGCGTGCGTTCACGTGTTTTCAGAGCATCCCAAAAAGTCGCGCTTCACACGCTTTCTTTGCCTCTCTTTTGGAATTGTCACTATGCTTATATTTATCCTTTACTGCAGTCGTTTACAGGTGATACGTGATTCCTTCGTTAGGAATTAATTACAACACACATTTTATTTATTTTATATATACTATATCTATTATGTATATATTTTTATATATATTTTTTATTTTATATATACTATATTTATTTTATATACATATGTACACATATATTAATATATATTGAGAAACAAAAGGGAAAGGAAAAAATATATGTACCATAAAAATTCTTTTTGCCAAATTCTTAGCAATTTTCGCAATTGCTCGCTAACATCTTCCATCAATTTCTCTTATAACATTTATATATGTTTTTTACGCATTGCAATATATATTACATGATTTGAAAAAAAGATTTAATTTTATATGATTTTGCATTATGTTGATAATAATGTGGATAAAAAACAGAGCATTAAAGTTTTTCATATCCTTGAATGTTTTTATGTATATAAATAATAATATGTAATAGTAATAATACTAATGTAATAGATAATATATGTATTATGTGATTGAACTTGTATCACAAATTAGATAAATAAGTTGTATCACATGGCCTTCATTTAACCAAACATAGGCTAGGTTAAGGAAATCTTAGAGTTTTCTAGAAGCACATATATATAACATACATACACACACATATATATGTATACCTATATAACTCTGTGATAATTACATTATATAATGTGAAATAAACTGAAATATAAATAGTTATATAAATTTTAACTGATATATATGTATATATAAAATTACTTATGTAAGTAATGTGTCATTGTAATAAAAAATTGTATTATGACTTCTAGATCATGTGTGGCATTCAGTGGAAAAAATCGAATACTTGGAGTCGCAGCCAAGAATCAAATGGTAACCAATGTGAAAAATACCATCCATGGTTTCAAAAGACTATTAGGTAGAAAATACAATGACCCGCAAGTTCAATCCGAGTTACGGTTTCTTCCCTACAAAATATCTCCGCAGGCTGATGGAAACATTGGCATACATGTAAGTATTATATCAAGCATTAAAAGTGATCTCGTGAATTTCTATCACTCTGATGCTGTTTATAAAATTATTTGAGATTATATATGTTTATAAATAATAGAAAATATGAAAATGAGAGAGAGATAGATTATTCATTATACAGTTTACGTTTATTCTTTTATACATAAAATGCATTTGCATGGAAACAAAAAGAGAAACAGAAACACTTGTGATAGAAGTTTGTTTAATATTTTAATAATTATAATTTCTTTTCTATATAATTCAATGATCAAAATTCAAGAACAAGGTTCTAGGCAATTTGCCAAGATTGTCATTTCTGGAAAGACTCATCTTATTTATATCTTTTTGAATGATTCATACACATTAATATTACTTACTTAAGTTATCTGGATTAAATATGCATTACCAAATAAGTACATTTAAATATTAATTTCTCTATATTTTATTAAAAATTGTCTCAACATCTTTATCTTTTAGGTACAATACTTGGGAGAAGAGCAAGTTTTTTCACCAGAACAGATTGCAGCTATGCTTTTTACAAAGTTGAAAGATATTTCTGAAACAGCTCTACAAACTGCTGTTAACGATTGTGTCATATCAGTTCCTTCGTATTTTACTCAAGCTGAACGTCAAGCTTTACTTGATGCTGTTAGGATTGCGGGCCTCAATGTTTTAAGATTATTTAACGAGACCACTGCTACTGCTCTTTGTTATGGTATTTATAAGCAGGACTTGCCATCAACAGATGCAGCTCCTAGAAATATTGTTTTTGTGGATTGCGGCAACGCTAGCTTGCAAGTGAGCGTTTGTGCCTTTCATAAAGGAAAACTTAAGGTTGGTATATTTTAATAACAACAATTTTTTAGTATAAAAAATTACTCTATATGTTAGATGTTGACAAAAACGCGCAATAATCATCATTTTTTTGCTATATTAAAGATGTTGGCAAGTGCAGCTGATAGTCAATTTGGTGGAAGAAATATCGACATTATTCTAGCGGAACACTTCGTTAAAGAATTTAAAACGCGATACAACATTGACGCACACACCAATCCGCGAGCGTACTTAAGATTATTGGCAGAAGTCGAGAAACTGAAGAAACAAATGTCGGCCAATTCGACCACCCTTCATCTAAATATCGAATGCTTTATGGACGATAAGGATGTACACGGCGAGATGAAACGTAGCGATATGGAAGCGCTGTGCGCTCATTTATTTGAACGCGTCGAGAAAATGCTGAAGCAATGTCTATTAGATTCGAGTAAGTTTTAGCGAATAATGAATTTATTTTTCAAATGCGCAATGTACAGAGTGTCCCATAGGAAATTGCTGAAACTAATCAGCTGTCATTTTTTAATGCATGCGGTTATTGAGAAAACAAAAATTGTATATTTGAAAAGAGGAAAGTCTGCAGTTTTTAACGGATATAAATAAAATGTTTGTATACCAGTTTATTTTATTGATAAAAAGTAATGAAAAAAGTGCTAATAATCACAAAATTACATAAACTAATGATAAATATTTTCAACAGTGCCAGATTTAATAGCAGCTATTAATAGAATCGTCAATAACATTAAAAATGACATGTTAAAACAAGTTTTTACGAGTAAAAGAACAGAATTTTGTACAAATTCAAATAATGCGCACTTCGAAAATATTTATTATTAGTTTGCATATGTGATTACTAGCATTTTTTTAAATAAAATAAATTAGTATATAAACATTTTATTTATATCCATTAAAAACTGTAGACTTTCCTCGTTTCAACACAATTTTTGTTTTCTAAATAACTACATGCATTAAAAAATGACAGCTGTTTAGTTTCAGCAATTTCCTATGGGACCTCCTGTACTAGCCACATTAATCTTGTATATTAAAGAGAAAATGTTTATTAGAATTGAAGGTAGAAGATATTCATTCGGTCGAGATTGTGGGAGGATCGAGCCGCGTCCCTGCTATCAAACGTTTAGTCGAGGAAGTCTTTGGTCGACCGATATCGACGACTCTGAATCAGGACGAAGCGGTTTCTCGTGGTTGCGCATTGCAATGCGCTATGCTTAGCCCTGCTGTACGCGTTCGTGACTTTGCGGTTACGGATATACAACCATATCCTCTAAAACTAACATGGGATGCAACTCAAGGCGAAGAAGGGTATGTATGATCGCATAATTCTTGTTTTTTATTTTGTGTTATCATCAAGGTTGGATAATAATTAACTAGTTAAAAGTTAAATAAAAAAGTTAAAAATTAATAACTTTAGCTTTATTACTTTAAAATGAGTTAATTTTCAACTTTGATTTTTAAACTTAATTGTCAACTAATTATTTTTCAATTTAAACTTATTAACTATTTTCCTAGTTAAACATTTTTTTCATCTCTGAATGTCATTAGACAATAATTAAATTTTTGATAACAATTAATTTTAATAAAAACATTCTATGATATATATTATATTTTATTTTTTTCATAATTGTAATTACAAAGAAAAAATACATTTCTATGTAAAAGACAATATTTTTTTGTTATTTTATATAAATTTTAAAAAATTAACAAATAAAGTATTAAATTAAAAATTTTTAAGTTATGACATTTTCATTTTAATATAAATATTAATGTTTTTAACTGAATTAATTTTTTGTTTATGCAACTTTTAACATAACTAAATTAATTTTATAAACCATTAATTTTAACTTAATTAAAAAAATAATTAACTTATCCAACCATTAATAAAAATCGAATGTTTTTTCAACTTTGTTTAATGTTTCAGTGAAATGGAAGTATTTGGGCATAATCATCCTGTACCATTCTCCAAGATGTTGACGTTCTATCGTTTGAATCCATTTATACTTACTGCTAGTTACAGTACACCACCTCCATCATATCCTCAATCACACATTGGTATGAAGATTTATTCTTTTGCTTATTTTATTTTAAAATAATTATTTCATCTGTAAAGATTGAAAGAAAACAATGAAAAATATGTCACATACACATGTATTTAAAATAGTGTCATATATGGTTAATTTATATTTGTCTTGTATCTGTTATATGTAGGAACATTCACAATAAAGAATGTAAAAGCTACGCCAGAAGGAGAATCAGCGAAAGTTAAGGTGAAGGTAAGAGTGAATTTGAACGGTATTTTGACTGTTGCATCGGCATCGCTTATCGAGAAACGTGAGGCGACTCAACAAGAAAAAGAAGAAGAAGAAGCACAACAGCAGCAACAACAACAACAGAATAATATGGATATCGATTCGGATAAAAAAGATAAATCCGATCAAGACGCGCAGGCTAATGAACCCCCAGCTCCAGAGGTTTGTAGTTTTATTATAATATCCTACAAATTGGACAAAGGTTTAATGATAACGTTATATCATAATATCGTGACTCATTTGATTTATTAGAAAATATTACATCACAATATATAGAGTATGCAAAATTTGGAAATTCTATGCTGATGCGCAATCTTACACATCATCAAAGCCTTCAGGTGCATGATTATGAGTTTATTGTGGTTTAGGTGAGCATGGATAAGACACGACGGAACTCAGATGCTGATGATGGTGGAAAAGGTGGTGCTAGGGGTTCTGCCCCTTCCTACTCTTCCAGGATTCTCTCTTGGTTCAGCTCGGTACGGGGCATACTATCTCTACTCTTGGACCCATACGCATATAATCATATCGAGACCTATATGTGCGCTAAAGTTTATGCTTAATTGTTGATATTGTTATGATAGTATTATTGTGAGCATCCCTTTATAATTCAGGGTTGAATGATTTAGGTATTCATTGCTATATTCTTCTAGTCACGCTAGTCGTCTTGTCATTCACCTTGAGACAGAACTCAATCTGATACAGTCACCTTATGCTAACTACGAGTGCACAGTAATCACAATCGCTTTATATAACATAAATGATACATATATCAAATGGATACATCAAATGCATCTTCACACATTTCTTTCCTTAGTGATTAATTTCAGCAATATTTTTTACTCCTCTTTGTAAAGCAATTGTGAGAGCCTTTTATTGTTTTTATCAAAACAATATTATATTTTTTCTATTTACAATTGTTCTTAGAATTAGTTACGTCTTAGAATTTAGAAGCTTGTCATTTACTCTTGTGCATATCATCTTTTATTGAAATATGCCTAGTGCAAGCAGCATTTTGTGTATTGTATTTAGCCTAGTTAGATCTTTATAAAGTATTATGATTTTTAAAAATTCCACCTTATCAAGATGCATGCCATTTGATTTAGCAGTAGAACTTAAAACCCTGTGTCGATTTCTTCTGCAAACTCGGCTATTCAGTGGCATAAGAGTCTAGAGAAAGATTTAAGCTTGTGCTCTTTCATGAAATGTAAAGTAACATTGCAACAGTTTATGATATTATTTAATTCTAACAATCGTTTTGCTAATGCATATGGGTCCAAGAACAGCTGTGTCATGCCGTGCTGTCTGTCTTGCTCTGCTATTCTACATATTAGGTCGCAGAAGGAAAAGAGACAGTGATACCTGATAAAAGCATTAGTATACACACCATATGAATATTCCTGAACTATAAAAGCAGACAATGCTGATCAGTTTTCTATTCGTATAAAAAATGTGTATAAAAATGTTATTTGTATAAAAAATGTGATGTATAACAATTTATTTTTATTATGCTATACATCACACAAAAAAATGTTAGATTACAAAAAGATTTACTTTATACGATTATTCTCTTTTGAGATAAGGCACTATACGAATTCAAAACTGCACACTTAAAAATGTACCCCATTATTTTTGCCTCATCTTTGTCATCACCTGAATTCCAGTTTAATTATTTTCATTCTCGTATAAATTTCATTCACTTTATTTAGCATTTTTATATTAAATACATATTTGATAATGATATAATATGATAAAAAAACAAAAAAAAACCGTTTCAAGAAAGTATTATGATTGGTATTCAAAATCTCTCAATCTGTATGCACTGAATACACTTAATCTACACACACATTAAGTATACATTTTATGCATTAAATTCTGAATAAATTTTAAAAATTGACAATAAAATAAACAATTGAATAAACTTTCTTGTAAACGAACTTTTCATTATAGGTTTGTGCGCAAAAAACACAAGTGCTGAGAAAAAGCTATGTTAAATTTTTGATAAATTTTTTTTGTTTTAGGGAGATGATAAAGGCGACGATAAAGGGAAGAAAAAAGTCCCAATTCGTACAGTTGACTTGCCTATTGAAGCTAACGTTTGCGGATTATCGCCACGAGATCTCGACGCTGCGATAGAAAAAGAGGTGTGTAGCATTCAATGTATATTCTTTGAACGTTATATAATTTACGTTACCTTGTATTAACGTTACATGAACTTGTCGTCAATTATAGCGGAAAAGCTTATCTGTATGAAATCGGACCATTATGTAATTTCATGCATTTTGTTCGTGAACAGGGCAAAATGATCGCCGAGGATAAACAGGAAAAAGAACGAGTTGATGCGCGTAATGCTTTAGAGGAATACGTTTACGACTTACGCGCTAAATTATCCGAAGAGAATCAATTAGCGACATTTGTCACGGAAGTAGATAAGGAAACGTTGTATCGTACATTAGATGACACTGAAAATTGGCTATATGAAGAAGGAGAAGATTGTCAACGACAGATTTATTCCGAGCGATTGACACGTTTAAAAGTATGTCATTTAATGGAGAAAGAGAAAAAGAGAGAAAAAAGTGCTATTATAATGATTTATATATATTTTATTAAAAAATTTCTCTTTCTCTTATTTTTCTAAAAGAAATTTTTGATTTTATATATCAGAATCTTTCCAAATATGGCATTTTTCCTTTTTTTAATAGTCTCAAGGAGAACCAATAAAAGAAAGGAGATTAGAATTCGAAGGAAGATCTCATGCGTTAGAGGAATTAGGAAAAGCGTTACAACTAGCTAAGAAAGGCCTTAATCAGATAGAAGCATCAGTTGGTAAAGACGATAAATATTCTCATCTAACGGAGGAAGAAATAAAAACGGTTGACAAAACAGTGCAAGAGAAATGGATATGGTTGGAGGAAAAACGTATGGTGCTTGCGAGTTTACCTCGTACGCAACAACCGCCAGTCACCGTTGCGCAAATTCGTGCCGAGAAACAAGTAAGTATAAAACAGCATAAAAAAGGTATTAAAAAAAGTATCTATTGCAATCGCATAAATATGTTTTCATCTACAACATAATTGTCAATTTATTAATTTCTTTTTTCATCATTTAATCATAGTCACTGGACAGTGTGGTATTACCTATTCTCAACAAGCCTAAACCTAAAGTAGAACCACCAAAAGAGGAAAAGCCGAAAGACAAACCGGCCGATGAACAGAAGAATAATCAGAATCAAAATACCCAAAATGCTAACAGTCACAGTCAGCAACCGAATCAGCAAACGGAAGAAGAGAAAATGGATGTTGAGTAACGGTCACCGCAACTTATGTGTTTTTAATAATATATTAAATCTAATCTATAATTGAAAAATAGCAAATATTTCATATTTGGATAAACCATCTTTAACATGTCTCGAAAGCGCCTGACATACCATAGTCGAATTGCACACATGATTGTCTTTACTTTTTCTTTTTTTTCTTTTTCTTTTTTTCTCTGTAACATCTATTAATATGATGAATTGAGCTATTTAATGGCATGTATTAAGTATAATAAGCGTAAGCGTATTGAAAAACTAAAGAATTTGAATTTATCAAAAGAAAATATGCATTACAGCAATAATAATAAATATTATTTTCTTTGAAAGGAGTATCGCAATTATATTTGCTGTCTAGACCAACTGAAGAAGCGGGAGTTGTTTTTTTGAAAGCAAAAAATAAAACTTTCCTACATTTAAAAAAAAACCCTTGTTCAAGTTTTCAGTACGCTTCTAAATGCATAAATAAAACTGTTTTAGATGAATATTTGAAAAAGAAACCTTAAAACCATTGTCAGTAAAAAGAAACATGAAAACTTATATGTTGCGATTTTTAGCAGATATAGAAAGTACATGCTATGCTAGATCTAATTGACAAATTAAATTGTGAACTAGGTAATGTCGCGATCTTTGTATTTAATAATTCAATTGTTCATTCCAATATTTTCTCACGCGGCCGACAGCAGATACTCTGTCACAAGTTTACTTGTTGCATTTATGATTTTTTGAAGTAACTATATACTTAATTGAAATAAATTAATATTTTACTAATTGAGATTGAAGGTCTACTTTAATATTTAAAATAGACACATCGGCAAAGATGTTACAGGAATTCATCGTTTTTTCTTAGTTGGACTCTAATCATGGTTTTTAATGCAAAAATTATATTTTAAGCAGAAACCGATAATTCGGTTAAATATATCATTGTACATAACTTGTAAGCATCTCTACACAATGACATAGTATATATTTCTTTATCACTATATTTATATTGCTATGTTATAATGACTGCTAATTGTAAGCACGTTGTTCTTAAGGAATAGTCTTTCAGCAAACTTGAGCTCGGCCAGACTATCAGTCGAATGATCAGGTAAGACTTCTTAGACCGATTCGCTCGAGAACTGGCAGAGATAATCGCTTGTTTATACAATAGGTTGAAATATCGTGCTTATAATCGGAAGCCATTGTACCCCATAGCATATAGAAATTATAGCGAAAATTTAGTTGTTCCTAGCATACATAAGACAGACGGAGGTCCATATTTCACTCTCGCGCCTAACTTTGTTCTTACACTGCTTTTTTAGCAACTAAGAATCGCAAATTATTACGCGTGTATAATATAATTAGCATTAGCAAGATGTAAAAATTGTGAGTGTTAAAAAAATACGTTGTTCCTTCAAATGATAAAATTTTCCACCACATGCAACAAATTTTTTTTGTCTTTTGTATATTTTACACATATATTATTAAATTACTTTTGTGATTCTTGTATGTTAAGATAAGTTTATGACATAGAGAGATCATTATGTTTATTTTTAAGGGATATATCCGTTAAATAATATCTACTATCCAGAAAATTCATTATTATTTAAAAATTGTGCAGAAGCTAGATATCAATTGATGAAATTTATTGACTAAAACTAAATATTCAATTTTTTCGTAGAAACGCGAATATTAATTTTTAATAATTCATATTTTAGTTCCATAATGTGTATACTTACAAAGTTAATACACAGTTAAAAAAAGTTGATGTGTTCTTTATTTGCAATTATGTTAAAAAAGAACCAATAAATTTGTTAATAACAAAATGTTTTTTCTTCTTGCAATATTGTAATTATTTTAATAATTGTGTGAATTATATACACAATATTATTTTGTATCAATAATTATAACGTATTAATTATATATTGAGATATAATATATTGCAAAATATTTACAAAATGAATTTTAATTATATAGTATAAATATAAATCTCTAAATTCTCTCTTTATACAAAGGGAGGAAATATGGGCATCCTATCTTGCTCTGTAATTTAAGAATATAAAAATTATTGAAACTTTTGATGTTGCAACAATCACATTATTTTATAAAGAATGAATCTGCATAATCTATTTATCAACAAGAAATCACAATTAAATGCATCGCGCAATTATATTGTACTTTTGTTTGCACGTATGAAAATATATTCGTAATTTTAATTAACAATTGTGTGAACATGAAACAGCACGTTTGAAATACTGCAAACACTATGTAATAATGTTTGAAGGAATTTTAGAATATAAATTTTTATTTATAGAAATTTCGCTTTTACATAAGTTTGTCTATTACACGTATTAGCATATTATTTAACAATTTTGGTACATTGAATAACAACTGTCGATAATTTAGTTGAAACAAGGGTGAGGATAAACTAAATTAATAAATGCTGTAATATCAGCATATTAAAGTTTCACTTATCGAAACCGAAAACAAATGTGTTGACTGTGATTATGTCATAAGTGTATGGTCACCAAGGTGTACTTAAAAATAAACAATTAATCTCTCTTGACTGCTGATGTTTTTGATCGATCGTCAAAGTATGCTCTGTATATAAATGCTCCTAGAGCAATGTGTAATACTATTACCGCAACACCAGCCGAGTACACATTACTTGGCACATTGTTGAGACCAAATATACCTAAACAAAAATTACAGAAACTTTGTTAGTTAACTTATCAAAAAAAAGATTTTCAAATATACAATTTTATATAAAAAATGGTCTTTTTTAGTGGTAATATAAATTATAATTGTTTTCATCACACACAGATGTTATGATTTTGTTATTATGTACCATCGAAGAGGAAAACCTTGCTTGTAAAAAATGCTATCACAGGTAACGCAAGTATTACCACACTGTGATATAAAACTGTTTTGAACGCTTGTAGTTCTGTCATCTCCTAAAATAAAAGATCAAAAAAGTCGATACAGTTATAGTAAAGATAAATAAACATACAAATATATATATTATTATTATTGATATCAAGCTCTTACCTTCGTATTTGACATAATTGTGACTACTGTATCAAAGTTGCGAGATTAGAAAAATTGACAAATGTCAAATATTTTTATTCACTAGCAGCAAATTCTATTAATGAGAAATTTAATACAGATTTAGCACAAATCTATTATTTCTCTGATGTCACTTGTCAGTCACCTGCAGTTTTGACTGTTTTGTCACATGCTATATAATTTATAAATTTTTAAATAAATTCAAAATTTTTTTATACGTTTTAATATGTTTTTAGCAATATATGAATAGCAGACGATGTTACAGTTTTGAACTTTCAGGTTATATTTTCAAGTTTCCTAAGAGTAAACTGTTCATGTTTACGCTTTTTATTTGGATTCTTCACTTTCTCTCTCTTGCTTTCACTATGTATTTTTTAATTGTATTTTCGTACAACCGCTAATAAGGTCTCGAATATTGTCATAAAACCTTTGACGCAATTGCTCCTTACAGTGCAATTTTTGTAATCTATATATGTATATATCGATTAATATATATATCGATTGCTCGCGATATACGATAATAAAATCGATTATTAGTATCGACAGATTTCAAAAATTGCTCGAAAAAATTCTGCGCACAATCGAGAAAATATTAGGAATAAATATTAAATATTGAATAGAAATGATTTTAATATAGATAATGAATTTCGGAAAATGAGTTCCGTCAAGGTGGTTAATCAACGTGGTCGATTATTCACACGTGGTGTACCAAAGTTCATCTACTCCTTCTTCACCGTAAAAATCAGTTTAACTCTCTTCATACACACATATATATTAACAAATAATAAGATGCAATTTAATTCGACCAAAAACTGGCTATTTATTTATTGAAAATAAGTATACACTACGTTTCGACCCACATTGTGGTCCTTTTCAAGTGTTGTTCTTATTCAGCAATTACATTAATTAAAAATAGAAACATGAAAGTTGTCCTGTCATATCGACAATCTGTTAGGAGATGACAATATATTGTAGACTAGTATTGTGTTTTTTAAATCATTTGACATTGTATATTAACTAACATAATCGAGCGTAATAGAATTCAATGGAAGTTCATAGAATATATGCACAAATATCAGACCCTCCTCCTCAGTAGCTAAAGCTCCGATTATACATATTCAGCCGTCAATTGAAATGATTGAATATATATTGGTCAGTAATGGTTGGTCGGACAACGAGTCGCGTGAAAAGATTATTGACCACAAATATCTGCAAGAAAAAAGTTATCATGTTCGGAACGTTAAAAATATTATGTATCTCATTAGAAGTGTTAATGCTAACAGAAGTGGCCATCGGGTTTTCAAAGAAATATTTATTCAGGTCAGAAATATAAAAGAATTTAATAAGATTTTTAAATGCAGGAATTTCAAACATTCATAGGACTACAAAAAATGATAATGAAATTAACTTTAATGTTGAAATATAAACCTTCAAATTATCAATGATAACATATTAATCGCATTCGTGGAAAGAAAAATCGAATTAAAGTAAATCCTTACTTGAAGAAATTATTGATATTTAATAAACTAAAATTAACATAAAAACTGTATTATTAGACAAAGCTGTTTAACAATCGAAGAGAATTAGACTTTCTATGATTTTGTTACTATGACAGTTATATTTCTTATTAGTTTTTATTTGTCATTCAACAGAATGCAACATCTTTCGAGTTCTTCACAGTTAATGATTACCTGTCACGAATCCAGAAGTTATCTATCCAGAAATATTTCAACCTAACTGAAAAAGATGTAGCCGGTAAGAATTCATTTTTAGACATGTTTATATTCTCAAAATTTCCTGATCAGTTGCAAAAAATTGCATATGCAAAGTCAAAATAGATCGAATTGCGAAAAATCGTTTACTGAATGAAAAATTTTTACTTTTATAAGAGTTCAAAAAAATTAAAAATTAAATTTAAAGAAACATCTCTCAACACACAAGAAGATATATGTATAAATAAATATAAATTCTATTCGAAAATAAGGAAAAAGAAGAACAGATCTAATCATTCTGTTCACGAAATATTTGTAAATAAAATCAATCACATATTTTTTTGCTAGCTATTTTGTTTCAACTAATTAGTCGCAAATCTTATATTTCTATATTTTTGATCACAATAGAAAATTCGGAAAATGCTAAACACTCGCAGTAATCATTAGAGGATTTTTCTTCAAAAAAGATTCCTTGTATTACAAAAAACATTAAATTATAATTTTAATACTTTAAGACGTAAGAAAAAATTAGGAAATCTTTTTAAATTTAAAAACATGGAAGTACAGCTAAAAGAACACAGTAATTGGCATATATTATTTTTGTTGTCACAATTAAAAAATTGTTTTATTTTATCTTTTGTAAATTACTAAAGTTGGAAGTTTAATATATTATTATATATACTAATTATGTATAATTTTAAAGTTTTCAGAAAGATTTATTTATTAAGTATACTTCATCCTTATATATGTATGATTATAATTATGTATAATTATGATTTTGAAAGAATTCCAGTATAATCCCATTCGAAGAAACAAATTTCCTATTCGGACATTCGTAGAATTTGATAACGTACTAATTAAAAAAGACATTTTTGTGTCATTCAGGTAAAGAATAAGAATCTAATCTTAGTTTCTATTTTCTCATTCTTTTAAATTTAACAACATACAGGATCTCCCAGACTACCCGTGCTACTCATATTTAATAACTAAGTAAGTGATTATTTCGATATAAACAGTATCTATTTTGTAAATCGATGAACGAGACACTCTATTGAATAATAATATTTTCAATTGCTAGTTTCAGCAAAAATTGACGATTATTAAAATGTTTTTAAAACTCATTTTAAAAGTTATTGAAAAGTAATATAAATGACATTTTTTGAAAAAATATTTCATATAAAAGTTTCATATTTTCGCATAAAATCTGTAATCCAAATCTGTAATAAAAAATGTCATATTCCATCTAAAAAAATCACTCTCTAAATCATCATTCAGTTTTAATCACTCATTTCCAGCCGGAATTCTATTTACAAAACAGATATTTGGTTTAGTCCAAAATAAACATTTTGCTAGTTTTTAAATGGGTAGCACGGGTGTTCTGGGATATCCTATACATACATATATGTACGAGGCGTGTTTTTTAAAGTAAGGTTCATTTTGATATAAAAAAAGATATCTTAACATATATATAAATACATAAAATACACAGGCCGACAAAATAATTTTTGTCAAGTAACTCTAATCAGTTTCTTATAGATTTTCGGCTACCAATAATAATGCCGTTGTCCAAATTGCTTTCAGGTTTTAAAGTTATTTTAAATTTTGGGATGAGAATTTAGCGATTTAGAGGGAAAATGTGTGATATAATAAATATATACATATTTATTAACTAAATACATTTATATCATGAAATGTTAAAAATGTCATTAAATTAATGTGACTTATTAAAACAAAAATTTAAAAGAAATTTTTTTCATATTGGTAATTAATAAAATTTCTTTAATTTTAAAAATGTGTTCCAGTCATTTTAGAATTGTATTTTTTTCAACAATATATTTTCAAACATTTTTCATAAAATTATTATATTTTATTAAAGGAAGAACAGTATTTAATAACATTGAAATCTGACTATTAATTTTGACTAATCTTATCAAATATAAAATATATGCCTGCTATATCCTATATTCTTTATATTTTTAACATACTAACATTTTGTTACTTCGGAAACAATTTTATATTCTATAATAATAAGAAATCAATATGTGTAAATCAGACACTTATATTCATTTTTATCATTTTCGTGACAGTTTGTAATTTATTATATTTTTTCCTATAAAATCGCTAATTTCTCATTTACAAATACAAAATAATTTTAAAACCTGACGTGATGGAGTAATTTGAACAATGGCATTCTTTTCTGTGCGTAGCCGAAAATTTACAAGAAATACCTATTCTGATTAGAGTTACTTGACACAAATTTTTTTGTCGGTCTGTATTATTTTTATGTGTACATACTACATTTAAGATCTTATTTTTATTTCAAAACGGAGTTTACTTAAAAAACGCGCTTCGTATATACGCACACACATATACTTATATGTAAAATATATATATTTATATATATATATATATATATATATATATATTATATAATCTTCATATTATTTTTTGTTTATCTATATAGTATATTTATGTGTGCATATATGTATTTTCTATCAGAAATTCGATAAAATTAAAATTTGGTAAAAACAAAAAGCTTAAGATATCTTATTTCTTTGCAGATGGGACATAGACCCTGAAATATTTGGAGATATTAAACTACTTTTTAAGATTTGGTTCGAGGATCAGAATCGAATAATTCAATTATTCGATAAAAAACAGATGCTGGAATACAAAGTATATGATATAAACCTGATACAACTTATTATTTCAACATAGAACAGCATAAAACATATCATGATTCTAATGTTGAGTTTATCACTGTTTCGACCACACACGAAAATCCGATACCTCTCTTACTCGTCCAAATGTATAACAAATTTGGTGTGGATGTATTGGATGTAGATTTACAGATAGGCATTGAACTTGACACAGACGTTATGTATAAAGAAATCGTTTACTCAGCATTGGAACATAAAATATATGGAATCACTGACATGTTAGAGCTAATAACATCGGATTTTAATCCAACCGATGTCCAAACAATCGAAGTACACAAAATAGCAACGCTCACTATACGATGCGCATAATCTCTGCATCGATTGGATTCAAAGAAAACTTTATTGGATACAAGAGAACACAACGGGAATATACGTTATAAAGCTAGACTTAACATTGTGGCAACAAATGAGCATAGTGAAATATGATGAATTAATTATATCCAAAAAATTAGATATAGTACAATTTTTATATGTACTGCCATCAACAGGGTACATTACATTTTATTCATCTACAAAATTACTAACTTTGTTTTTTTTAATTAAAATTCAATGATTTTATTTTAGAATTTTTCAATGCTTTAATGATTGTTTTATCATTAGTTATAAAATTATAAATTCACACAGTATTGTAAAAACTTAAATATAATATTTTATTATTTTCTGATGCAATAGCTTATTAGTAGTGAATAATATGCACATTTTTCAGATATATTTATTGGTGCCTTTTTGCCCAGTCTGAAATAATGCGATCGGATTTAGATGGAAAAAACACGAAAGTTCTTAGCAAAGACTGCTGTATTGAATACCTACAAATCAAACCCACCTTCTTACAGACTGATACAACAAATATTGAACCGTTATTGTATTGGAAAACAGTTTCAAATGACTTAATCATAACAGATATTAATGGTTGTGAATGTTATTCGATTTCAAGGTTTACAAATCAATACGATTTTAAATATTTAACGTTTGACAAAACAAACGTTTACGTGTTCAACGAATACAAAAACAAAATCTATATTTTTAACAAAATACATCGTTTTTTCCGAAACAAAGAACATAAATTTGAATATGTACGTACCGTACGTTACCGAGAAAATTCTGATTATGGAATCAAGACACTCACATCTCTTGATAAAACTTTACAACCATATCCCCAGACGAAATGTCTGATACCTAACATGAAAGATTATCGTATTGAAGAATTGAATAAAATCGTACACAATACCACCATAAGCCTTCCGGAGCCGATACTCAATGACGGATGCAAAAAGTACAACTTACCCACTACTTTATATATCATATCCGTGAGTTATTTAATATGTTTGGACAATGGCAGTAACAAGTTCGAGCAATATAATGTGTCAACGTGCGAACGACATCATACATTCAAGAATTTAATGCCGTTCACAGAATATACGCTAAAGCTGGCACTGAGTAATTTTTACTTTGACAAGTTATCAATGAATTTACAATTCGGTTCGGATGTGAAACTGATGATTCTAGGGAAGATCGACGCGCCAAAAGATGTGACGGTTCAAATTTTAACGCCAACTTTAGCGATAGTTTATTGGATGCCATCTAAGAAACTAAACTGCGTGACACTGATCTACGAGGTGCATTGGATGCAATATTCAAATAAAACGCAAGAAATAATACAAAAGTCGTCGCCCTTCATAAAACTTGTTGATAAGATCGAACATACGACAGATGGGAAGCTTTTCACGACAATTCTTCTACAGTCACAACATAACTATCAGATATATGTGCGTGTGTATCCACACAACTTCAGTCGGTTCTTCAATGATAGTTTAAATAAAATGATCTACACGTCAGAACCGAATAATTTAAATTTAAGCGGAGTCAGTACAATTAGTATGAATGTCTCATGGAATTCTAGCGTTAATTTGACGATCCACACGGAATTCCGTCCCATACTGGAATACAAAAACAACGTGATGCGGGAGTGGCAAATCGCGAATAACAGCGACAGAAATAATAATACAATAACATATTATATAAAGAATTTACTGCCGCGAACTCTATACAATTTCCGTTTGATCCTGAGATATCCCGAATACAACGATTTTATATGGCCTGAAAAAGGATTCAATTTTGAAACGCTTGGTGAGTAAACAATGATAATATGTATACACTTGTGATATTATGTATGTAGTTTAAGACTTTCTTAAAAATGAATTTGAATTGGAAATTAAATAATAAGGTTTTAAGATAATAAATTTTAAAATAAAACGAAGATATTTAAATTGTATTCTTGTATAACAAAGGTAATGTACCAAGTGCTCCTGGGATACCTATGGTAACAAAACTTCCAAATTTGACGTATCAGTTGAACTGGGAACCTGCGCAAGCTCATGATTCACAGGTGATTTTGTATAGACTGGAAGGTTTAATTGTTGAAAATAATTACGAAGGAAGCAATCAGACTGGCAAACACAATCATTGGAATTTATACTATAATGGAACAGATAATTACTGCTGGATAACTCCGATAGACATAAATCAGAAATATCGATTTCGTGTGCAGGCTAAAAACGTTTATGGTTTTGGAAAATGGAACGAAACAAGAGCGGATATTAATTTATCAGAATCTGTCGAAGTATCAACTATACAATACCTAATACCATACATATATAATTTTCTGCCATTTATATTGAGTCTTATCGCTACCATCGTAATCTGTTATGTTTATTACTTTTATTGTTGTAAGTATAATTGTAATAATTTAGAATTTAAATTGAAAAATTATTTTAGATTTATTATATATATGTATAGAAATTTCTAAAAGATTAGTTTATTTGCTGAAAATGATTTAAATTTTGCAAAGTACGGTATTAAATGTATTACAACGCTTATTTATTTAACACGCAAGCATCGTTATCATTTGCAGTTAACAACTGCAAACGAAACACGTTACGTGAGCTATGAACCCAACTTTGTTCACGATGCTAAACCGCAAATTGATCTCGACGAATTTGCACCAATCACAATAAAAAAAGAGCAAATTACCGTACAAAATCTTTTAGGTAGCGGCGCATTTGGAGAAGTAAAATTTATTTTTTATTTTTTAAATATATCCTTAAAGATTTTCTGAACATTTTAATCAGAAAATGTTGAGGTAAAAATTTCTTAATAAAAATAATTGCATTCCGGACTATGTAATGAAAACTATCGCACTTTATGCCGTTCGATTCTTCATTATTGACGTTAAACGCGAGCAATCGTACTTTCGGCGCATCAAAATAAAGTCTCGATGTACACGTGCAGTGAATCTGCGTTTTTGACACCTAGTCTTCAAGGAATTATCTCACCGTTTTCTTTGTCCAGCTACGGCAAATTCTCGGCGCAATTAACGAAAAGCGGCACAAATACGAAAATAATTTTAGATATTCTAAAATTAACTTAAAATTTTATTTTTAAAATCATTCGATTCTTATGATCAATCTCTTAACAAACTGCAAAAATTAATATAAACATTTTTGGCATGCACTCTATTAATTTGTATTAATTATGAAATATGTCGCAGGTATATCAAGGAAGTGTTGAAATGTTAGAAATGTTAAAAACAATACCTGTTGCCATAAAGATGTTACCAGAACATGCTACTTCGGAGCAAAAATATGAATTCTTGAAAGAGGCCCAGATTATGAAAAACTTTGACCACAAACATGTGTTGAAATTATTGGGCATCTGTCTTGAGACGAATCTACCATGGCTTATATTGGAATTAATGGAAGCTGGTGACTTATTAACTTTTTTGAGAGAGAGTCGGACGTTGCAACCTTCACATCCGCACGCTTTGAGTCTACAAGACTTGCTTGCCATGTGCGAAGATGTTGCACGGGGTTGTCGCTACTTAGAAGAACAACGCTATGTGCATAGAGATCTCGCGTGTCGAAATTGCTTAATATCGACAAAAGATCGCGAACATCGAATTGTCAAAATCAGCGACTTTGGACTAGCTAGAGATATTTACGAACGGAACTCTTACTACATGGTATATGCATTTATTTAAATAGTTAAAACTATTTTTTTCTCGCATTGCTGTAATATTATATATCGTTTCTTTTTGAAGTAACTAAAATGTAAATAAGAATTTTATAATGTAAACCTATTTTTATATTTATATGTATACATATAACGGAGATATGTGAATTAAGCTGCATGCAAATAATGTTGCACGTAATGTTTGCTTCAAAAAATAAACGACTTCGGTAAAAGACTTAACTGCGCTAAAATTGTGCATTAAAATTAGGAAGGAGGAACCCCACTTCCCGTTCGCTGGATGGCACCGGAATCTTTGAAATACAAAAAATTTACTTTACAAAGCGATGTGTGGGCATTCGGAGTACTAATGTGGGAAATTACGTCATTAGGTCAGCTACCATATGTTGCCATACATAATAGCAAAATAAAGGAGCATGTGTGTGCGGGGAATAAGTTATCAAAACCTCGTAATTGTCCAGATAAATTGTACGAATTAATGCAAAGTTGCTGGAATGTTGTGAACCAAAGGCCAACATTCAGACTTTGTCTGGAAAATGTAGAAATCTTGAAAGTCGAAATACAAGACGCTGTGCTAATTCCTTAAAATATTAGCACACATATACAGGTAAATTGATAGTAATAATTTTTATATACATGGAACAAAGTCATTGCATGGAGCAATAATTTGTTGATATAATCGATTAAAAATGTTATTAAAATAATGGTTTTACTCCAGGCAACGCCAAGTCCAAAATTGGCGCATAAGAAATCTTTAACATATCTTTAAGATGTCTTTTTGATATCATATCATAAGATTTTTTATAAAGCTGTCTTAAAGATTTTCTTAATGATATCTTATACGTCTATTTTAGACTTGGTGCTGTCTGGGACATTAGCTCAAATTTTATAATACATATTTAATATTATTCTATATTATTTTTGTTTTACTAATATTGTAACGTGATTACGTTAGTTATAATATACATATAATATACATATAATGTAGAATATGTATTTTTTAATATATAGACACGAGAAATAGTACAGCTAACGGAAAGTTATAAATTATATTTATGAGTTATTATGCCTAAATTATGTTCATAGATAATTTAGGAAAAGCAAATTTTTCGCAAGTTAAATGTCAAAGATACAAACTTATAACATATATAAGATTACTTTTTAATTGCAATTTAATTTCTATTCTATGAAGTAAACATGTTTTCCTAATTTGGCTTCATAACTTGATAATATTATATTATGTAATATAGTGAAATTTATATATTATGTAAGCTTTATTTTATATAATGTTTTTATTACTCTTTTAATTTTTCAATATACCTTTCATTACGAAATATATTTGCAATTATCTACAAATTCCACTTTGTATCGCAAATCTAGTAATGATTTTGGTTTTACTCCCAAAATACGTAGCCATGTACAAAAAATTTATCGTGCATCGCTTCTACTGCTATCTTACAAAATATGTATATCATTTGTTTCTTTTCGTTCATCATCACTTTCATCCTTAATTTTTCCCTCTTTCTCTCTCCTCCACACTTACACTTACTTTTCAACTTTTCTGGGCTACAAACGCCTTAATTAACGTTTGCGAGAAGAAGTTCTAGGATTCTTGTGTTTCGAGACTCGTATGTGTTCTTTCCACCTACGTCTGATCTTGATCAAACTTCACAAATATACATTTATAGAATGCGGTTATCGTTGAAAAATGCTGCAGCTAAATATCTCTTCTTTCTCTCTTTCTCTCTTTCATATACATACGTATACACACACACACACACACACACACACGCGTACACTAACATCAAGTGCATACCCACTTTTTTACTCTTTTCTACCGATTCTTATAATAAAATACATTTTTTGTTTCAGCTCCCTTCTAAAAAATGTTGATACCTTCAAATGGAAGATCTTAACTGAAGCACAGTCGTGTTTTTTGAATATTTAACCACCCCAATGATACCTCAAATAATATTATATAATATATAGGCATAATTGCTTTTTTTGACCAAACGATTTTTGAGATCGATATTAATCATCAATTTTATCGTCGTTTGTCTATATTATTCTAATAATTATTAGCAATAATTCCCATCTATTTTTTTTGTCCAATCGAACAGTTTTACATTCTTACATCTTTTTTGAGATGAGCAAGTAATTTTCATCGTAAGGAGAGAGTACAATGAATTTTGAGCAGTTCCATCAACGTGATTGACCAATGTGGTTGATTAACGTGATGTATCAAAGTTCATCTATACTCCTCCTTCTTTGTACCGCTAATATCATCCCCCTCTTAACACAATCGATAGTTATTTCATTGTCTATACATTCAAACGCCAATTGAAATGATTGAATATACATTGGTCAGTAAAGAATTGTTGGTCAGTCAAGAATCGCGTGAAAGCAATTCAAATAAAAATATATCTGCAAGAAAAAGAAGTTATTATGTTCAAAATGTTAAAAATATTATGTATTTTATTAAAAGTGTTAATGCTAATGAGAGCAGTCATCGGGTTGTCTTTAGAGAATACAGAGATGCATATAGTTCAGGTCAGTTTTCAAAAAAATGGATATTTTCATGTGCTTTGATTTAAACTTGTTGTAAATAAAAAACTTTTTCGTATAGATAAGAGATGAAGAAAAAATATTATATATCGTAACTAAGAAATTATTAGTGTAATTAAAACTGTTTAATATACGTAACAAAAGAATTTTGATAGTACAAAAAATTTACAAAAATTTGTTCAATTTTGCGTTAAAAACGTACACATTAAAATAATAATATTATATAGCACAAAATTATGCTTACATAATTGAACGGTATAATATTAAAACTTAAACGTAACATACATTTCAGTATGTAAAATACAAGGGTCAAGCCACCGGAAATCGTGATTGCATTCTATTCTATGTTTGCTAACAACCGACAGATTCGATTCATGCTTTTTAATGTTGTTCTGGTGTTCCTTTATGCGAGTATTTAAATGTCTTTTACTTTAGTATATAATTTACAGAAAAAACTAAGTAGCCTTATCAAAAGAGGTAAGGATACCACTCCTAAATTAAATAAAACAAATGTCGTTTATAGATTGGAATGCATTGATTGCAATGTTTCTTACATAGGACAAACAAAGAGACATCTAAATACTCGCATAAAGGAACACCAGAACAACATTAAAAAAAATGAATCGAATCTGTCGGTTGTTAGCAAACATAGAATAGAATGAAATCACGATTTCCGGTGGCTTGACCCTTGTATTTTACATACTGAAAAACATAGACGTAAGAAATGTTATATATTAAAAAGCAAACGAACACAATCAATCTTCAAACTGACACAGACAATCTCAATACTCTGTTTATGATAAGGTCATTAGAATATTTTAACGTCTTGTATCAGTAGTTGACAGAATGTCTTAGCGACATGTTAAAGTTCACAGCGCTTAACATATCATAATTTATGTCTCTATATCTTAATGTGGCTTATTAGAATTGTTTTAAGTAAGTACATTGTTGTCTCTCCTTGCACGAATTGACTTGTATTTAGTTTTAGTTTTGCGTCGCTAACTATTGATTTTTTATAATTTTAGCACTTGAAAAAGACCTAAATTTAAGGTCGAAACGTAGTGTATTTCACAAATATTTTAAGGTCAATAATATAGCTATAGTTATAATTATAGCTAAATAGCTACTATTCACTATATATCTAATAATATTATTTATTGTATCAGTATATATAATAATGTATATAATAAACATGTATATACAGAGTGTTTCCGAAACATACACATCATTATAGTCGGGTTGCCTATCTGCTTACCGACAGGGGCATGCTTTATGAGAAAAAAAAAAAACAACTTTATTATTTTGTATATACAGTGAACATTTGTGAAATTGGACTATATAGATAAAATATTTAATAATATAGACAAAATAACATATAAGTAAAATTTAATAATCCAATTGTATTAAATTTTACTAAAAATATTTTTTTAATTTATCTTTAATATAATTTTTATCTATAAATATAATAAGTCATATAATAAATTTATAGTAAATATAAAAGTTATATAATAAATTTTTAGTAAATATAATAAGTCATATAATAAATTTATTATATGACTTATTATATTCAGAGATTAAATCTATTATATGACTTATATTTACTAAAAATTTATTATATGACTTATGAATATTATATTATATTGATAGATAAAAATTATATTACAGATAAATTAAAAAATATTTTACAGTAAAATTTTAATAAAATTTGATTATTAAATTTTACTTATGTTATTTTATTTATATTAATAAATATATATTTTATTTATATTATCCAATTTCACAAGTGTTCACTGTATATATAGAGTGATAAAGTCGATTTCTTTTTCTCATAAAGCATGCCCCTGTTGTAGCAGATAGGCAACCCGACATAATGATGTGTATGTATTGGAAACACCCTGTACATATATTAACATACGTACATATTTTAGGCGAAATATAACAATAAGTCAAATGTTTATGGCACTATACTCTTCAAATTTCACTTGCGTTGGAACATGATAATAAAAATTATATTTATAGGAAAATGGAAGATAATTTATTAGACAGCAAAAATATAAAAAATTAATAAGATTTTTAAATACAGGAATTTCGAATATTTCGATGATTACAAAACAATGATAATAAATTAACTTTAGTGTTGAAATATAAATCTTAAAACAATATCAATGATAACAATCGCTACCGTGAAAATAGAAATCGAATTTAAGTAAAGTCTTACTTGAAGAGAGAGAAAGAAGTTATTGTTATTAAATAAACTGAAATTAACAAAAACTGAATTATTAGACAAAGCTTTTTATAATCAAAGAGAACTAGACCTATGATGTAGTTACTATATGAGAGACAGTTATAATTTCTTATTAATTTTTATTATTTATTCAACAGAATACTCCATCTTTCGAGTTCTTCACAGTTAATGATTACCTGTCACAAATCCAGAAGTTATCTATCCAGAAATATTTGTACAACCTAACTGAAAAAGATGCAGCCGGTAAGAATTCATTTTTAGACATGTTTATATTCTCAAATATTCCTGATTAGTTGCAAAAAATTGCATATGCAAAGTGAAATAAAATCAAATTACAAAAAATCGTATACTGTGAATGAAAAATTACACTTTTACACGAATTCAAAAAAATGAAAAAATTAAATTTAAAGAAATATCTCTCAATAAGAAGAAAACTCTCGACAAGATATAAATAAATAAATATAAATTCTTTTCGAAAAAGAAAGAAACAGAGAAATGAAAGCAAGCACTCATCTGTTCACGCTAGCTAGCTATATCATTTCTAACTAGTTCTAGTTGAAAATCTTGTATTTCTAGTTGGAAATTTTATATTTCTATATTTTTAATCAATAGACAATTTCGAAAAATGCTAAACACTCAGTAATCATTAAAGGATTTTTCATCAATGTATAACATTTGATATTGCGTGTTATTTGAATTTCAATCTGCTAACAACCAGTATAAGATCAAGGCAGATGGTACATGGAAAGAATTAATTTTCGTTGAAACTGATTAGTTGTTTGCACAGAGCACAAACATTTCTTGGTACGATATGTCATAAAATGAAATAAATCTCAATTCTTTCTTGTCACTGACGCTCTATATACGACCTGATTTTAGTTTATTAAAATTCTAATATGCTTTTTGAAAGCCTTACTAAAGTCTTTAGAATATTTGTTTTTCTTAAAAATCTATGAAAGACCGTTGACAATTACTGTCTCTTTTATTATAAAATATTTGTTTTTGGTCAGAACTAGTAATTATGTTTCTAAGTCTCAAAAAACGCACATAGATTAATTTTATTGTTTGATTATTTTAAAAATCAATACTCGCAATACGTTAATTTTTAGTTTGTAATTTTATTTATTTCTTTTTTGATTTAAAAGTATCTATTATCGGACTTTATGTATATCATATAAAATAAATGTGCCAGTTATTATGACCTTAGTTTATTTTCTCACATAATAAAATATAGCATAATAAAATTCAGGATATTAATTTTCTTATAAAATTGAGTTAATTTTTTATGTTTATGTCAAAATTAAATATATAACATTTATATTTTTAAATATTGAAAATAATATTAAAAATGTTTGATACACCTTATATAGCTTGTTTTTACATATCAATATAAATAGATTAATGTGCACCACCTATAAAAAAATGTATACTCTATTATTAAAACCCGTATAAATTACGAAGAAACAATATTTTAATTTTTAAAATATTCTTTTTATTTTTAATGAATCCAATAAGATCCAATAATCCTGGTAAGAATTTTGTGCTTTTTTTATTACCATGTGTCTAATAATTACACAAGTTTTTGTCATTTTTGCCGACGTGGCAATTACAGCCGCCTTATGCTACACGGTATATGGTATAATCAACATATTTAGGGCACAGTATTCTGAATTTCTACAGTAATTGATAAAAAGTACAGTAAATTACTCATTTTTGTCATTTTTTGTTATCCAGTAATTGGCTTGAATCTCTTTTTACTTTATTATAATTTTTAAAGTTTTTAAAATATTTTATTTACAAAAAAATTCCTTGTATTACAAAAAACATTGTATTATAATTTTAATACTTTAAGACGTAGAAAAAAATTAGGAAATCTTTTTAAATTTAAAAACATGGAGGAACAACTAAAAGGACACAGTAATTGACATATTCACTCTATTATTTTTGTTGTCAGCCGTTAAAATTTGTTTTATTTTACTTTTTCTCAATTACTGAAACTGGAAGTTTAATGTATCATTTTATAGCTAGGTTCGGAGAGCGCGCTTAAATATCAATATGTGTTATACTTGAAATATATAGAAAGGTCTATTTATATTGTATATACTCCATCCTTATATATAAATTTGTATGATTATAACTATGTATAATTATTATTTTGACAGTACATCAGGGAGATAACAGATTATTTCCGGAAAGCATTATAAGCAATCCAACATTATCTATTCGGACATTCGTAGAATTTGATAACGTATTAATCAAGAAAGACCTTTTTGTGTCATTCAGGTAAAGAATATAAATTTAAATTCTTAGCTTGTACTTTTTTATTCTTTTAAATTAAACGATACACACACACTCACGCATGCGTGCGTGCGTGCGTATTTCTAATTGTTTGAATGTTTCTTATACCCTTATGGAAATTTATCACTAATAAATCCAAATAATCACTTATTTAGAGTACTTAAATTATTGTATATCAGTGATAATATTCTTATTTTATGCAATTATGCTTATTTTGCTATAACTTTAAAACAATCGACTTTAGGGCATAAGTATATTAAGACTTTTTGACTTATTGTTAGAATGACACCAAGAATACATAGTTTCAGTGTAGACATCACATTGCGGGACACCCTGTATATATATATATTATATATATATATATATATATATATATATATATATATAGGGTGTCCCGCAACGTGATATATATATATATTACTTATATATATTTTTATCAGAAATTCGCTAAAATCAGATTTTGCTAAAAATAAAAGGTTTAAGATACCATACTTCTTTACAGATCGGACAAATTTAAATTGATAAATGAAAACTTTGGAATAAATTATAGAATTCAATGGAACGAAAATCTGAATCGAACGATTCAAATAAACCTTAATGATAGTAACACATTTATTAAACCATTAGAATACAAATTATATGATTTAAAACCTTATACAACTTACTATTTCAATATAGAAATGTATAATAGCAGACCTGACTTTTCTTATGTTGATTTCATCAATGTGTCCACTACGCATGAGAATCCAATACCTCTATTACTCGTCCACATGTTTCGTAAATCGGGTGTGGATGTATTGGATGTAGATTTACAGATAGGCATTGAACTTTACACAGACGTTATGTATAAAGAAATTGTTTACTCAGCATTGGAACATAAAATATATGGAATAAATAACCAGTCAGAGCTAATAACATCGGATTTTAATCCAACCGATATCCAAACCAATCGAAGCCACACAAAAATAGCAGAGCTCGATTACACTGCGCGTAATCTCTGCATCGATTGGATTCAAAGAAAACTTTATTGGACACAATCAAACAGAACGGGAACATACATTATAAAGCTAGACTTAACATTGTGGCAACAAATGGGCATAGTGAAATATGATGAAATTAACATATACTATCGTCAAAATATACCACAATTTTTACATGTACTGCCATCAACAGGGTACATTACATTTTATCTATTTAAAGAAAGTACTAACTTTGAATTTTTTTACTAAAAATTCATGTTATTGTATTTTATATATAATCTTTTAATTATTTAATGATTGTTTTTTAACACAAGTTATAAAATCAAAAATTCACACAGAATTATAACAATTTAAATATACCTTTAATTATATTCTGATAAAATATCTTATTAGTAGTAACTATGCATATTTTTCAGATATATTTATTGGTACCTTTCTGTCCAGTCTGAAATAATGCGATCGGATTTAGATGGAAAAAACATTAAAGTTCTTAGCAAAAACTATAAATGCTTCTGTACACACCTACAATTCAAGCCCACCTTCTTACAAACTGATACAACAAATATTGAACCGTTATTGTATTGGAAAACAGTTTCAAATGACTTAATCATAACAGATATTAATGGTTGTAAATGTTACCAGGTTTCAGGAAATTCGTTTAGAAATCAATACGATTTAAAATATTTAACGTTTGACAAAACAAACATTTACTTCTACAACCAAAACGAAAAAGCAATCTACATTTTTAAAAAACTATATCTTCTTTTCGAAAACAAAGAACATGAATTGAAATATATACGTAAAGTACGTTTCCGAGAAAATACTAATTATAACATGAAACAATTCATATCTCTTGATAAAACTTTACAACCATATCCCCAGACGAAATGTCTGATACCTAACATGAAAGATTATCGTATTGAAGTATTGAATAAAACCGTATACACTATCACCATAAGCCTTCCGGAGCCGATGCTCAATGACGGATGCAAAAAGTACAATTTACCCACTATTATATATAACATCTCCGTGAGTTATTTAACATGTTTGGACAATGGCAGCAACAAGTTCGAGCAATATAATGTGTCAACGTGCGAACGACATCATACATTCAAGAATTTAATGCCGTTCACAGAATATACGCTAAAGCTGGCACTGAGTAATTTTTACTTTGACAAGTTATCAATGAATTTACAATTTGGTTCGAATGTGAAACTGATGATTCTAGGGAAGATCGACGCGCCAAAAGATGTGACGGTTCAAATTTTAACGCCAACTTTAGCGATAGTTTATTGGATGCCATCTAAGAAACTAAACTGCGTGACAGTAACCTACGAGGTGCATTGGATGCAATATTCAAATAAAACGCAGGAAATAATACTAAAGTCGCCTCCCTTCAAAAAACCTGTTGATAAGATCGAACATACGACAAATGGGAAGCTTTTCACGACAATTCTTCTACAGTCACAACAAAACTATCAGATATATGTGCGTGTGTATCCACACAACTTCAGTCAGCACTTCAATGATAGTTTAAATAAAATGATCTACACGTCAGAACCGAATAATTTAAATTTAAGCGGAGTCAATACAATTAGTATGAATGTCTCATGGAATTCTAGCGTTAATTTGACGATCCACACGGAATTCCGTCCCATACTGGAATACAAAAACAACGTGATGCGGGAGTGGCAAATCGCGAATAACAGCGACAGAAATAATAATACAATAACATATTATATAAAGAATTTACTGCCGCGAACTCTATACAATTTCCGTTTGATCCTGAGATATCCCGAATACAACGATTTTATATGGCCTGAAAAAGGATTCAATTTTGAAACGCTTGGTGAGTAAACAATGATAATATGTATACACTTGTGATATTATGTATGTAGTTTAAGACTTTCTTAAAAATGAATTTGAATTGGAAATTAAATAATAAGGTTTTAAGATAATAAATTTTAAAATAAAACGAAGATATTTAAATTGTATTCTTGTATAACAAAGGTAATGTACCAAGTGCTCCTGGGATACCTATGGTAACAAAACTTCCAAATTTGACGTATCAGTTGAACTGGGAACCTGCGCAAGCTCATGATTCACCAGTGATTTTGTATCGACTGGAAGGTGTAATTGTTGAAAATAATTACGAAGGAAGCAATCAGACTGGCAAACACAATCATTGGAATTTATACTATAATGGAACAGATAATTACTACTTGATAACTCCGATAGACATAAATCAGAAATATCGATTTCGTGTGCAGGCTAAAAACGTTTATGGTTTTGGAAAATGGAACGAAACAGGAGCGGATATTAATTTATCAGAATCTGTCGAAGTATCAACTATACAATACCTAATACCATACATATATAATTTTCTGCCATTTATATTGAGTCTTATCGCTACCATCGTAATCTGTTATGTTTATTACTTTTATTGTTGTAAGTATAATTGTAATAATTTAGAATTTAAATTGAAAAATTATTTTAGATTTATTATATATATGTATAGAAATTTCTGAAAGGTTAGTTTATTTGTTGAATATGATTTAAATTTCGCAAAGTACGGTATTAAATGTATTACAACGCTTATTTATTTAACAGGCAAACATCGACAACGCAAAGAAAGGAAACAAATAATTTCGTTATCAATATCTGGTACCAAGTTAACAACTGCAAACGAAACACGTTACGTGAGCTATGAACCCAACTTTGTTCACGATGCTAAACCGCAAATTGATCTCGACGAATTTGCACTAATCACAATAAAAAAAGAGCAAATTACCGTACAAGATCTTGTAGGCAGCGGCGCATTTGGAGAAGTAAAATTTATTTTTTATTTTTTAAATATATCCTTAAAGATTTTCCTGAACATTTTAATCAGAAAATGTTGAGATAAAAACTTCTTAATAAAAATAATTGCGTTCCGGACTACTCAATGAAAACTATCGCACTTTATGCCATTCGATTCTTTATTATTGACGTTAAACGCGAGCAATCGTACTTTCGGCGCATCAAAATAAAGTCTCGATATACACGTGCAGTAAATCTGCGTTTTTGACACCTAGTCTTCAAGGAATTATCTCACCGTTTCCTTTGTCCGTCTTTGACAAATTCTTGGCGCAATTAACGGAAAGTGGGCACGAATACGAAAATAATTTTAGATATTCTAAAATTAACTTAAAATTTTATTTTTCAAAATTATTCGATTCTTATGGTCAATTAACAAACTGTAAAAATCGAAGTTTTTCATAAAATTAATATAAACATTTTTGGCATGCACTCTATATTAATAGAGCTCTTTGTATGGATTATGAAATATGTCGCAGGTATATGAAGGAAGCGTCGAAATGTTAGAAATGTTAGAAACAGTACCTGTTGCCATAAAGATGTTACCAGAACATGTTACTTCGGAGCAGAAATATGAATTCTTAAAAGAGGCCCAGATTATGAAAAACTTTGACCACAAACACGTGTTGAAATTATTGGGCATCTGTCTTGACACGGATCCACCATGGATTATATTGGAATTAATGGAAGCTGGTGACTTATTAACTTTTTTGAGAGAGAGTCGGACGTTGCAACCTTCAGATCCGCAAGCTTTGAGTCTACAAGACTTGCTTGCCATGTGCGAAGATGTTGCACGGGGTTGTCGCTACTTAGAAGAACAACGCTATGTGCATAGAGATCTCGCGTGTCGAAATTGCTTAATATCGACGAAAGCTCGCGAACAGCGAATTGTCAAAATCAGCGACTTTGGACTAACTAGAGATATTTACGAACGGAACTCTTACTACATGGTATATGCATTTATTTAAATAGTTAAAACTATTTTTTTCTCGCATTGCTGTAATATTATATATCGTTTCTTTTTGAAGTAACTAAAATGTAAATAAGAATTTTATAATGTAAACCTATTTTTATATTTGTATGTATACATATAACGGAGATATGTGAATTAAGCTGCATGCAAATAATGTTGCACGTAATGTTTACTTAAAAAAATAAACGACTTCGGTAAAAGACTTAACTGCCCTAAAATTGTGCATTAAAATTAGGAAGGAGGAACCCCGCTTCCCGTTCGCTGGATGGCACCGGAATCTTTGAAATACAAAAAATTTACTTCACAAAGCGATGTGTGGGCATTCGGAGTACTAATGTGGGAAATTACGTCATTAGGTCAGCTGCCTTATGTTGCCATACGTAATAGCAAAATAATGGAGCATGTGTGTGCGGGGAATAAGTTATCGAAACCTCGTAATTGTCCAGATAAATTGTACGAATTAATGCAAAGTTGCTGGAATGTTGTGAACCGAAGGCCAACATTCAGACTTTGTCTGGAAAATATAGAAACCTTGAAAGTCGAAATACAAGACGCAGTGCTAATTCCTTGGAATATTAGCAGACATATACAGGTAAATTGATAGTAATAAATTTTATATACATGGAACAAAGTCATTGCACAGAGCAATAATTTGTCAATATAATCGATTAAAAGCATTATGAAAATGCTTTTACGCATTAGCTCAAATTTCATAATATATTTAATATTATTCGATATCATTTGTTTCATTAATATTGTAATGCGATTACATTAGATAGATTATTATACATAGTATATATGTATAATATGTATTTTTTAATACACAGGCACAAGAAACAGTATAGCCACCATAATAGGAGTTATAAGTTATATTTATGAGTACTTATACCTAAATTATGTTTATAGATAATTTAAAAGAAGAAAATTTTTCCCAAGTTAAATGTCAAAGATGCAAACTGCGATAACATAATATTATACTTTTCAATTACAATTTAATTTTCTATTCTATGAAGTAAGCATGTTTTTTATAACTCAACTTCATAACTTGATCGTCATATTATGTAAAATTGTAATTTGTATAATTTGTAAACTTTATTTTATACTAGACAACACAAGCGCGTGCTCTATTAATTATATGTGCTTACACATACATATGCACACACACATACGCACACACAAACACCAAATGCATATCCATTTTTTTTGTAATTCTTAGTAAAATGCATCTTTTTGTTTCAGCTGCCGCCGCCGAAAAAAATGTGAATACATTCCATTGGCAAATTTTGACTGAAGCACAGTGATGTTTTTAAATATTTAATCGTCAATGATATCCCAAATGATGTTATAATCGCTTTTTTTGACCAAACAATTTTTGAGATCTTTGATCGAGATTAATAATCAATTTTATCGTCGTTTGTCGATCTATATTATTATCAATAATTTTCATCTATTTTTTTGTCTAATCCAAAAAAGTTTTACATAGTTTTACATTTTACATTTTTTTTTTTTGAGAAGGGCAAATAACTTTTGCGGTAAGAAGAAAGATAATGCATTTCGGGCAATTCCGTCAACGTGGTTGTTCAACATAGTCGATTAACATGGTGTACCAAAGTTCATCTACTTCTCTTTCATCATAAAAATCAGTTACCCTTCTTCATACACATATATATTAGCCGAACATGATCGAGCACAACCGAATTCAATCGAAATTTATATAGATGAGTATCATCGCAAATATCAGATCTCCCTCGTCACAATTAGTAGCTATAAAACTCCGACTATATATTCAGATACCAATTGAAATAATTGATTATGCATTGATCAGTAAGTGTTGGTCAGTCACGAATCGCGTGAAAACGATTCAAGTAGAAATATCTGCAAGAGAAAAAGTTATCATGTTTGTAACGTTAAAAATATTATGTATTTTATTAAAAGTGTTAATGTTAACGAGAGCGGTAACCGCGTTTTATTCAGAGGTTCAAGAAGATCAAGAGAATATATTTCAGGTCAGTCTTCAGAAAAAGGATATTTTCATAAGTAGGTATTGATTTAAACTTGATGTAAATAAGAAACTTTTTCGTAGATAAAAAATGAAAGAAAAATATTATGTATTGTAACTAAGAAATTATTTGGGTAATTAAAACTACACAATATATATATATACATAATGACACAATTTTGATGCTACGAAAAATATACAAAAACCTATTTCATTTTGTGTTTTACGTTAAATAAATAATATTATATATTACAAAATTATTATACTTAATTAAAACGATACATGTTAAAACTTAAACATAATAAAACATATGTTGAAATAATTAGTTTATTTAGGAATAAAAATTTTTAACATTAACCATTCCGTTTATTTTCTACATTGATAAAAAATATGTAACATTTTTATATAATTACATGATTATTTATTTACGTGATTTGATTTTTATTTAATTTTTAAAATCATCTTTATTGTTTTAAATATTTTAAACATCTTACCTTTTTAAATATTTTTTAATTTTTTAAAAATATTTTTTAAATTTTTGTATAAAATTTGCAATAAATTATTTTTTATTTAACAAAACCAATATAATAAATTTGAAGTTTAAATAAATTGCATACGTATAATAAGAATGACTAAATCTCGTATAGAAGATCTGATTAATGCACTTCAGTACAATTAATTTCTCTCGATCAAATATTTTAAGGTCAATCATATAGCTATAGTTATAACTATATAGCTAAATAGCTGTTTATTCACTATGTGTTTATTAATATTATTTATTGTATCAATATGTATATAATAAACATGTACATATAAACATATATTATTATATTTACATACGTACATATTTTAAGCAAAATACAAATCAAATGCTTATGCTATTATGCTTTTCAAATTTCACTTGCGTTGGAACATAATAATAAAAATTAAATTTATAGAAAAATAGACAATAATTTATTAGACAATAGAAATATAAAAGAATTTAATAAAATTTTTAAATACAGAAATTTCAAACATTTCTATGATTACAACACAATGATAATGAAATTAACTTTGCAATATAAACCTTAAAACTATCATTGATAAGAATCGTATTCGTGAATATAGAAATTGAATTAAAGTAAAATCTTATTTCAAGAAATTATTGATATTTAATAAACAAAAATTAACATAAAAACTGAATTATTAGACAAAACTGTTTCAACAATCGAAGAGAACTAGATCTTCTATAATGTAGTTACTACGCGAGAGACGGTTATAATTTCTTATTAATTTCTATATTGTACATTCAACAGGATACACCATCTTTTCAGTTCTTCACAGTTAATAATTACCTGTTACGATTAAAGAAGATATATATGCAGAAATATTTGAGCAACGTGACTGAAAAAAATTTAACCGGTAAGAAATCATTTGTAGACATGTTTATATTATCAAAATTTCCTGATTAGTTGCAAAAAATTGTACATGCAAATTCAAAATAAAATCGAATTGCAAAAAATCGTTTACTGAATAATAAATAATATTATTATTACACGATACGAAAGATTTCTACTTTTATACGAATTCAAAAAAATGAAAAAATTAAATTTAAAGAAATATCTCTCAACAAAAAGATATATAAATAAATATATATGAATTATATTTCAAAAATATAGAGAAAAAGAAGGGTGGATGCAAGCACTCTATCTGTTCACGAAATATTTTAAAATAAAATCTATCTCCTTCCTTTGCTAGCTATGTCGTTTCTAACTATTGTAGTTGGTCTAGAAAGGTTTATTTATTGTTTATACTCCATCCCTATATATAAATATGTATGATTATAATTATGTATAATTATGATTTTGATAGTACACTATTTCCAGAAAGCATTCTAAGCAAACCAACATTTCCTATTCGGACATTCGTAGAATTCGAGAACAAACTAATCAAGAAAAATATTTTTGTGACATTGAGGTAAAGAAGAATCTAAATTCTTAGTTTGTATTTTTTCATTCTTTTAAATTTAACGACACGCAAACGTAATATATATATATATATATATAATTTATATATATTTTTTTATCAGAAATTCGCTAAAATTAGAATTCGCTAAAAATAAAGAGATTAAGATATCTTATTTCTTTACAGATGGGACAAACCTGAGTTGACAAATGAATTTGTTGAAATAGATTGTAAGATTCAGTATTGGAGCGAGGATCTGAATCGAACGATTCAAATAAACATCAAAGATATTAACACATTTACGATATTAGAATACAAAGTATATGATTTAAAACCTGATACAACTTACTATTTCAATATAGAAATGAATAATCTGTTTAATTCTTATGTTAATTTTACCAATGTGTCCACCACGCACGAGAATCCGATACCTCTATTACTCGTCAACATGTTGAGTAAATTTAGTGTGGATGTGTTGGATGTAGATTTACAGATAGCCATTGAACTTGATACGGGCGTTATGTATGAAGAAATCGTTTACTCTGCATTGGAATATAAAATATATGGAATAAATAACCAGTCAGAGCTAATAACATCGGATTTTAATCCAACCGATATCAAAACCAATCGAAGCTACACAAAAATAGCAAAGCTCACTTACAATGCGCAAAATCTCTGCATCGATTGGATTCAAAGAAAACTTTATTGGACACAAGGGAATACAACGGGAATATACATTATAAAGCTAGACTTAACATTGTGGCAACAAATGGGCATAGTGAAATATGATGAAATTAACATATACAAACATGAATATAAACCAAAATTTTTCCATGTTCTGCCATCAACAGGGTACATTAAATTTTATCCATCTAAAAAAATTACTAACTTTGTTTTTTAATTAACAATTGATGTCATTTATTAATTTTTCAATGCTTTAATGATTATTCTTTTATCATAAGTTATGAAATCATAAACTCACAAAGAATTGTAACAATTTAAATATATATAATCTTTTATAATTTTCTGATGCAATATCTTATTAGTATTATAGTGAATAATATGCATATTTTTCAGATATATTTATTGGTACAATAATCTCAAGTCTGAAATAATGCGATCGGATTTAGATGGAAAAAACATGAAAGTTCTTGACAAAGACAATAAATGCTTCTGTTCCGAACTACGATACTTCTACTACTCTCCTACCATCTTCCAGATTGATACAACAAATATTGAACCGCTATTATATTGGAAAACACGGTATGATTTAGTCATAACAGATATTGATGGTTGTAAATGTTACCGAATTTCAGAGTTTAGAAAAAAATACAATTTTATACATGTAACGTTTGATAAAACAAACATTTACGTGTTCAACGAATACAAAAACAAAATCTACATTTTTAAAAAAATACATCGTTTTTTCGAAAACAAAGAACATGAATTTGAATATGTACGTACCGTACATTACCGAGAAAATTCTGATTATGGAATCAAGACACTCATATCTCTTGATAAAACTTTACAACCATATCCCCAGACGAAATGTCTGATACCTAACATAAAAGATTATCGTATTCAAGTATTGAATAAAACCGTACACACTATCACCATAAGTCTTCCAGAGCCGATGCTCAATGACGGATGCAAAAAGTACAAATTACCCACTACTATATATAACATCTCCGTGAGTTATTTAACATGTTTGGACAATGTCAGTAACAAGTTCGTGCAATTTAATGTAGTGACACACGAACGGCATTACGAATTCAAGAATTTAATGCCGTTCACAGAATATACGCTGAAACTGGCACTAAGCAATTTTTACTTTGACAAGTTATCAATGAATTTGCAATTCGGCTCGGATGTGAAAGTGATGAGTGCTCCAGACAAGATCGACGCGCCAAAAGATGTGACGGTTCAAGTTTTAATGCCAACTTTAGCGATAGTTTATTGGATGCCATCCAAGAACCTAAACTGCGTGACAGTGACCTACGAGGTGCATTGGATGCAATATTCAAATAAAACGCAGGAAATAATACAAAAGTCGCCTTCCTTCAAAAAACTTGTTGATAAGATCGAACATACGACAAATGGGAAGCTTTTCACGACAATTCTTCTACAGTCACAACAAAACTATCAGATATATGTGCGTGTGTATCCACACAACTTCAGTCAGTTCTTCAATGATAGTTTAAACAAAACAATCTACATGTCAGAACTGAATAATTTAAATTTAAGTGGAGTCAGTACAATTAGTATGAATGTCTCATGGATTTCTAGCGTTAATTTGACGATCCACACGGAATTCTGTCCCATACTGGAATACAAAAACAACGTGATGCGGGAGTGGCAAATCGCGAATAACAGCGACAGAAAAAATAATAACATAACATATTATATAAAAAATTTACTGCCGCGAACTCTATACAATTTTCGTTTAATCCTGAGATATCCCGAATATAAGAGGGACTTCGTATGGCCTGATAAAGGATTCAATTTTGAAACTCTTGGTGAGTAAACAATGACAACATGTATATATATATATGATATAAATTGTACTCTTGTATAACAAAGGTAATGTACCAAGTGCTCCTGGGATACCTATGGTAATAAAACTTCCAAATTTGACGTATCAGTTGAACTGGGAACCTGCGCAAGCTCATGATTCACCAGTGATTTTGTATCGACTGGAAGGTGTAATTGTTGAAAATAATTACGAAGGAAGCAATCAGACTGGCAAACACAATCATTGGAATTTATACTATAATGGAACAGATAATTACTGCTGGATAACTCCGATAGACATAAATCAGAAATATCGATTTCGTGTGCAGGCTAAAAACGTTTATGGTTTTGGAAAATGGAACGAAACAGGAGCGGATATTAATTTATCAGAATCTGTCGAAGTATCAACTATACAATACCTAATACCATACATATATAATTTTCTGCCATTTATATTGAGTCTTATCGCTACCATCGTAATCTGTTATGTTTATTACTTTTATTGTTGTAAGTATAATTGTAATAATTTAGAATTTAAATTGAAAAATTATTTTAGATTTATTATATATATGTATAGAAATTTCTAAAAGATTAGTTTATTTGCTGAAAATGATTTAAATTTTGCAAAGTACGGTATTAAATGTATTACAACGCTTATTTATATAACAGGCAAGCATCGCCAACGCAAAAAAAGAAAACAAATAATTTCGTCTTCAATATATGCTATCGAATTACCAGCTGCAAACGAAACACGTTACGTGAGCTTTGAACCCAACTTTGTTCACGATGCTAAACCGCAAATTGATCTCGACGAATTTGCACCAATCACAATAAAAAAAGAGCAAATTACCGTACAAAATCTTTTAGGTAGCGGCGCATTTGGAGAAGTAAAATTTATTTTTTATTTTTTAAATATATTCTTAAAGATTTTTCTGAACATTTTAATCAGAAAATGTTGAGGTAAAAATTTCTTAATAAAAATAATTGCATTCCGGACTACTCAATGAAAACTATCGCACTTTATGCCGTTCGATTCTTCATTATTGACGTTAAACGCGAGCAATCGTACTTTCGGCGCATCAAAATAAAGTCTCGATGTACACGTGCAGTGAATCTGCGTTTTTGAATCCTAGTCTTCAAGGAATTATCTCACCGTTTTCTTTGTCCAGCTACGGCAAATTCTCGGCGCAATTAACGAAAAGCGGGCACAAATACGAAAATAATTTTAGATATTCTAAAATTAACTTAAAATTTTATTTTTTAAAATCATTCGATTCTTATGATCAATCTCTTAACAAACTGCAAAAATTAATATAAACATTTTTGGCATGCACTCTATTAATTTGTATTAATTATGAGATATGTCGCAGGTATATCAAGGAAGTGTTGAAATGTTAGAAATGTTAAAAACAATACCTGTTGCCATAAAGATGTTACCAGAACATGCTACTTCGGAGCAAAAATATGAATTCTTGAAAGAGGCCCAGATTATGAAAAACTTTGACCACAAACATGTGTTGAAATTATTGGGCATTTGTCTTGAGACGAATCTACCATGGCTTATATTGGAATTAATGGAAGCTGGTGACTTATTAACTTTTTTGAGAGAGAGTCGGACGTTGCAACCTTCACATCCGCACGCTTTGAGTCTACAAGACTTGCTTGCCATGTGCGAAGATGTTGCACGGGGTTGTCGCTACTTAGAAGAACAACGCTATGTGCATAGAGATCTCGCGTGTCGAAATTGCTTAATATCGACAAAAGATCGCGAACATCGAATTGTCAAAATCAGCGACTTTGGACTAGCTAGAGATATTTACGAACGGAACTCTTACTACATGGTATATGCATTTATTTAAATAGTTAAAACTATTTTTTCTCGCATTGCTGTAATATTATATATCGTTTCTTTTTGAAGTAACTAAAATGTAAATAAGAATTTTATAATGTAAACCTATTTTTATATTTGTATGTATACATATAACGGAGATATGTGAATGAAGCTGCATGCAAATAATGTTGCACGTAATGTTTGCTTCAAAAAATAAACGACTTCGGTAAAAGACTTAACTGCGCTAAAATTGTGCATTAAAATTAGGAAGGAGGAACCCCGCTTCCCGTTCGCTGGATGGCACCGGAATCTTTGAAATACAAAAAATTTACTTCACAAAGCGATGTGTGGGCATTCGGTGTACTAATGTGGGAAATTACGTCATTAGGTCAGCTACCATATGTTGCCATACATAATAGCAAAATAAAGGAGCATGTGTGTGCGGGGAATAAGTTATCAAAACCTCGTAATTGTCCAGATAAATTGTACGAATTAATGCAAAGTTGCTGGAATATTGTGAACCAAAGGCCAAGTTTCAAACTTTGTCTTGAAAATATAGAAACCTTGAAAGTCGAAATACAAGACGCTGTGCTAATTCCTTGGAATATTAGCAGACATATACAGGTAAATTGATAGTAATAATTTTATATACATGGAACAAAGTCATTGCATGGAGCAATAATTTGTTGATATAATCGATTAAAAATGTTATTAAAATAATGGTTTTACTCCAGACAACGCCAAGTCCAAAATTGGCGCATAAGATATCTTTAAGATATCTTTAAGATGTCTTTTTGATATCATATCATAAGATTTTTTATAAAGCTGTCTTAAAGATTTTCTTAATGATATCTTATACGTCTATTTTAGACTTGGTGCTGTCTGGGACATTAGCTCAAATTTTATAATACATATTTAATATTATTCTATATTATTTTTGTTTTACTAATATTGTAACGTGATTACGTTAGTTATAATATACATATAATATACATATAATGTAGAATATGTATTTTTTAATATATAGACACGAGAAATAGTACAGCTAACGGAAAGTTATAAATTATATTTATGAGTTATTATGCCTAAATTATGTTCATAGATAATTTAGGAAAAGCAAATTTTTCGCAAGTTAAATGTCAAAGATACAAACTTATAACATATATAAGATTACTTTTTAATTGCAATTTAATTTCTATTCTATGAAGTAAACATGTTTTTCCTAATTTGGCTTCATAACTTGATAATATTATATTATGTAATATAGTGAAATTTATATATTATGTAAGCTTTATTTTATATAATGTTTTATTACTCTTTTAATTTTTCAATATACCTTTCATTACGAAATATATTTGCAATTATCTACAAATTCCACTTTGTATCGCAAATCTAGTAATGATTTTTGTTTTACTCCCAAAATACGTAGCCATGTGCAAAAAATTTATCGTGCATCGCTTCTACTGCTATCTTACAAAATATGTACCTATGTTATTTGTTTCTTTTCGCTCATCATCACTTTCATCCTTAATTTTTCCCTCTTTCTCTCTCCTCCACACTTACACTTACTTTTCAACTTTTCTGGGCTACAAACGCCTTAATTAACGTTTGCGAGAAGAAGTTCTAGGATTCTTGTGTTTCGAGACTCGTATGTGTTCTTTCCACCTACGTCTGATCTTGATCAAACTTCACAAATATACATTTATAGAATGCGGTTATCGTTGAAAAATGCTGCAGCTAAATATTTCTTCTTTCTCTCTTTCTCTCTCTCATATACATACGTATACACACACACACACACACACACGCGTACACTAACATCAAGTGCATACCCACTTTTTTACTCTTTTCTACCGATTCTTATAATAAAATACATTTTTTGTTTCAGCTCCCTTCTAAAAAATGTTGATACCTTCAAATGGAAGATCTTAACTGAAGTACAGTCGTGTTTTTTGAATATTTAACCACCCCAATGATACCTCAAATAATATTATATAATATATAGGCATAATTGCTTTTTTTGACCAAACGATTTTTGAGATCGATATTAATCATCAATTTTATCGTCGTTTGTCTATATTATTCTAATAATTATTAGCAATAATTCCCATCTATTTTTTTGTCCAATCGAACAGTTTTACATTCTTACATCTTTTTTGAGATGAGCAAGTAATTTTCATCGTAAGGAGAGAGTACAATGAATTTTGAGCAGTTCCATCAACGTGATTGACCAATGTGGTTGATTAACGTGATGTATCAAAGTTCATCTATACTCCTCCTTCTTTGTACCGCTAATATCATCCCCCTCTTAACACAATCGATAGTTATTTCATTGTCTATACATTCAAACGCCAATTGAAATGATTGAATATACATTGGTCAGTAAAGAATTGTTGGTCAGTCAAGAATCGCGTGAAAGCAATTCAAATAAAAATATATCTGCAAGAAAAAGAAGTTATTATGTTCAAAATGTTAAAAATATTATGTATTTTATTAAAAGTGTTAATGCTAATGAGAGCAGTCATCGCGTTGTCTTTAGAGAATACAGAGATGCATATAGTTCAGGTCAGTTTTCAAAAAAATGGATATTTTCATGTGCTTTGATTTAAACTTGTTGTAAATAAAAAACTTTTTCGTATAGATAAGAGATGAAGAAAAAATATTATATATCGTAACTAAGAAATTATTAGTGTAATTAAAACTGTTTAATATACGTAACAAAAGAATTTTGATAGTACAAAAAATTTACAAAAATTTGTTTAATTTTGCGTTAAAAACGTACACATTAAAATAATAATATTATATAGCACAAAATTATGCTTACATAATTGAACGGTATAATATTAAAACTTAAACGTAACATACATTTCAGTATGTAAAATACAAGGGTCAAGCCACCGGAAATCGTGATTGCATTCTATTCTATGTTTGCTAACAACCGACAGATTCGATTCATGCTTTTTAATGTTGTTCTGGTGTTCCTTTATGCGAGTATTTAGATGTCTTTTACTTTAGTATATAATTTACAGAAAAAACTAAGTAGCCTTATCAAAAGAGGTAAGGATACCACTCCTAAATTAAATAAAACAAATGTCGTTTATAGATTGGAATGCATTGATTGCAATGTTTCTTACATAGGACAAACAAAGAGACATCTAAATACTCGCATAAAGGAACACCAGAACAACATTAAAAAAAATGAATCGAATCTGTCGGTTGTTAGCAAACATAGAATAGAATGAAATCACGATTTCCGGTGGCTTGACCCTTGTATTTTACATACTGAAAAACATAGACGTAAGAAATGTTATATATTAAAAAGCAAACGAACACAATCAATCTTCAAACTGACACAGACAATCTCAATACTCTGTTTATGATAAGGTCATTAGAATATTTTAACGTCTTGTATCAGTAGTTGACAGAATGTCTTAGCGACATGTTAAAGTTCACAGCGCTTAACATATCATAATTTATGTCTCTATATCTTAATGTGGCTTATTAGAATTGTTTTAAGTAAGTACATTGTTGTCTCTCCTTGCACGAATTGACTTGTATTTAGTTTTAGTTTTGCGTCGCTAACTATTGATTTTTTATAATTTTAGCACTTGAAAAAGACCTAAATTTAAGGTCGAAACGTAGTGTATTTCACAAATATTTTAAGGTCAATAATATAGCTATAGTTATAATTATAGCTAAATAGCTACTATTCACTATATATCTAATAATATTATTTATTGTATCAATATATATAATAATGTATATAATAAACATGTATATACAGAGTGTTTCCGAAACATACACATCATTATGTCGGGTTGCCTATCTGCTTACCGACAGGGGCATGCTTTATGAGAAAAAGAAATCGACTTTATTACTTTGTATATACAGTGAACATTTGTGAAATTGGACTATATAGATAAAATATTTAATAATATAGATAAAATAACATATAAGTAAAATTTAATAATCCAATTGTATTAAATTTTACTAAAAATATTTTTTTAATTTATCTTTAATATAATTTTTATCTATAAATATAATAAGTCATATAATAAATTTATAGTAAATATAAAAGTTATATAATAAATTTTTAGTAAATATAATAAGTCATATAATAAATTTATTATATGACTTATTATATTCAGAGATTAAATCTATTATATGACTTATATTTACTAAAAATTTATTATATGACTTATGAATATTATATTATATTGATAGATAAAAATTATATTACAGATAAATTAAAAAATATTTTACAGTAAAATTTTAAAAATTTGATTATTAAATTTTACTTATGTTATTTTATTTATATTAATAAATATATATTTTATTTATATTATCCAATTTCACAAGTGTTCACTGTATATATAGAGTGATAAAGTCGATTTCTTTTTCTCATAAAGCATGCCCCTGTTGTAGCAGATAGGCAACCCGACATAATGATGTGTATGTATTGGAAACACCCTGTACATATATTAACATACGTACATATTTTAGGCGAAATATAACAATAAGTCAAATGTTTATGGCACTATACTCTTCAAATTTCACTTGCGTTGGAACATGATAATAAAAATTATATTTATAGGAAAATGGAAGATAATTTATTAGACAGCAAAAATATAAAAAATTAATAAGATTTTTAAATACAGGAATTTCGAATATTTCGATGATTACAAAACAATGATAATAACATTAACTTTAGTGTTGAAATATAAACCTTAAAACAATATCAATGATAACAATCGCTACCGTGAAAATAGAAATCGAATTTAAGTAAAGTCTTACTTGAAGAGGGAGAAAGAAGTTATTGTTATTAAATAAACTAAAATTAACAAAAACTGAATTATTAGACAAAGCTTTTTATAATCAAAGAGAACTAGATCTATGATGTAATTACTATATGAGAGACAGTTATAATTTCTTATTAATTTTTATTATTTATTCAACAGAATACTCCATTTTTCGAGTTCTTCACAGTTAATGATTACCTGTCACAAATCCAGAAGTTATCTATCCAGAAATATTTGTACAACCTAACTGAAAAAGATGCAGCCGGTAAGAATTCATTTTTAGACATGTTTATATTCTCAAATATTCCTGATTAGTTGCAAAAAATTGCATATGCAAAGTGAAATAAAATCAAATTACAAAAAATCGTATACTGTGAATGAAAAATTACACTTTTACACGAATTCAAAAAAATGAAAAAATTAAATTTAAAGAAATATCTCTCAATAAGAAGAAAACTCTCGACAAGATATAAATAAATAAATATAAATTCTTTTCGAAAAAGAAAGAAACAGAGAAATGAAAGCAAGCACTCATCTGTTCACGCTAGCTAGCTATATCATTTCTAACTAGTTCTAGTTGAAAATCTTGTATTTCTAGTTGGAAATTTTATATTTCTATATTTTTAATCAATAGACAATTTCGAAAAATGCTAAACACTCAGTAATCATTAAAGGATTTTTCATCAATGTATAACATTTGATATTGCGTGTTATTTGAATTTCAATCTGCTAACAACCAGTATAAGATCAAGGCAGATGGTACATGGAAAGAATTAATTTTCGTTGAAACTGATTAGTTGTTTGCACAGAGCACAAACATTTCTTGGTACGATATGTCATAAAATGAAATAAATCTCAATTCTTTCTTGTCACTGACGCTCTATATACGACTTGACTTTAGTTTATTAAAATTCTAATATGCTTTTTGAAAGCCTTACTAAAGTGTTTGGAATATTTGTTTTTCTTAAAAATCATTGAAAGACCGTTGACAATTACTGTCTCTTTTATTATAAAATATTTATTTTTGGTCAGAACTAGTAATTATGTTTCTAAGTCTCTCAAAAAACGCATATAGATTAATTTTATTGTTTGATTATTTTAAAAATCAATACTCGCAATACGTTAATTTTCAGTTTGTAATTTTATTTATTTCTTTTTTGATTTAAAAGTATCTGTCATCGGACTTTATGTATATCATATAAAATAAATGTGCCAGTTATTGTGACCTTAGTTTATTTCTCACATAATAAAATATAGCATAATAAAATTCAGGATATTAATTTTCTTATAAAATTGAGTTAATTTTTTATGTTTATGTCAAATTAAATATATAACATTTATATTTTTAAATATTGAAAATAATATTAAAAATGTTTGATACCCCTTATATAGCTTGTTTTTACATATCAATATAAATAGATTATGTGCACCACCTATAAAAAAATGTATACTCTATTATTAAAACCCGTATAAATTACGAAGAAACAATATTTTAATTTTTAAAATATTTTTTTATTTTTAATGAATCCAATAAGAATAACTGGTAAGAATTTGTGCTTTTTTTTATTACCATGTGTCTAATAATTACACAAGTTTTTGTCATTTTTGCCGACGTGGCAATTACAGCCGCCTTATGCTACACGGTATATGGTATAATCAACATATTTAGGGCACAGTATTCTGAATTTCTACAGTAATTGATAAAAAGTACAGTAAATTACTCATTTTTGTCATTTTTTGTTATCCAGTAATTGGCTTGAATCTCTTTTTACTTTATTATAATTTTTAAAGTTTTTAAAATATTTTATTTACAAAAAAATTCCTTGTATTACAAAAAACATTGTATTATAATTTTAATATTTTAAGACGTAGAAAAAAATTAGGAAATCTTTTTAAATTTAAAAACATGGAGGTGCAACTAAAAGGACACAGTAATTGACATATTCACTCTATTATTTTTGTTGTCAGCCGTTAAAATTTGTTTTATTTTACTTTTTCTCAATTACTGAAACTGGAAGTTTAATGTATCATTTTATAGCTAGGTTCGGAGAGCGCGCTTAAATATCAATATGTGTTATACTTGAAATATATAGAAAGGTCTATTTATATTGTATATACTCCATCCTTATATATAAATTTGTATGATTATAACTATGTATAATTATTATTTTGACAGTACATCAGGGAGATAACAGATTATTTCCGGAAAGCATTATAAGCAATCCAACATTATCTATTCGGACATTCGTAGAATTTGATAACGTATTAATCAAGAAAGACCTTTTTGTGTCATTCAGGTAAAGAATATAAATTTAAATTCTTAGCTTGTACTTTTTTATTCTTTTAAATTAACGATACACACACACTCACGCATGCGTGCGTGCGTGCGTATTTCTAATTGTTTGAATGTTTCTTATACCCTTATGGAAATTTATCACTAATAAATCCAAATAATCACTTTTTAGAGTACTTAAATTATTGTATATCAGTGATAATATTCTTATTTTATGCAATTATGCTTTATTGCTATAACTTTAAAACAATCGACTTTAGGGCATAAGTATATAAGACTTTTTGACTTATTGTTAGAATGACACCAAGAATACATAGTTTCAGTGTAGACATCACATTGCGGGATACCTGTATATATATATTATATATATATATATATATATATAATATATATATAGGGTGTCCCGCAACGTGATATATATATATATTACTTATATATATTTTTATCAGAAATTCGCTAAAATCAGATTTTGCTAAAAATAAAAGGTTTAAGATACCATACTTATTTACAGATCGGACAAATTTAAATAAATAAATGAAAAATTTGGAATAAATAATAATAATTAATGAACTATAATAATAATAGAATTATTCAAATTAAACCTTAATTATAGTAATCTTTATTAAAAATTAGAATACAAATTATATATTTAAAATTATGCAAACTTAATAATTCAATATAAAAAAGACAATAAAATTACTTTGATACAATCGATTACATAATGTACCACTACGCATGAGAATCAATACCTCTATTACTCGTCCACATATTTCGTAAATCGGGTGTGGATGTATTGGCTGTAGATTTACAGAAAAAAAAACTTTAAAAGTAACATTCAAAATAAAAACTCGTAATTTTAAAACACATGCACACACATATAAACTCAACATAATAAAATCTGTCGATAAACTTAAAGAGGGGGACTTCAACAAGCCTTCAGTTTCATTATTCAATTTGAATCATTGAACGCATGAAATAATCATAGCTGTTAGTCAGTAGCCAATCGCGTGTAAGCTGGTCAAGTACACATATTTGTAACAGGAGAAAATTATGATGCCAAGAACATTAACAATATATATTTTACTAAAAGTGTTAATATTAACGAGAACAACTATTACGTTCTCAAAAGATCTAGAGAACTTGGAGAATCTTGAGAATTCGGTAAGTCTTCAGAAAAAGTTTATTTTTATGTAAACTTTTACGCAAATAAAAAATTTGAATGTTATACATTCTAGGTAAAAAATATATTTGTGTAATTGAAACTGCATAATACGTAACAAAACAATATTTTTACTTTTTTAATATTTATATTTATTAATTTTTGTAAAACTAACAGAATAAATTATTTTGTATTCTTTTATGAAATCAATATAGAAAATTAAAATTGTTTATTTAAAATAAGTTGCGTAATAAAATGGATTCTAAATGTCAAAGTAGGAAATCGGTACAATAAATTACTTTCAATTAAGCAATTCTTACATTCAATTTATAAAATCAATAAGATACAATATCGATGATTTGCTATTATTATGTGCGAATTATTATTTATAGGCTTTATTTATGCGTAATATTTACATTGAAATACTAGTCAAGTTTTTATGCTTTTAAAAATTTATTTGAATTCGAATATACATAATAATAATACAGAACAAATTTGACAATATTTTTAAATATGGAAATTTATGACTACAAAGAATTTCTCTGACTACAAACAAGTAATAATTAAAATATTTTTATTCTTCAAATATAAACATTATTTTAAAACTATCAGTAAAAACAAATGTACTTGTAAATAAAAAAATAGAGTTAAAAGGGAGTCTTATTTGAAGACATTAACTAATTACTCTCGACCTATTAAATAATATAATAAAAAAATTGAATTATTAAACAAAATTGTGTCAATAATTAAAAAAATCAATTTTCCACGATTTATTTACTAAAAAACCGTTATATTCTTATTTAGCTTTTTACTATCGACTTAACAGGATATCCCATTCTTCGAGTTCATCACAATTCATGATTACGTGTCATCAAAAATCGACTCTGTCCAGAATTATTCTGACAATGTGACTGTGCAAAATAAAGTCGGTAAGATATTAATTCTATAATATATATAATAAAATAAGAAATTAATTTGCAGGCATGTTTACATTTCTACAATTTCTTGATCAAGAAATTATATATTTAAATTCAAAATAAAATTGAATCATAAAAAATGGTTTACAGAAAAATTAAATCTATAGAAACTCTTAACAACAAAAAGATTATACGTATAAATATAAAATCTATTCAAGAAGATAGAGATAAAGAGCAAGAGATGCGAGTACTCGAAACAGTTTAAGACGAAATCAATATCGTTATTCAATCATTATTTGCTAACTTTGTAATCATTATATGTAGAAAATCAATGTAATCATTATATGTGTAACTCTGCAATTATTATATAAAAAATTTCTATTTATTATAAAATATTGTTTTTAATTTTAATTTTAACTATATAGTTAATTGTTGAATATGGATCCATGGGAATATCTTGTGAGCAAGAATAATATCTGGCACTTGATGAATTAATTACTTTTTGACTGAACCTACGAAATGCTTTATTCTGCTCCAACTCTCGAAGCGTGTCGTGTAATATGCTCCTTAAATGATATGCGAATAACTCTCTCCTTGCATGGGAACGGGAATAGCTGCACAAATCTTCTCGATAAACGTGGGCATGGGCATTTTACATACATGTGTGTGTATACACATATATACGTATATATATTTATACATTAGTAAAAGCCACACACAGATGTGGTAAAATCAGAATTTTAATATATAATTATATATGTCAATATGTATAATTGAAATTTTTAGAAAGATTTACTTATATACACATTATACATATGTAATATATATTCTATTTTTGTATATAAATGTGTATGATTATAATTATGTATAATTATGAAAGTGCTCCAGGAAAGCAGTATACTAGAAAGCATTCCAAGCGAACCGACATCTCCTAGAGCATTCGTAGAATTTGGCAATAGACTAACTGAGAAAGACATTTTTGTGACATTCAGGTAAAGAATCTAAATTGTTAACTGTTATTTTTTCATTCTTTTAAGTTTAACGACACACATACACACATTTATACATAGGTATACATATATGTATATACGTATATATATATATATATTTATATATATATATATATATATATATATAATATATAAAAATATATATTTATAGAATATATATTTATTATATTAAAATATAAATTTATACATACTTCAATACATTTCTTTGCGAAAATTCGTTAAAATAGAAACATTAAAATGTTATTTTTTTTACAGATGGAACGAACCTAAAGTGACAATTGGAAAGATACAAAAATATAGTGTCCAATATTGGTTCGAGGACCTAAATCAAACAATTAAAATCATTAATATTTTCCCATTGTCAAATAGAATATTGCAACATAAAATATGCGATTTAAAACCTAATACAACCTACTATTTCAAAGTACGAGCACATAACAAATTTGGTGCTGGTCCTTACACTAAGTGCATCAACGTGTCAACCACACATGAGAATCCGATACCTCTATTACTCGAAATGCCGATGGATATACAAAGTGTGAATGTATTGGATATAGATTTTCGGATCGGCTTTAAACTTCCTGTACGCGTTAAATATAAAGAAATCGTTTACTCGGCATTGGAACATAAAATTTATGGGATTACTGACAATTCAGAGCTAATAACATCGGACTTTAATCAAAACGAAATCAAAGCTAATCTAAAATACACAAATATAACAAAGCTCGACGTTACTGCGAACAATCTCTGCATTGATTGGATTCGTAGAAATCTTTATTGGCTACAAATTAAAATGGACAACCTCTACATTATGAAGCTAGACTTAACTTTGTGGGAACAAATGAGCATGAACAAATCAGATGAAATCATAACAAAATCTCTAATATCTTCAAGAATATATTCTTCTCTCTTTTTAGTAGCACTGCCATATACAAGGTGCAAATCACTAAAACACATGTTAATTTAAAAAATTAATAGTTTTTTTTAATTAAAAATTTGTTCTAATTTTTTAGTAATTTAGTATGTAGATATTATATTAAAGCTCATAAGTTATGAAATTATAAATTCATAGAGAATTTTTTAATATCTTAAAAGCAGTGAATATAATATGCATATTTTTCAGATATTTATATTGGTCAGAACTTAATTCGGACAAAAATGAAAATATCATAATGCAATCGGACTTCAATGGAAAAAATATAAAATCCTTTTTAGAAGACCATATATGTCAATACAAACTAGAATTATCATCCTCCATGCAGATTGACACAACGAATGTCGATAAGCCACTAATGTATTGGATATTGGAAAATAATTTATTCGTAACGAATATTAATGGTTCCAAATGTAACCTCATTTTAAGAGCTACAAATAAAACATATTTCGATGATTTAACAATTGATAAGATAAATATTTATTTATACAATAATTTTGACAAAATAATCTATATAATAAAAAAAAGGTATGCTCTTCTCGAAAGCAAGGAAAACGCATTTGAAAGTGTCGAAAAAATAAATATGCAAGGTATCAATACTAATATGTATCATCGATTAATAGCTCTTGATAAATCTTTACAATTATATCCCCCGACGATATGTCTGACACCTAAAATGGAAGAATATCGTGTTGAAAAAGTGCTTTTAAACGCGAACAGTATCGAGGTGAGTCTTCCGGAACCGATTCTAAATGTTGGATGCAAAAAGTACAACTTAGCCACCACAATATATCACATTTCCGTGAGTTATTTAACATGTTTGGACAATGACAGTATTCAAATTGAGCATTTTACCGTCAAGACGTATGAACGGCATTACGAAATCCAGAATTTAACGCCATTCACAGAATACACGTTGAAATTGGCATTGAGCAATTTTTACGCCAACAAGTTATTGATGAGCTTATTGCAATTCGGATCGAATGTCATACTGAAAACTATCCCGGGCAAACTCAACGCCCCGGAAGATGTGACAGTTCAAGTTCTAACGCCTACTTTGGCGATAATCCATTGGATGCCACCCAAGAAATTAAACTGCGTGGCCGTGAATTACGAGGTGTATTGGTTGCTATTTCCAAATAGTACAAAAAAAATAAGTTATCAACTTGACAAAAAACTGATAAATAAACCGAACCGTACGGTAAATGGAAAGCTTTTCACGATAATCAAATTGCTGCCAAGACATAATTATCAGATATATGTACGTGTATATCCAACCAATTTCAGCCATTTATTCGAAGATAGTTTAATTAAAACGGTTTACATGTCGGAACCGAATAATTTAAATCTGAATGGAGTCAGTACAAACAGTATGAATATCTCGTGGATATCTAGCATTAATCTGACGATTCACACTAAATTCCGTTCCATACTGGAATACAAAAACGATACGATGCGAGAGTGGCAAATCGCAAATAATAGCGAAAGAAATAATAATACAATAACATATTATATAAAGAATTTACTGCCGCGAACTGTATACAATTTCCGTTTGATCCTGAGATATCCCGAATACATGAACGATTTTGTATGGCCTGAAAAAGGATTCAATTTTGAAACGCTTGGTGAGTAAACAATGACAATATGTATACACTTGTGATATTATGTGTGTACTTTAAGACTTTCTTAAAAATGAATTTGAATTGGAAATTAAATAATAAGGTTCTAAGATAATAAATTTTAAAATAAAACAAAGATATTTAAATTGTATTCTTGTATAACAAAGGTAATGTACCAAGTGCTCCTGGGATACTTATGGTAACAAAACTTCCAAATTTGACGTATCAGTTGAATTGGGAACCTGCGCAAGCTCATAATTCACCAGTGATTTTGTATAGACTGGAAGGTTTAATTATCAAAAATAATTATAAAGAAAGCAATCAGACTGACAAAAGCAATTATTGGAATTTGTACTATAATGGAACAGATAATTACTGGATAACTACGAGATACATGAATCAGAAATATCGATTTCGCGTGCAGGCTAAAAACGCTTATGGCTTTGGAAAATGGAGCGAATCAAGAATCGTCGATTTAACAGAATCTATGGAAATATTAATTTTGCAATACATAGCATTAATATTAAGCCTTGTCGCTACCATCGTAATCTGTAATGTCTACTACTTTTACTGTTGTATGTTATATTGTTCTTATACATTGAGAACTTTTATTAAAAATTATTTTAGACTATATATATATATATATATATATATATATATATAAAGTTTCTGAAAGATTATTATATTATATATTTGTTGATAATAGCGCAATGCATAGTATTAAATAAGTGTATTATAATGCTTTTTTATCCAACAGCATACCGAGAAAAAAATAAACGAGTAAATCTGTCTTCGACAAGCAATATCGAATTAATAACTAATTATAAAAAATTTTATGGCAATAACTCTGAAACCAATCCTGTGCACGATTCTAAACTGCAACATGATCGGGACGCATTTGCACGAATAGGAATAATCAAAATAAATAAAATTATTTTAGAAAAGTTTCTGGGCAGTGGTGCATTTGGAGAGGTAAAAATTAATTTCTTATTATTTAAATATATCCTAGAAAACTTTCTTTAATTTTTTAATCGGAAAATTTTCAGGTAAAAACACATTTTTAGTAAAAGTAACAGTAGAAATCAAAAATTTTCATAAAAAGTTAAATAATATAAACATTTTTACTCTCAATTTGTGTTAATTATGAAATATAACGCGCAGGTATATCAAGGAACTGTCAAAAATTTTAAAGACTCGGACAGAACTGTTGCCATAAAAATGCTACCAGATAATGCTACCTCGCAACAGGAGTATGAATTCTTGAAAGAGGCCACCCTTATGAGCGACTTTGACCACAAACATATACTAAAAATTTTTGGCATCTGTGTTGACATGAGTTCACCATGGCTCATATTGGAATTAATGGAAGCTGATGACTTGCTGACTTATTTGAAAAAGAGTCGGACATTGGTATCGTCAAATCCGCACGCTTTGCGTTTACAAGACTTGCTTGCCATGTGCGAAGATATTGCTCGGGGTTGTCGCTACTTAGAAGAACAGCACTTCGTGCATAGAGATCTCGCGTGTCGAAATTGCTTAATATCGGCGAGAGATCGCGAACATCGTATTGTCAAAATAGGCGGCTTCGGACTAACGAGAGATATTTACGAAAAAGACTATTACCGCATGCAAATGGTAAATGCAATTATTTTAAAGAATTACTTTTTTTTATTTTTGCATTATTATAATAATATACATCTTTAAATTCACAGAATGTAAACAAATATTTTATAATGTAGAACTGTATTTTATATTTTTTGTATTTTATATTCTTATATTTGTATTTTTTATATGTGTACAAAGAAAGGTGTAGATGAATTAAATCTGCACACACTTGCTTCAAAAATGAACGATTTTTATCAAATTTAATTGTCTAAAAATTGTGTTAGGAAGGAAGAACTCCGCTTCCTATTCGCTGGTTGGCGCCGGAATCTTTGAGATATCGAAAATTTACTTCAAGAAGCGATGTTTGGGCATTCGGGGTAGTAATGTGGGAAATTACATCATTGGGCCGAATGCCCTATTTTGATAAGAATAATATTGAAGTATGCCAATTTGTGTGTACGGGAAATACACTATCGAAACCTCTTGATTGTCCACCGGAATTGTATCAGCTAATGCTAAAATGCTGGAATGTGGCGACAAAAAGACCAAAATTCAAACATTGTTTCGAAATTATCGAAATTCTAAGAAATGAAATAGAAGACGCGATGCTAAGTTCGATGAATATTATCAGACATGTACAGGTAACTCGATCGTAATTTTTTTATGTACATTATGCATATTATTGCATGGAACAATGAATTTCCGATATAATATCATCTAAAAAGATATTTCATAAATATTGCTTTTATTTTTGCTTATATTTTATAATACATTTATTATTATTTAAAATTATGTATTTTACTAAAATTTTACAACGTGATTACGTTAGTAAAACATAATTCTTAAAATATAATATTAATGTATAAATAATAGAAAATGGCTTTTACACATAGAGATACAAGAAACGCTAGCAAGTGATAAATCATAAAGATTTTATATTTATTGTAGCTAATTTTATTAGAAGAAATTTATTTAAGAATTTATTTTTACTTTTTTTCGCAAATTAATGGCCAAAGATGCAAATTTATGATATTTATTTTTTTTCAATTATGATCTAATTTTTAAACTACAAAATAATCGTGTTTTTCACATAGTTACATGACTCGATATCGTCATATTATGTAATACTGAAATTTATGTATTGTATAAGCTTTATTTAAACCATACACATACAATCCCTCTCTTTTTTTAATTCTTACTTACTTAATAAAATGCATTGTTTTTTGTTTTAGAATCCGCGTTCTGAAGCACCAGATTATCTTCAGATAATATCTGAATCTGATAGCAGACCTCATTGAAAACATAGCCTGTACTTCCGAACGCTTAACTATTTGATGCCTTAAATGGTATAGAATCTTCAACATAATCGCTTTCTTGGCTAAGCAACTTTTCAAATCTTTGATCGACATTTATAATCAATTTTACCGTCATCGATAGCTACGGTGATCATATTTTTTAAGAGAAAATAAAGATCAAATTTTTGAAAATTTTGGATTTTGTTTCAACATGTTTTTTTCAAATCAGTTTGCGGCCAAAGTGGAGAGATCGACGAGCGGAAAAAAGTTATTCTGTGGCTATCAGAGAAGTCTACGTTCTTATTCTTATAGTTTGAAACTAACTCAACTTACTATGTTGAAACAAACCCTTTGGTCTCTTAAATAGATTCCGGATTAAAAATAAATTTCTTTAAATAAAGGACAAAGATAAATTTTGGAAAAATGGAAAATCTGAAAGAACAACTATTTGAAGTAAAGAACTGTCCTCTAAAATAAAGGACGGATGGTTACTGTATCTATAGACACTATAACTAAATACGATATAATATGTAATAATTTTTTTAATCGTGCTTTTTATATTTATCATCAATAATTGTCCTCTGTCTTCATCTAATTAAAAAAAGTCATATTGTAAATTTTCTTATTGTTGTTAGTAAGCACTCGATCGAGATCGACCATTGAATCAAGATAGACATTGAATTAGATTCAGAGATAAAGTATATACAGTAAAATAGACAGAAAATATATAAAAGATGAAAAATATAATAGAAAAATATGTTTGTAGTCTTACAAATATTCAATAAATATGTTTAAGATAAGTTTAAATATTCGACAATACTTGCGTAATTTACTTGCACAATAACTCTAACACATTTAGGCTAATTCGAATATACACTCCTCAAAATAATTAAGGGATAAAAAAATTGTCCGAAACATAAGCAAGTTTTAAATAGCTGTAACTTTGTTTCAAAAAATGATAATTTAAATTTCAAAAAAAAGTTTTAAAGCTTGAAATCTTTACTTTCGAAAGATCATAGGTCTTTTCATTTTCTTCAATTCTGATATTTTTTACATACAGAAAAGGACAAACATAACAAAATGGAAAATTTTTTCTCACTTTGTAAACATGTCGCATACACAAGAAGATTTGAAAAAAATTTTGACATTTTCACGTTAAAGCATGAAATTTTCGTTGCAAAATCGTTTTTTAAAATTTAAATTTCGATCTTTTCTTATCAAGTTATCGCAAATTGAAGAAAAAACGTTATTTTCACTTTGATCTTTCATAACTCCGTTAAAAATCATGGTACAACAATTTTAAGAATGGATTCTTAAAGCTGAATCTTTGCTCTATAATGTGATATAGAGATAATTTTTTTGGACAATTTTTTTGCTTATTTTTTGGACAATTTTTTTGATTCCTTAATTATTTTGAGTAGCGTATATGGTATATTAAAAATAGATATTACTTAAGAAATGTATATGTTATCGAATAAAAACAATTTTACATTATATTTCAATTTTTGTTTAAAATTTGCGTATTTTATACGTTTTTAATTTCAAATTAATATGCATTAAATTAATAAACTTACTTTTTAGATTTTTTCAATTTTTGATATTATTGTATACACTTCCTTGCATTTTATAATAATAAAATAATTATAATAATATATATATGGAGAAAATAAAAGAAATATAAAGATAATATGTTTAATTTTAATATAATGTCTCATATCATAGTGTGTCAAATCAATGTTCGAAAATCGAACGTCTAAAAACCTAAAAGATAAAAACATGGGACCACGTGCATTCAAATTTAATATTCATGCCTCATGCATCATGCGATATAGATTAAATAAAATTACATTATATACAATTAGCGCTCGGCCGCGAGAGTATACGGATACTCGCGCCTTCGAGAAAAGAAGCGCTTAAATCATCACTAACAATAAACACCAATAACACAAATAAAACAATACACAATAAACTAACAATAAACACCAATAAACTAACAATAAACACCAATGACACAAATAAACTAACAATAAACACTGCGGTCGCGCGAGAGGAAATAAAAGTTAGTCAGATAATAACAAAACGACTATATTTGCTTGAAAGTAAATAATTACAGAAAACGCTCTTTCGCCCTCAGCCGAACGATAGAATAAGACAAATTGTTCTCGAATATTCTAGAAACACAGGCCTATATAAACCTCCTCTCTCGTGACCGCGGCGCTCTCTTTACAGATTGCTTGTCGCGTCAAGAGTGTGCTTCTACTTTACGAAAAAGATCGCTTGTCTTTTTCACGTTTAATTACCGTTGCTTGCGAACTCTCATTTCTTAATTTTCGACACGGCTTTTCTTTCGGTTATTGCACTTTCTAATACGTTCGACTCGGCTATATTTTGGTAAATTCTGTGCGGTTTGAAATAATTGTGTTTTTTGTATCAGTATTAAATATATTTTTTATAAATTTAAAGATATAAGACAGGCAATAAGAGCCAACTCGCGGATGACAGTGCGTTATCCTAACGAAACTAAATTTTTCGTTAGGATTAAGTATTTGTGCACAAGGCACCAAATTTTATTTGGTCACGGCCAAGATTTAAAATATGAAATAATCTCATATTTGAGATTTAATTTCAATAACTGATAGATATAAATCTAATAATATATATATATAATAATATAATAATATAATAATAGATATAAATCTATAAAATAGTTTCGTTAGGATAACGCACTGTCATCCGCGAGTTGGCTCTTATTGCCTGTCTTATATCTTTAAATTTATATTTATATTACAGAGCCTTGTTAAACTCTTAATATATTTTTTATATTAAACGATACGTGTGTGTCGAGTGCAGTGCTTCTCTGTCTTCTCGCTTCCGACCTTCCTATCTTGCTTTCCGTCGCGCACACATAGATAATCCTTTAAAAAGAGAATAATTCATTAGACAACTTTTTGATGTACAATTTTAAATTGTCAAATATTTCAATTAAAAAATGCGACAAATAATGTCCCAATATTAATGCAATAAATAAAATTTTGTAAGTTTAATTGCCTGTAGATAGTATATCAATATCTGATAATTTCAATTTCTACAATCTAGAAACATCATTTAAAAATAGATTTATCGATGTAAAAATGTTTGCAAATGTATCGTAATAAAATATAAATTTAATACTTCCAAAACATAAATATATATTATCTGTATTATCAATGATAATTATAACAGTTTGTATATGCACAACAAAAGAGATAAATATTGTAATATTTATCTTGATATTTTATAAATATAATTTATATTATAATTATAAGTAATAATATATTATATCCGCTTTATGTGCGTATATGTATGTGAATAATACTTTGATATAATTGAATATACTACATGCATTCTTTTGCACCTTGTTTAATCGTAGAACACTAATTAAAATACACTTATTCATTTCTCAGCACAATTTTTATTTGCTAAAGTTACTAAAAAATTTTGACATACAAAAGAATTTTAAAAAGTAACATTCAAAAACTCGTAATTTTAGAACACATGCACACACATATAAACTCAACATAATAGAATCTCAAAGAATTATATCAAGGCTCTGTAATATTAAACAATCACAAATAAAAACGGCCTAAAAAACCATACGCGGATGTTAAATTAGTGCGTACATTTCCAACGAAAATTAAGTTTTCGTTGGAAATAAAGCGACTTTCGAATCTATATATTTCTCTCGCATATATTTATTTATTTCCGTACGGGGATTAGAGGGTTTTTGAAATTAAATCTCAAGTATAAATTAATTCAAATTTTAAGTCTTATACGTGCCTTGTGCGCGGTTTATTTTCGACAACTTAATTTTCGTTGGAAATGTACGCAGCAAAATCCGCGTATGGCTCTTTAGGCCATCTTTATTTGTGATTCATTGTTCAATTTGATTCTGAGTCACTGATCACGTGAAATATTCATAGCAGTTAGTCAGTAGCCAATAATCGCGTGTAAGCTGGTCGAGTACACATATTTGTAACAGGAGAAAATTATGATGCCAAGAACATTAACAATATATATTTTACTAAAAGTGTTAATATTAATGAGAACAACTATTACGTTCTCAAAGGATCTGGAGGACTTGGAAAATATTGAGAATTCGGTAAGTCTTCAGAAAAAGTATTTTTATGTAGACTTTTACGGAGATAAAAAATTTTTCATAAAGAAATTTGAATGTCATTCTAGGTAAATAATTATTTTGTCATTCTAGATAAAAAATATATTTGTGTAATTGAAACTGCATAATACGTAACAAAACAATATTTTTACTTTTTTAATATTTATATTTATTAATTTTTGTAAAACTAACAGAATAAATTATTTTGTATTCTTTTATGAAATCAATATAAAAAATTAAAATTGTTTATTTAAAATAAGTTGCGTAATAAAATGGATTCTAAATGTCAAAGTAGGAAATCGGTACAATAAATTACTTTCAATCAAGCAATTCTTACATTCAATTTATAAAATCAATAAGATACAATATCGATGATTTGCTATTATTATGTGCGAATTATTATTTATAGGCTTTATTTATGCGTAATATTTACATTGAAATACTAGTCAAGTTTTTATGCTTTTAAAAATTTATTTGAATTCGAATATACATAATAATAATACAGAACAAATTTGACAATATTTTTAAATATGGAAATTTATGACTACAAAGAATTTCTCTGACTACAAACAAGTAATAATTAAAATATTTTTATTCTTCAAATATAAACATTATTTTAAAACTATCAGTAAAAACAAATGTACTTGTAAAAAAAAAATAGAGTTAAAAGGGAGTCTTATTTGAAGACATTAACTAATTACTCTCGACCTATTAAATAATATAATAAAAAAATTGAATTATTAAACAAAATTGTGTCAATAATTAAAAAAATCAATTTTCCACGATTTATTTACTAAAAAACCGTTATATTCTTATTTAGCTTTTTACTATCGACTTAACAGGATATCCCATTCTTCGAGTTCATCACAATTCATGATTACGTGTCATCAAAAATCGACTCTGTCCAGAATTATTCTGACAATGTGACTGTGCAAAATGAAGTCGGTAAGATATTAATTCTATAATATATATAATAAAATAAGAAATTAATTTGCAGGCATGTTTACATTCCTACAATTTCTTGATCAAGAAATTATATATTTAAATTCAAAATAAAATTGAATCATAAAAAATGGTTTACAGAAAAAATTAAATCTATAGAAACTCTTAACAACAAAAAGATTATACGTATAAATATAAAATCTATTCAAGAAGATAGAGATAAAGAGCAAGAGATGCGAGTACTCGAAACAGTTTAAGACGAAATCAATATCGTTATTCAATCATTATTTGCTAACTTTGTAATCATTATATGTAGAAAATCAATGTAATCATTATATGTGTAACTCTGCAATTATTATATAAAAAATTTCTATTTATTATAAAATATTTGTTTTTAATTTTAATTTTAACTATATAGTTAATTGTTGAATATGGATCCATGGGAATATCTTGTGAGCAAGAATAATATCTGGAACTTGATGAATTAATTACTTTTTGACTGAACCTACGAAATGCTTTATTCTGCTCCAACTCTCGAAGCGTGTCGTGTAATATGCTCCTTAAATGATATGCGAATAACTCTCTCCTTGCATGGGAACGGGAATAGCTGCACAAATCTTCTCGATAAACGTGGGCATGGGCATTTTACATACATGTGTGTGTATACACATATATACGTATATATATTTATACATTAGTAAAAGCCACACACAGATGTGGTAAAATCAGAATTTTAATATATAATTATATATGTCAATATGTATAATTGAAATTTTTAGAAAGATTTACTTATATACACATTATACATATGTAATATATATTCTATTTTTGTATATAAATGTGTATGATTATAATTATGTATAATTATGAAAGTGCTCCAGGAAAGCAGTATACTAGAAAGCATTCCAAGCGAACCGACATCTCCTAGAGCATTCGTAGAATTTGGCAATAGACTAACTGAGAAAGACATTTTTGTGACATTCAGGTAAAGAATCTAAATTGTTAACTGTTATTTTTTCATTCTTTTAAGTTTAACGACACACATACACACATTTATACATAGGTATACATATATGTATATACGTATATATATATATTTATATGTATAATTTCTATATTAATTATATATACATATATAATTAAGGGGAGGTTCTAGTCCAAAGGCCCGAAAATTAACGTAATTTCAGGAATTTTTTTTGAGCGAACGTAAATCTTTTTTGAAAAAACTGTTTGTGGCATTTATTAGTACATATTTGACGAATCATATAAAATTTTGTCGAGCAAAAATAATTAAAAATGGTGGCTCCAGCCCTCACTGAAGAAAATCGTGCGCGGCGATAGTGAATGTGCGCGAAGCACTCTACAGCCCTGCCAAGTGATTTGAAACGAAAAATATTCTTAAACTAGATGAAATTCGGGGGGGCCAAATTTAATATTTTTTTTTAAAATTCTTTAAAAAAAAAAAAATGGCGGCCATTTGAAAAAAAAACCTGTTTTTCCTATTTTTTTGGCTTTAACGTTAAAAAAAATATTTAAAAATTTTTTTTTGAAAAAAACGCTTTCTGAAGGCTCTCTAAATTGAATAAGCTTTAATTTGAGCCGTCAAACATCAAAATCGGTTCAGTCGTTGAAGCGGAATCGTGCTTCGCGCGCAAAAAAAGTGTTTCAAGAAAAACGCGTTTAAAGTTTGACGAAGAAAAATAAATAAAAAAATAAATTAGATATAAAAATATCCTTTTGCCTACACATTTTCAAGACCCAAAGAATGAAAATAAAGCAACAAAAAAATATTTTTTTGATCGATTTTGACTAGAACCTCCCCTTAATATAGAAAAATATATATTTATAGAATATATATTTATTATTAAAATATAAATTTATACATATATATATACTTTAATACATTTCTTTGCGAAAATTCGTTAAAAATAGAAACATTAAAATGTTATTTTTTTTACAGATGGAACGAACCTAAAGTGACAATTGGAAAGATACAAAAATATAGTGTCCAATATTGGTTCGAAGACCTAAATCGAACAATTAAAATCATTAATATTTTCCCATTGTCAAATAGAATATTGCAACATAAAATATGCGATTTAAAACCTAATACAACCTACTACTTCAAAGTACGAGCACATAACAAATTTGGTGCTGGTCCTTACACTAAGTGCATCAACGTGTCAACCACACATGAGAATCCGGTACCTCTATTACTCGAAATGCCGATGGATACACAAAGTGTGGATGTATTGGATATAGATTTTCGGATCGGCTTTAAACTTCCCGTACACGTTAAATATAAAGAAATCGTTTACTCGGCATTGGAACATAAAATTTATGGGATTACTGACAATTCAGAGCTAATAACATCGGACTTTAATCAAAACGAAATCAAAGCCAATCTAAAATACACAAAAATAACAAAGCTCGACGTCACTGCGAACAATCTCTGCATCGATTGGATTCGTAGAAATCTTTATTGGCTACAAATTAAAATGGACAATCTCTACATTATGAAGCTAGACTTAACTTTGTGGGAACAAATGGGCATGAACAAATCAGATGAAATCATAACAAAATCTCTAATATCTTCAAGAATATATTCTTCTCTCTTTTTAGTAGCACTGCCATATACAAGGTGCAAATCACTAAAATACATGTTAATCTAAAAAATTTATAGTTTTTTTTAATTAAAAATGTGTTCTAATTTTTTAGTAATTTAGTATGTAGATATTATATTAAAACTCATAAGTTATGAAATTATAAATTCATAGAGAATTTTTTAATATCTTAAAAGCAGTGAATATATAATATGCATATTTTTCAGATATTTATATTGGTCAGAACTTAATTCGGACAAAAATGAAAATATCATAATGCAATCGGACTTCAATGGAAAAAATATAAAATCCTTTTTAGAAGACCATATATGTCAATACAAACTAGAATTATCATCCTTCATGCAGATTGACACAACGAATGTCGATAAGCCACTAATATATTGGATATTGGAAAATAATTTATTCGTAACGAATATTAATGGTTCCAAATGTAACCTCATTTTAAGAGCTACAAATAAAACATATTTCGATGATTTAACAATTGATAAGATAAATATTTATTTATACAATAATTCTGACAAAATAATCTATATAATAAAAAAAAGGTATGCTCTTCTCGAAAGCAAAGAAAACGCATTTGAAAGTGTCGAAAAAATAAATATGCAAGGTATCAATACTAATATGTATCATCGATTAATAGCTCTTGATAAATCTTTACAATTATATCCCCCGACGATATGTCTGACACCTAAAATGGAAGATTATCGTGTTGAAGAAGTGCTTTTAAACGCAAACAGTATCGAGGTGAGTCTTCCGGAACCGATTCTAAATGTTGGATGCAAAAAGTACAACTTAGCCACCACAATATATTACATTTCCGTGAGTTATTTAACATGTTTGGACAATGACAGTATTCAAATCGAGCATTTTAACGTCAAGACGTATGAACGGCATTACGAAATCCAGAATTTAACGCCATTCACAGAATACACGGTGAAACTGGCATTGAGCAATTTTTACGTCAACAAGTTATCGATGAGCTTATTGCAATTCGGATCGAATGTCATACTGAAAACTATCCCGGGCAAACTCAACGCCCCGGAGATGTGACAGTTCAAGTTCTAACGCCTACTTTGGCGATAATCCATTGGATGCCACCCAAGAAATTAAACTGCGTGGCCGTGAATTACGAGGTGTATTGGTTGCTATTTCCAAATAGCACGAAAAAAATAAGTTATCAACTTGACAAAAAACTGATAAATAAACCGAACCGTACGGTAAATGGAAAGCTTTTCACGATAATCAAATTGCTGCCAAGACATAATTATCAGATATATGTACGTGTATATCCAACCAACTTCAGCCATTTATTCGAAGATAGTTTAATTAAAACGGTTTACATGTCGGAACCGAATAATTTAAATCTGAATGGAGTCAGTACAAACAGTATGAATATCTCGTGGATTTCTAGCATTAATCTGACGATTCACACTGAATTCCGTTCCATACTGGAATACAAAAACGATACGATGCGAGAGTGGCAAATCGCAAATAATAGTGAAAAAAATAATAATAATATGACGTATAACATAGAAAATTTACAGCCGCAAACTTTATACAAATTCCGTTTGATCCTAAGGTATCCCGAATACATGAAGGATTTTGTATGGCCTGAAAAAGGAGTATTTACTTTCAAAACGAATGGTACGTAAATAAAGACTTTACGTTATCATGTATTTACTTTAAGTAAAACCGTTTAAATTGTACTCTTGTGTTAACAGAATCGCTCAACATATCATCTATGCCATACCTAACATATCTATACATTTGCCTACCAATAATAATAAGCTTTGTCTCTACCATCATAATCTCTTATATTTACTACTTTTACTATTGTAAGTATATTTGATATAAATTTCGGATTTTATTAATTACAAATTATTCTAAATTTCATATAAGAAAAATTTATCTGAAAAGTTGGTTTACCTATTGAAATTGATTTAAATTTTACATTGTTTACTAGTTCGATATTAGATAAGTTTATTAATTATAATATCTAACAGCATACCGACTACGCAAAGAAAAGAACAAACAAGTTCTATCTTTGATCAACGAACCTGCTTTAACACGTTCATGTAACATGTCTTGCGAGAAAATTGAAGATAACATCATATACACTCCAAGTTTGCCAAATAATTCAGACGAAAGTCTCATAATAGAAAATAAGCTAATTATCTCAGGAGAACTTAGTCTAGACAACGACAATTTCGAAGAGGTAAAACAATTTTCTTATTTTTTAAATATATTTTAAAAGAAATTCCATAATATTGTAATAAAAAAATGTTGAAGTAAAGGCACATTTTTAATAAAAGTACTTGCAAAATTTTTCATACAATGTTAAATATACACATTTTTAACATGCACTTTATCGATTTAAATTTAAAATATTATGAAATATTTCTCCATATGTAAGTTTCGAGATTAATTTATATATGGAACTTAGTGATCTCAAACCAAGAGATACAGTTCCGAATAATTAATTTTTCGTACTTTGGCTCTGTTGGCCGATTTATATTCTTTATATTGAGAGCCGATAAAAATATTTCTTTCTGATTTTATTCACGCCTTGGCCTAATCACGGCGTTATTTACTAACATCTACTAAAAGGCAAATGAAAAATATAGGATCGAAAGGGTCTGAATAGCTTAGTTGGTAAGAGCAGTTGCCCGGAAAGTGAAAGACACGAGTTCGATTCCCACTTCAGCGACTTTTCGGACCTATATTTTTCGCGCCTATTTTACGCTCCATATGTAAGTTTCGATATTAATTTATATATGGAACTTAGTGATCTCAAACCAAGAGACACAGTTCCGAATAATTAATTTTTCGTGCTTTGTGGCCTCTGTTGGCCGATTTAAGAAACATCATATTTATATTCATTATGAAATATGTCGCAGGTGTATCGAGAAACTATCGAAAATTTTACAGAGTCAGAATCAACGACGGTCGACATTAAGAGGCTATCAAAAAATACTATCCCAGAAGAAGAAAACGAATTCTCGAAAAAACCCAGGTCAATTTGGGATCTGAAGGAATTTGCATCGACTAAAAGCGAACCACGAACAATGCAAATTACTCTAACAATACTTCTAGGCAGAGGCGAATTCGGACAAGTGAAAATTAATTTCTCATTACTTATACTAAATATGTATTATCCTGAAAAACTTACTTTAACTTTTTAATCAGAAAATTTTCAGATAATTAAATATTTTGCAGGTATTTAAAGGAACCGTAAAAAATTTAAATGATTTGAAAATAACGCCTGTTGCCATAAAGATGCCATCAGAAAATGCCACTCTGCAAAAGAAAGACGAATTCTTGAAAGAGGCCAAACGTATGAGCAATTTTAACCACAAACATGTACTAAAAATGTTGGGCGTTTGTATTCACATGAATTCACCATGGCTCATATTGGAATTAATGGAAGCCGGTGATTTACTGACTTATTTGAGAGAGATTCGGGTATTGAAACCGTCAGATCCGCAAGCTTTGCGTCTACAAGACTTGCTTGCCATGTGCGAAGATATTGCTCGGGGTTGTCACTACTTAGAAGAACAACGCTATGTACATAGAGATCTTGCGTGTCGAAATTGCTTAATATCGACGAAAAATCGCGAACATCGTATCGTCAAAGTCAGCGACTTTGGACTAACGAGAGATATTCACGAAAAGGACTATTACCGTATGGTAAATACAATTATTTTAAAGAGTTATTTTTTTATTTTTGCTTTATCATAATATTATATACATCTTTAAATTAACTAAAATTATAATTTAAACCTATTTTTATATTTGTATAAGTGCATAAAGGAAAGTATTATATAGATGAGACTTTAATCTGCATGTGTCTGCATGCGCGTAACGCTTGCTTAAAAAATCAATGTCTTTGGTTAAACATTTAAATGCACTAAAATTGTATTAGGAAGGAAGAACCCCGCCTCCTATTCGCTAAAAATTTTATAATGTAAATCTATTTTTATATATATATGTATACATATAAAGGAAGATACATAAATTAAGCTGCACGCAAATAATGTTGCACGTAATGTTTGCTTCAAAAAATAAACGACTTCGGTAAAAAACTTAACTGCGCTAAAATTGTGCATTAAAATTAGAAAGGAGAAAGCCCGCTTCCCGTTCGCTGGATGGCACCGGAAACTTTGAAGGAAAAAAATATTCTTCACAAAGCGATGTTTGGTCATTCGGGATACTAATGTGGGAAATTACATCATTGGGTCACCAGCCCTATGCTTTCCTAGATAATTGCCAAGTAAAAGAATATGTGTGTGCGGGAAATAAGTTGTTAAAACCTCGTAACTGTCCAGATGAATTGTACGAGTTGATGCAAGATTGCTGGAATGTTGTGAACAAAAGGCCAAACTTCGGATTTTGTCTAGAAAATATAGAAACTCTAAAACTCGACGTAGAAGATGATGCGACGCTGATTCCGTGGGATAGTAGCAAACATCTACAGGTAAATACCTACTAAAACACTAAGTAACAATAATATAATATCGATGTTATAATTTGCCACTCAACAATATAACCGCAATATAACATGTCTTGGAACATAACAGTTATATTGTTGAATGGGAAATTATAACAACGATGTTATATTATATACTGTTACTTATTGTTAGTGTTTAATGGGTAGGTTGATGGTAATTATTTTTATATGTATGGCGCAAAGTCATTGCATGGAACAATTATTTTTCGACGTAATCAACTAAAAATATTGTAAAAAATACTTTTACATAAAAACTCATATTTCCGCATAATATTTAATATTTACTAGACAACACAAGCGCGCGCTTTGCGCACTTCTTTGATATGATTTCTATTGTTCATTTTACAACTGTCAAATTGTTAATCTTCGTAATGAGTTGTTTGATGCTATGACCATAATTTTAATTCGTCGGATTACGCACATAATATTAATTCTCGAATTTTTATTATGTATATGTAATTTTAATTTATTGAATTTCTATTATGTATATAATTTTAATTTGTTAAATTTCTATTGTATTGTTTGAGAACTATTTTATATATATTTTTTTTTTCATTTTGTTTAGTTTAATCGAATATAATTACGTGCGCGAAGTGAAGTTATATTATTCTTTGATAATAAGAACCTTAAAAATTGCAACGCTTGTATAAAATTATTATTGCAATGTATGCATAGAAATATATTTATTAATTACGTGATTCATAAAAAAATTTAATATATAAATTTAACAAAAAAAAATAATTTTCTACAAGAATCTTTCGATTTCGATCAAAATATCTGCGCTTTCATTAGATTCGCACGGCTGTATACTGCACGGCTCTGCATGCTGTACGACAAAAGCAACTCTATCTTTCTATCTTTTTGATCAGATAAATACATCCACCCATACATCCACCACGCTGCGCGGCTCGCGCGAAACTGATTCTCGTGTGGGGTATCGTGAGCGCGGGCCCGATGGTCACATGACCAGTGGTCCGTCACGTGATCATTGGTCATGTGATTACTAGTCATGTGACCATTGAGCCCGCGCTCACGATACCCCACACGAGAATCAGTTTCGCGCGAGCCGCGCAGTATGACGGATATGTAGGGTATAGAATCTTGTGCGAGTCTAATGAAAGTGTAGATATTTAATCACAAAATATTCTTGTAGAAAATTTTATTTTTTCTACACATGTTATACATGTTATACATGTTTTTTCTAATTACATCTGATTTTGGTCAGGCTTTGTAAATCTATAGATTGTATAAATAGAATACGATCATATGTTATTGAAAAATTATTCAGCCAACAAATTTCAATTCGAGAATAATAGTTTTACAAAAATATGTAGTATATCTTCCCTCCCCTCTCTCTCTCTCTTTCTTTCTCTTTCCAGTTTTTACAATTAGTAAAATGCATTTTTTTATTTTTTCTGTCTTAGGTTCAGTTTCACGAGAAATCCGAATACACTATTCTGATAGAACTTGTCTGAAGCACAGTCGAGCGTACGTTCCAAACATTCAATCACTATACTGATATGCCTCAAATAATGTCATAGATAGATATATATAATCAATTTTATCTTTTTTGACCGAACGATTTTTGAGATCTTTGATCGACAATTAATAACCACCAATTTTATCGTCGTTGTTAAATCATCGATAGTCATTATATATAACATGTATAACTAAATACAATAATATAATATGTGATAATATCTTTAATTATTCTGTTTATACTATCACCAATAATATTCGTCCAATTTCTTTGTCTAATAAAAAAAAGTCACATTGCAAATTTTCTCACTTATGAGCGCTCGATTGAGATCGTGAAAATAACTGACTTTATAGAAGAAAATAACGGAGAAGAAAATGGAAGAGAAGCAGAATTAAAGATAAACATTTTATGAAAATCTTATTTCTATTGTAATTTATGTAATATATATTGTATATTTGTAAAAGTATTCTTATATAACACGCGCTTTATGTTTGTGCAATGTAAATTTTGTCTTCTTTAATGTCGGTAAGCTGACAAATATATAGGCAATAAAAATTATTCGATTGATTTTAATTTAATGTGTCCTTATGTATAATGCTTTACCTATGCTATTTTCCTGTCCTACTTTTTTTACGCAAAAATTTTACACCGAAATTAACATCATATATGATAGAGCTTACATAAAAAACTCATAATAACTTCATATAATGACACCATCATTTTATTCATCACTTATAAAGTTATCTGGACAAAATTAATAATTCAAACATTTAAAAGACAAAAGGAATTTAAAGCTCTCTAAGATATAAATAAGATATCGCTTTATATAATTTTCAAATGCTAGAATATTGTTAGAATATGTGTAAACAATAGAATAAATTAATAATTGTAAATAAAAAAAAAATGTTTTCCAAAATGAATTTTAAGTAACGTCATTATATATAATGTCATGAGTTTTGTATTCTACCTGGAATTTTTTGAAACTTAGGAGCAATAAATTTTAGTACAGAAAGAATTCCACCAGAGGCGTCGCATGCGTCAAATTTCGTCTCTTGAGTTTTCGCGTCTACGGATAATTACGTGCACTCTGCTCCGATCAGTTTTTATTTGTATATATACACAACAGAGCTACGATTGTGCGCATGTATAGAGAGTCGCGGCGATTCTCCTACGACAGCTGATTCACTCGATTGTTTACCGGAACAAAGATGACCGATTGTTTGCAATAACAGTTGCACGATACTTTACTGATCGCGTGAAGATCACGTTGGAGATTCTACTTAAATATGGGATGCTGCTACAGTTTCTGTAAAGAGGACAACGGTCCGCAGGTAAATAAAACGCGATCGAAAAATGTCACAGTTTCGGCAACCTCTCGTTGCCTTATCACTGACGTGCTCGGCGATTCGTACAAATTATCACGAATAACACGCCTACTTGGTGACGAGTAATTGCGCATAATATAAATTAATGTATATATAGACCTTCTGTTACAATGATAATGAAGATAACAGCAGAAATGGCGCGATAACGTGAAAAATAAAAATACACAATTCTTTTGACATTTATTGAAACATCTTTTACAATACCTTTTATTACAGAGTGGAGAAGCGAATGAAAGAACGCATCTATTAGTAGATCCTGTCAGTAATAATACAAACATACCAAGAGTACATAGGTGAGTTTATTTCTCCCTCCGTTTATTCCTGTATAGATGTTTTGAACATTCAGTTTTAGAGACCTTGGACTCTTACGTAAGATTAAATGGTTTCTAATTTTTTTTTTCAGCGATGATTATGTTAATCAATATGCAAGCTCCGTGCCTAAGAAGACAGATGAACAGAGTGCATTAAATAGAATTTTACACGAAACTGCGGCGTGAGTGGAGCTTACTTGATTATATCTGACTGTTTAACTTATATTGTGTTTCTGTTTTCGTTTTTAGTTTTGTTGAAGATATTCTTCTGTAAATTTTGTTTCTTTTAATCAAGCCAAGTTTTATAAAATCAAAGTTAAATTTGACCTGGAAAGTTGCGAGTTGATATTCTTATTGTTCTATACTTTTTTTCTGACAGCAATGTCATAGATGTGGGTGCATTAGATACACATAATCTAGAACAACACGAATATATGGATAGATCTCGTGCATATTCGAGAAGAATAGAATCTGGTAGGATTAAACTTCCTGAAACTTCGTCTTGCCTACTTAAGGATATACCTGCCCCGGAACGAATATTAGCAGCTGATCCACTCGCTGTTGAAGATCAAGAATTGGTGAGGAATTACTTACAACTTTTTTTTTATTGCATTAGCTGTTATGATATAGTATGTTAATGTAATAAATTGAACATACAGATTACAGAGATGCTCATCAAAGCTGTGACAGCATTAAGCGATGTAAAAGTTGAACACAAGGAAGATTTAGTTGTCCCGTTTCTATCGTGATCGTCAAGTGTTTCCCCGGCTAATTTATAATCTCATCCCATTTAATTGGAATTTTGACATCATTATTCGGCACTGAAAGAGCATATATTTGTCTGAAATAAATCGACCTAAGCTCGAATTACATTTCTAGCTTATGCTAAAAGAAAAACAAAGGATTGATTTTAAAATAGGTAAGATGTATTATAAAAGATGTTAACTATTATTATTGTTTGATTGCTGCATAATGGCTTCATAATTATTATCAAGTAGATATGTACTTTTCTCTTTTACTCTTGAAGTTTAAAGATAAGATGTGCATGAATTTTTGCGCACATTTTATGTAAAATTTTTATTGTAAAAAAATTTGTTATACTGTAATATTCTTTATCGATATATATACATATACTCACATATACGAACTTAAAAAATGCTATTTTGTCATTGTTCAATAAATCTAATCAAATCCTATATAAGAGTATAATGGGCTTGGATTATTATAGCATATAAACAAGATTTACTTGCCTTCTAAATTATTTAGCAAATTTTATTTGATTCTATCTTTAACTGTTTAAAGCATGAATAATTGTTTTTGAAGTGGACTTTCAAAATAGTTTTTAACACTAAAGGAGGAATTTGCATTTTGTCCTTGATGATTCATTTTCTAAGTACAGTGACCATTCATTCTTTATTTTAGAGGACAGTCCTTAAAGATTTGTTTCAAGTAGCTATCCTTGAAATTTATTCATTTTTTATTTTAATTTTATCCTTTATTCTTTATTTAGCGTTTTAATGTCTAATATGCTGTAGTATTGATATGAGAATTTGAGAAGTGAAAACAACGGAACCTCTTATCTGGAATTTATTTAAGAAACCAAGAATTTGTTTCAACATAGAATTACATAGTTTCAAACTATAAAGAAATATGTAAACTTTTGATAATCACAGAATTATTAGTTTTTGCTTATTAATTTCTTCTGATCGCAAACTGTTTTGGAAACATGTTAAAAGTCTAAAAGTTAAAAATTATAAGGTTTGTCCTTTATCTTCTCTCGGAAAATATGGTATTTTTAAAGGACAATCTGCATACATAAGATCCTGTATTCCTCAATAATTGTACAAAAATTATGTATCATAAAAACATGAAAAAATTTGCAAATATTTGGCTCCACTCTTACAGTTTTTGATTAAATGGTAACAATTTTCAATATGTTAAAAGTTATTTTATATAAATTTATGATTTATATATCAGTTTATTTATTATTTATATAAATTGCTATATATATATATATAAAATAATAAAATATTAATTGTATTTAAAGCAGAAAAATGTATTTAATATTTGTAAATTTGTAATTGAAAACATTTTGTAAGAGTACTTCTATATAATCTTTAATTTTGTAAGAAGCAGAAAAATGTATTAAACTTTTTTAAAATTTCTAATTGAAAACATTTTATAATATTATTTCTTTACAATCTTTAATTTTGTAAGAAGCAGAAAGATGTGTCAAATATATTTAAATTTGTAATTGAAAACATTTGACATAATAATCCTTACAATCTTTAATTTTGTAAGAAGCAGGAAAATAAAATATTTTTTAATCGAAAAGATTTTAGAGAATAACATTTCCTTATAATAATTAATTATTTAATACGTGACCGATGTAAAATGGCTAATAACCGTATCGTTCAGCCGTATAATTCTCCAGAATCTGTAACTCGATTCCGGGAAAAGCTTAGTCAACGGACGCGCGAATTTCGAACTGCGCGCCTCTCGCGGAGGGGATTGAGACGCGTCCGTGGATTGGCCGGCCGCGCCGTGACGGCAGAGGGGCATCGACCGGTCTCGGCGTCGGTCTGCTATTCGAGTAGCAGTTCGTTGGGTTGCCACCAATACACAAGAGCCGCGGAACGCACTATCGCCGACCATTGGTCCTCAATTCGTCGACCAATCATTGGGAAAGTGCCCACGAAAATATCCAATGTAAGTTCACAAATTATCAAACATCAGCCCGATACGCGGCCGCGCGCCCACGTCCCCGTGATTAACCCTGATTTCGCGGTCGCGTCCGCGAGACCCTTCTCGCGAGAGCCCCTTCGTTGCCCAAAGGGGACCCTCGCCGAGGCACGGCCATGTTTGTCAACGGCCCAGCTTCGCTCTTAGCTGCGTCTCTTCCTTTCCGATCCGATGGCGCGATCTCCCGCTTCCGACTCCTCGAGCCCGATCGAGCTGCGTCGCGGGGAGGAGTCGGGGAGCGACGCGTCCTCTCCCTCTCGGGGAACATCGCGGTCCTCGCTGAGCTCCGTTTCGCCGCCGCCGCCTTCTTCACGCCTCGACGATGCCCGACACGCTCGACTCGCGAGCGAGTCCCGCGCGATGCGGCCTCGATCTTGCGCGCGCGACAGAATCCTCGGTTCTTGCCACGTCGACGGCTCCTTCGCGAGACTCCGAGAGTCTCCTCGAACCTTTGCTCCACGATTTTCCGGTTTCGTTAGCGCCTCGATATGGCCGCACGATATGATCGGTATGTATATATCAATGTATCGTAATCGTGTTGCTATTTTGAGAGTTACACGACGCGTCTGCACAGAGTTTTGGCGGGATATGTTGATATTGAAAATGATGAATCTGAAAAAAATATCTCGTAATTTCCTTTATCTACGTCTTCCTCATAGGCGCCTCCTGGTGCTGTATGTCGATGGTCATGTGGTTTTTATTGAATGCTTCTGTAGAATTGTTTCACAATCAGTTGGAGGAATGCGTAGTTTGTTTCTCATGTTTTTCTGGTAGATGGCTGAGATGTAAAAAGTCAAAATAACATTTCTTTATAATTATGGTTTTATTTTAGGGAACAAAATAAACAGTAGGTGACAAATCTGGGGGGGTAAATAAAAATAACGTGTTTGCAAAAAACTATAAGAATTTGTTACTATTCGACCAATGTCAGGACTAGTGTCTTATAAAAGCCAGATTTAACTGATTAGTGTCTATTCCCTAAAATAAAACTGCAATTAAAAGAACGTTATTTCAATAATTCCATCTCATCACCAATCAAAAACATGTACAAATATCTAAATGCTCCAGTGTGCTATATGAAAGAGCCAAATAATGTTTACACTTAAGAGAATAGTATATTGATTATGAAGATATTTTTTTAAATTTATTTTTAGTTAATATAGTCTTAAAACTGTATATATCTTTTTTGTTCAACATCACAATATGCGTTGGTCAAAAGAAAACTTTATTTTTATTATCGCAGTGAAAATTCAGCATGGAGCAACTCAGCGAAGGACAGGCAGTTGTGGTTGGCAGTGCCGGTGGAACCGTGCAAGTTGTACAAATGGGCCAAGGTGGACAAACTATGATGCTTCCACAGGCTATACAAGTAGCAGCGCCTAATGGACAAATACAAGTTGTACCTGTCTCTAGTTTGACCAATACCGGTCAACAAATTGTTATTCAGCAACCGCAGACACCACAGATTATTCAAACTCCTGACGGACAAACTTATATTTACCAACCTGTACAATTGGATGGTCAAGTTCAACAAACACAACCAACAGGTATAGGAATGCACACCTGCTTGTATTGTTTTTATAGATAATCCTTTTCCTAAACATATTTTTGATTTGCAGTGATAAATCTGAATGGTAATCTCATGCAAATTGCTGGCACAACATCGCAAGCTGCAACGGCTACTGCAGCTACTACCACTCCGGTACAACCTTTGGGCAGTCCTACATCAACAATGTCACAAACTGGAAATGTTGTTATGGTAATTATCATGGAGAGGAAGCTTTCTATTTATCTAATCTTTATACACACATTTATCTTTATGTACGCATTATTGATTGTAACGATTATAGAGCAACACTAACTCTAATAACTATACATATTATTTTTCCTGAATTAAAAAAATTATATTATCATCACAATAATTAATTAATGATATATTTTGCAAAAATTAGATGGTGCAACCAGGTAACAGTGGACAAACGCAAACTTTTCAAAGAGTAGCATTGCCTCATGCCGAGCTTCTTGAAGAAGAACCGTTGTATGTTAATGCAAAACAGTATAGACGGATATTAAAACGTCGACAAGCGCGTGCTAAATTAGAAGCTGAAGGAAAGATACCTAAGGAAAGGCCGGTACGTATTCTCAAATTTTTCTAAAACACATTAATGTGTTTGTTACAATAAAACTTCCACATATATACTTGAATATATATATTCAATATATGTACATTAATTTTGTAAGGAAAAATTCAAATCTATTAAACGCGTATATTTTGTATTGAATTAGATTTCTTAATAATTGAATTGCAAAATGCTTAAGACTGCTAAAGACGCGAAAATTTCATAAGATTTAATTTTGCAGAAATATCTCCACGAATCTCGTCATCGACATGCGATGAACAGAATTCGTGGCGAGGGCGGCCGATTCCATTCTGGTCAAGTAAAAAAGCGGAAGTAAGTGTTACTTTGTATTTTCCTAATGTAAATTTCCTAAATCTTGAGAGAGAAAGAATAAAGAAGCAGTGTCTCATTTTGGTAATTTTACGCATATAAGAGTGTAATGGTTCCAGTAGAACAAATGCAAACTCCACGATTACCCAGCACATCACAACTTCAACCAGCACCGATAACGTTCATACTGTAGCAATAGCAGCCGCAAATGTAGGTGTACAATATCACGACACAGACAATATGGCATCCACAATTGTACTTGAAGTAAGATAACGCTTACTATTTTCTAATCAGTAATGTTTGCGTATGTGATGCAAGTTACATTTGTCGTTTCTAATTATTTGTTGCAGAAACCAAATATTCCTCTGCAAGACATGATCTCTGATGACGACATTGTTACTTCAAACAGTCATTTGATATAAATAATACAAATTGGATAGAAAAAAAATTAAGAAATTTGTGTCGGTGATGTTATTGGACATTTGCATTTTGTAAATATTTTCATGTTTAGGTGCAATGTATAATACAAGTGTAATTTTTTCAAAAAGCTGTGTAATTTTTACATGACTAGATATGAAATTGTATATAAGGTTTTTTATAACTTTCTTATTTCTTTTCTATTAAAAGATCGAAATTAATTGATAATTAAGATTTAAAATTTTTGCTAACAAAAGCTTTAAATTGCCCAAAAAAATAATTCTCTCGCTACATTTCTGATAAAAATTTTGAATCGATTTCAAAGAATCTTTCTGTTTTCTTACTCTATGAAATATATATTATCATTCTGAGACATTTGCATGCATATGATATATCTTACAATTTACTATTATAATAATTTTATAGTAATTAAAACAAACATTTATGACAATTTTATTTAGTATAAGGATACATATATTTCACAAATATATATATATATATATAACATTGTGAAATATATGTATTCTTTATATAACATATATATAGATATATAACATTATATATATAGATATATATAGATATATAAATATATATATAATATATATATATAGATATAATATATAACATTTATATATAGATATATATATATATATATATATATATATATATATAAATATATATAAATATAATGTATTATATATATTGTACATTATATATATTTATATATATATTAATTTTCTTTATCTAGAAAAATTGAATTATAAATTAGATTAATGTATAGCATAATAATTGTGTGTAGACATACAAATTCTTCTTTTAATCACAAGAAATATATTTTGTTAAAATTAATGAGATTGAACTAGATAGCAATACTGTATAAGGTTAGAGAGACTGAATCATACATTGTATATATATATCATGTGCTGGATATATTTTTAGATTAAATTAAATTACTAATTAAGTTAGAAATTTTTATTATAATTAAAAGATATTAGAAATGTAAGTCGTGAATTTGCGTATAATTTTTTATTACAAATATATTCAAAACTTGCATATTCTTTTTGTAAGAAATTAAAATACGAGATATTTGCGTACACGTATATATATGATATAATCTTTCTAATTTAAAGATATTAACTTTCCAATATAAATATTGATAGATAAATGATTTTTAAATGCACAATTTAAGATTTAAGATTATATGTTTGAAAACTTTTCTGCATAAAATTTATCTAAAATTTTTAATTATACTTTAACTGAACTCTATAAAATATAAGTTTTAAGTTTCAGTTCTTCATTTTTAATACTGTTTCTATGTGTGTTTGTCAATTATTATAATCTTGAAAAATATATATATTGGAAATAATAGAAAAAATATGCAAGTGATAATTCAGTGAAAGGAGGATCGCCCATTAAAATCAGCCTCTTTTCAAATAATTGACAAAGATTAAGATGTTTGCTAACGATTTTAACATATTTGCGAAATGTCAATTATGAAAAAAAATTCAATAAACAAATCTATTACTCATATGAAAGATAAAATTACTCTTGTGGACAATTATTTCGTATAAAGCGGCTCTATCAAATTATGTAAATAATTACATAAAAATAAAATATAAGTTATGTAACTATATCTTTATGCTGCATTATGTGTACTGATATAAATGTGAAAAGTTTGTACAGCTGTAATTGAAAGTAATCCTAGCAATAATTAGTGGTTTACTAAAAACTTGAGAGTGATAAGTTACAACTGAAATGATTATTTATAAGCATAAGAATATGAATTCTCTTTTTTAACGACTTGCATACACTATGATTTATTGTAGTTGTAAATGACCTCGATACTTTGTATACACACACGCATATCTGGTATCTCAATTATAAAATTATAATTTAAAAGAATGGCTCAGAATATTTTCGATGGGAGGGCTAAATTTTGTTTCAATATAAGCGAACATTCCGATTCAGTTATCTCAGAATTCCTTAATGATTCTTGCGATTCGATGCATTCTTTCATATTTACGGGACTTTCTAGCATAATTCTTTCCCCTGTTATTCCGATTGTATTAGTATACTCGGAATTGCCAGTTCTGCAGAAAAAAAGAGTTATATATATATTTCTATATTTTAAATATATCAATCGGATATTGCTCCACGTGATGTGTTTGACATACATTACATGAAGAATTTCTCTTTCCTTGGGATTAGGATCCAAGTTGTTGCGCGGTTTGATAATTTTGGGCGGCTTTATCAAGTTTCGCGTTGCGATTATCCACGGATCTCGATATGCGCGTTTCTGAATTGTCTCTGGTATAATCCAATCTTGCGGTAACGTCACGTCTACACGAGCACGATCTAATCGCGACCAAAGGTATTCATTTTAATTACTCAACATTGCGACATTGTAAAAATCAAACACGAAATAAATAAAAAATTGAGAGAGAGAGAAATTCAAATTCTATTGAAACTTATTTTGTGATATTTATGTATAGTCGAGATGTGATGTATCTCATATAAAATTGTAAATAAGCAGCACTAGTGTGATGATAAAATGATTATAATGAACGGAATCTTGTACCAGAATCTTTCCAGTAATCCAATTGATACACAGTTTTCATTGATTTTTTCTTCTCGCGTTTTATCACGCTTTCATCCGGCACAATTTCCGGCAGAACATTTTTCAGATAAGGGAACTTGTCGCGTATCTATATTTTCCGGAAGAGATGTACGTAATTGCACAATCATATACGCAGTTGCATAAAATCTTTTATGTATATATTTTACCCTGTTTAAAAGTTCTAATGGATCCTCGCTTCGTTCGTTCTCGGGCAATGATCGATTTTCTAGTCGTGTATTCAGATACTGCTTGTACGGCTCGTTCAAGATGTTCAAAGGTGATCGATACTTGGGTAACGGTTTGCATCCGATTGGCCTTTCACCTTTCTCTCCCAGATAATCTTTCTTGTAGATCGTCGCAAAATCTCGCGAGTCCTCGTCAATTTCTACGATCATTTCCAACGACTTAATTCGAGCAACTCATCATTTCTCGGAGAAATTTCGCAGGCAAGCATCGCAATTTATTTGCAAATATTGACAGCACACGCGATGTTCTTCGTGACGTGATACGCACATTTTTATTTATGACAGTCCTGTTTTTTCTTATTTTTTGACGCAAGATGTCCGTATAAAAAAAAACGATCAAATACTGTTATTTTTTGTTTCACAATTTTCAAAATTCAAAATTAAAACCTTTTGCAAGTATCAAGATGTGCTTCTCTGTTTTAAAGCTTTAGAGTTTAAATATTAATTGCTGTTAACAATAAGTTTGAAACTCGAAATATTATTATACCAAAAATAGATGCTAAACGAAGTATGCTTGAAACTGAGAACTTTTGAGACTAGAAAACTTTTAAAATCAATATCAGATTATAAGCATATTAAAATTAAAGATTGGAATTTAATCAATTAAAATTCCAATCTCAATTTTCAGTGTTCAATCTATTGTAATACGTTTTATAAACGATTTTAAACTATGCACTTTGTATTAAAAAAATGTTATAAAATTTGCGATATATGTATAAGTTCTTTTAAATCACATTTCAAGATGTTGCAGACAAAAATTTTAAAAATTACTAATATTTTTATTAATAATTTTTTACTTTTTTTTTTTATTTTTGATTTTAAAATTATGTAAAGATAAAGATAAGATAAAAATATGTAAATTCATCTTAGATAAAATGAAGGTGATTTTGAATTTAAATATATCTATATAAAAGATAAATATAGATAACTTCCAAATAATATATTATTTTTAAAATCGTTTATGTAAATACAGTTATAAAAAATATAAATTATTATAAGAGGGATATAAAAATATATTCATACTTTTATTTCTGAATTTTTATCGCTTATATACTGCTTCTATACTATTTAAGTATTTTTGACTTTAACTATGACTTTAAAGCAAATTATCTGAACATTATTCTAGATAATTTAATAAATAGATAAAACACTTTTTTATCTAATATGCAGATATAGATAATACATATTTTTATTATCTATATAAAAATAAGATGTCAAAATTTCATCTCGGCGCTCATCTATATAATTTTATTTAGAATAGTGTTTATCATCGACTCTTGATTATGGAGATTCGATCTAAATTTAGTAACAATGTGTCAAACACGGTCGTATTAATATCGATTAATGGAGCTTAATCCGTGCTTGATTTCTCTCGCCGAATAGCCAGGTGGTTTAAAACCAGATACCACTAATCGTCCAGCGACACAGATAAGACAGAGACTCTGTCTGCGTTCCTTGTATATAACGAAGTCTCTCCGAGATCTCTGGTAACTCATTATAGGGGGATGTATAATGCCGGCTGACGCATGACACCCTCGTGTACCATAAACGCCAATTAGGACGCAACATCGGATTTCCTAGTTAGAAAGATACACACATTTTCACACAAACGTGTTTTTTCACTTCTCTTCTTGCTCGTTTCTTTTTAAGGGTGTTATGTAAATAAGACGCTTCGAAGAGAGATAGGTATCCGGCATCGTTATCGAAAATTTTGGGAGACTAGTGTATCTCATTTGTGAGACATCTCGTATTTTTTTTTTATGTAAGAAAGTAAATCACGCCTCTTTCTCGTATTCGATGCCTATTTCACTTAAAGAAATGACGAGAAGCAAAAAAATCGCGTTGCAAAAATTAATCAAGCATTCCTATCTCTTTCGTCTTTTTATCATATGGTTTTCATGAATATTGGAGTTTTTAATTTCTTAGAATTAATAATATATTTAATATTGATTTTTTACATAAAATATATTGTAAATCAAATAATAGACGAGAGGAAAGATTTCGTTTAATTTCCTTTATGATAATGATATATTTTTATTAGTTTTTGCAAAAAATTTACAATTGATTTTGATTGTTTTCTACTATTACAATTTATTCCCGAGATATATATAGGATTTTTTTAAATGCAAAATAACACATTCAAATTCTTAAATAATAATTTTATACACATTTATACTAATGATTCTTATTTATAGATATTATTTAACAATCACCAATGAAGTTAAATAAATCTTTGCATTCGTTTTATCGAAAATTCTTTTTTTTTTTAGAATAAAATGAGAAAAATATAAAAAGTAGATTCGATAACTCGATAAATAAATGTGCAAATCCCCGGTAAAAGAGGGCAGACTACCTTTTGTCACGAAATACAATGATGGGATCAGACGGCGGGATATTTGTAGGATATCAATAAATATGTGAATTTACGATACTTTGTAATGCGACTGTGTGTGAGAGAGACATAGAAGAAAATCACGCGAACGTGGATATATTAAACGAGATACAAATGCAATTTATATCTGATAATCTAAACTTGATAAAAAGACATATCTTGCTCTTACAAGCAAGTCGTATCGCGGAGGGTTTTCCTTTCGCAAAACACCCACAAACCGGCACAATTTAGTAGCTTATTTCATCTCGATTTCTCTACAACACCCACGACAGGAAATCCTTCGCTTCATCGTCATTCTATCCGTTTGTTAAATTGCACATCTACTTTTGGCTCGCTTTTTTTATACGCGAAATTTTGTTTTCATTAAGCAGACTTTCATTAATGAGATTGCAACATGAAACGAGACATATCCGACTTTAATTTTGCGATAAGTCTATCTCGAATAAAAAATCGATAAATAATACATGTTGAAGCAGAGTCCGAGTGAAAACCCAATATATTTAATTCTTCGATGTCGATTTATACTTGTAAGTTTTGTAAATTAATTTTTTTATTTATTTTTTTTTTTTTTTATTATTATTTATTTATGTTAAAACATCTCTGTTAAATATAGTAAAATTAAATACACCAATGTGAGTTGCAGTGAAATTTTCAGACAGAAATTATTTACTCAATTTAAATAGAAATATGATAAATTTTGCACAATTAAATTTTTACGAGCGCAATTAATTTACATTTGAATTGCGTTTTACTTTTATATTTCATGTAATTTAATCCTTCGTTTAGTTTTCGTTTTATATCAACGACGCAAGCACTTATTGAGATTTATCTAACGTTGCAAATAATATTGCGAATATTTCTCGATATTAGAATAAGACATTTGTCTCGAAACATGTTCGATTAATTGCGGGCACTTTCGTGACAAGCTGAAATTACGTGTTGCCCTTAAGTAAACGTCGAAAGTTCAGTCGCCGCAAAGGCATAACTTATTCATGGTTAAGCGATCAAAGTCACGTTCTGAATAATGGATATTGTCCAACGCGGTCATTTCATTATATTTCCAGCACGTTGATTTAAGCTACAAACTTCTATATAACTCGCGCCCCGAACTTTCCAAATGTAATACAGGAACTTATTGTTAGCATCAAAGGGAATACTCGACAGCGAGTTTTTAAATTACATCGCTGTTGCATATCTCTGGAAGAAAGTAATCATGCTTTATATTTTTTAAAAAGATATGAGCTAAAAGCGGAAATTTGAGGTGCAAAAGTGTTAATGTTTAACTTTCTCAAAAAAACTTCAAATAATTTATATATTTTATAATAAATAAATTAATAATTTAATTTTTAATTATCAAATGAAATTAATTAATTATTAAATAAATTTTTATAATAATTCTGAAATTAATTTCTCCGCACATATATTGTATTTCACCGCATCATTTCGTAAACTTGCACCAAATATAAACTCGAATCAATATCAGTGATAATATATGATACAAATATCATGGACCGTTTGCTGATTCAAATGAGTTATTTTCACTAAAATAGATGTTTTCAAATAATGTGCAGGTTAAAAAATTATTAAAAAATCTTGAATTTTTTATAAAAAAATAAAAAATGAATGTGTTTATTAAAAAAAGTAAAAAAATATAATATATATTGTAAAATAATGTCAACATAAAAAATATATTTAAATCTAATAATTTACGTACGTCTATATTTCACCGCATTATCCCGTAAACTCGCATAGAAACTACTCGTAATAAATACAAACTCGAATATACAGGAAGCACGGAGTTTCTCTGTTCAGGCTTTCGCGGAACTCTCGAGAGTCTCGCAACGATTAATGTTCAAAATTCTTATAATTAAAATTCAATAAACATTAAAGATAAATTATGGTTTATAGAATGTACATTATTCAAATTTGTATAAAATTAACACGATAAAATAATTAATATCAGTGATAATATGACACAAATAACATAGACCGCTTGCTGATTCAATGAATTTTAATTATTAAAAAATACTTTCAAATAATCTATACAGGTCAAAAAATAAAAGTCTTCAATTTTTTATTAAAAAAATAAAACTTAAATGTGTCTATAAAATAATTAATATCAGCGATAAAATATGACACAAACAACATGGACCGCTTGCTGATTCAACATGAATTTTAATTATTAAAAAAATATGTTTTCGAATAATTTGCAGGTAAAAAAATAATTAAAAAATCTGCCATTTTTCATAAATCAATAAATGTGTCTATTAAAAAACGCAAAAAAATATATATAATTGTGAAGTAATGTCAACATGAAAAATATATTTGAGTCTATATAATTTCCACGTGCCTGTATTTCACCGCATTATCCCGTAAACTCGCACAGGAGCTGCTCCGAACAAATATAAACTCGAATCTCGGCGTAATTTATGCTTTCGCTCGTCATGCAATGTACAGAAAGCACGGAGTTTTCCCTTTCTCGAGAACCTCGCAACGAGTCACGTCTGTTACAGCTGATGCGGCACGGCTCGGAAACTGTGCACAGCCGCGTGAATAAACTAAATTGCGCATTCCAGCCAAACAATGCCGAATGCACAACGCAACGTTCGCGATAACTCTCCTGCGAGCAACGTTAACGAGAAATCATTATTTCTATTATTTTACACCCCCGCGCAATGAAATTCCTCGCGCGTGTGTAAAAACAATTAAACGCCACTACGCGCAAATGTACTATAATATATATGTATGTATAAGTTATTCGCCATCGGATTAATTGGAACGTTATTATACTTGTGATAAAAAATGTCTCGATGCGCTAATCGTTATTAAATTATGGGCAATTAAATAAATATACCTTTTTGACAATCATAGAGACTTTCGTGAATTAATTTAATGGAAAAAGCAAGTAAGTAATAAATATAACATTGCTCTTTATGTAAAATAAATATATTTCATATTTTTAATATATTAAATATTTTATGATTTTAATAGAATTTTTATTTGACAGAATTTACATATATTTAAAAATATTTAAAAATATTACGAAAAATGTCAAAGCTAAAAAGGGCGGTAAAAAGAGATCTATTGGGCTCGTAATAAAATCCATCGAAATTTGCTTTGCAAGATTCATGATAATACTGTTTGATTTAAAATCACTATGCAAGAATGGAACATTGAAATAAAAAGAAATTTAGTTTTGAATTTCAAGGTGATTTCTGTAAAGTATATCTCTCTTTGAATGTATAAGTTCTTTACGCTTTGTACACAAGTTTCTATCTCAAGTGTACATATTTAAGATTCGAATTTTGTGAATAACAATACTCTCTGATTTGCGCAATCATCTCCGTCGGAGACTCAAGCAAATGAGTGACAAGTGTGGTAAACAAATTATTAATTCCACATATTCAGCAACGGATCGAATTAACAAATTATAGTGATTTGCAAAATTGTGTATCAAGGACGAGCAAATTGAACTAATTATCCTTTTGTCGGGAAGACACGTATATATTGATTCATTTCTTATCTTTTATCACTAAAACCGTCGAAACATCTTAAGTAAGTTTTTAGTATAAGTTCTGTTAATTTTCCTAAACTTCAAAGATTCATTATATATGACAGAAGAATGTAGGTTCGTGTTTTATATCCTTTAAAAAAATAAATTAAATAAGACTTTCTCTCTCTTTTATTTCTTCTGTATTACCAAATGCTCGATTCATCAATATCAGTAAGAATTTATTCTGTTTTTAATTTCGATATAAGCCACATCAGCTGAATCAATAAAAAATAGAGTAGAACGTTGAGAGCAGAGAGAATACAATTTTCTAAAAAGAAATACATATATACCTGTATATGTATTTCTATATATATATATGTGCAACGCGAAAAAGTCGAGCAGCAATAATCGCGTAAAGTAAAAGCAGATGTTCGATTTTACATATATATATATATATATATATATATATATATATATATATGTATGTATATATATGTAAAATCGAACATCTGCTTTTACTTTACGCGATTATTGCTGCTCGACTTTTTCGCGCCACCTTTGTGCGGGAAAATTCGTGTATCTCGCCTTGCAACAAACAACTATATACCTCTGACATTTGAACTCTGCGGAGACAAGCTCGGACAGTTTGAAAGGTTTCGAGGTCGAAGAAGAGCGCAGATAAAAAAGAACAAACAGACAGAGACAGAGAGAGAGAGAGAGTCTCACAAGTACCAGTTGCTTCGCAACCAGTTGCTCCTCTCCAGGAGTACGAGTCCGCCGAAGGAGAGATACGTATAGCGGCGGCTGAGAAACGGTCACCATCCCTCGCGGCGGACTCGAGGGGTGCTCCTGCACCGCACGATCGGACGACGCGCACTAGAGCGCGCGTGGTGGACGGACGAGTTTGGCGCGCGCGATCCGCTTCTCGTGGGGGCGCATCGCCACGCCTCCCTCCGGGTCTATATAAGGATCGAGATCGCGGTAAAACCCTCACTCGCACCCCAGTACCTGGTGCCGGTCAACCGAGGGTGAGATTCTTTGGCCGAAAAAAGAAACGAGAGGAAACAAGCGGGAACGAGTCCGGAAGTCTTTGCTTTCAATTTAAATATATATTTCTCTTTCTTTCCCTCTCTGTTTTTTTTTGTCTCGATCTCTTTCTCCTTCACGGATTTTCGTGAGCGCGGAACCGCGACGACCCCGAACGACCGCATCCGTAAGGCGATATGAGGTCCTGGTTATTGTGGTTGTCGATTCTGTTGGTCGTCCTGGCCGACAGAGGCTTCGCCAGTCCTTACTTCGACGACGGTGGTGAGTTTTCATTCCTCCGATTTTTCTTCTTTTATAATCGCGCGTTTATTCATCCTGAACCGAGGACAACGCAAAAATTCGAAGGACATTGTATTACGGAAAAATGTCGCGAGAATGTTGAAACATCTATTTTAGAGATAATTTTTATAGCGACAAAGAGATTTGCGTTGACTATGAATGTGCATAAGTTTCGGATTAATTTCTACGTGAACTATACGGACAAGATATTATATATTCATGAATAACGTGATGCAAATAATGCATGACCCATTTTGTGTATGTTGCACATAATATAATTAGAAGGAGTTTCGAGGAACTTGGTACAACCAAAAAGGAGGGTGTGGCGAAGAGAAATTAAAAATATCGAATAAAATTTGTTTCGTGCGAAGCTTGTTTTCGAGAGATCTAATTTTTGAACAATCTTAAATCATACATTTACGCTTTCTTTATAATTGGAATTATTTCTAACGATCTAATGTATCATGCATCATCAAATTTATCTCATCAGCAGCTATTAAAATATGTATAAGAAATATTTTCGCAATTCTCTCTTTATTGAACAGATCAAGTTTATATAATTTTCTTAATCACTTAAATTATTTTAAATTATTTTAATAAATATTTAGATAAAACGTTATACTTTTTTACGTTTATATATTAATAATTATCGAGACAAATTCAGTGATGCATGATTTTTATTTATTTTTGCACGAGAAATCAACGCTTTTTCGATTATATTACGTTTCTCGAGTTACCCTGTATACGACTAATCTATAAATCTCTTTTCGCAACGAGCAATAATTAACGAGTTGTGCAAAATGGAAATGTTGAAAATTGATTTAATTTTTTATTTAACGACTCTGATATAATTAAATGATAATTTTTTAATATTCCTTTTTATAGAAGGATTTACTTTTGCATAAACATTTTTTTTACTTTTAGATTTTTTTGCTTCTACGCTAAACGTAGGACAAACAGCATGTTTTCTTTGATATGAAATATGAAATATAATATATATTGTATTTTTAAAAGAGAAACTTTTCCTTTATTATTTTTAAATTGTTGACATTGTCCATGTATTGCACAAAAAAATAAAACTATAATGCCTCATAGATAATAAAAATAAACAAATCGAGACTAAACAAATTTGTGCATTTTATTTTTTTAAGTGCAAAAAATTCTTTCTACAATAATATTACATGTGTGTTTATATAATTCTTTTGAAAAATGTATATGTATATATTTTCAAAACGCAGTCAGTCAAGATAAATTATTTTTGCATCTTCTAGAATATCAAACTTTGTCTTAAATATGTCTATTTTTTATTATATATTGTTTATAAGAACTTTTCTATAAAACTTGTGTATAAATATATCTACATGTAGATTATTCTGATTTGATATTAAAGCATAATATGAAGCAAACTTTATTCAAATGAAGTTTTCCAATTAAAATGCGTCATCTCACAGAAAAGTTTCACCGAGAAACAAATATCCGTTCTGTTAGTGTCGAGATTGCTCCAAAGTTTTGTTGAATACATACTTGATAAAAAGTGGTCCTGTTTGTCTCTTCTTCGAAATTAATTCTTCCTTTAATTACATCGATGAAAGAGAGATTACCGATAAATTCTTCAAAAATATACAAGTTTTCCCCCGAAGTGGCGCCGGCATTGAAAACTTTTTGATTAGTATTCTAATTTGAAAATTCGCAATTAATCGACTAGAAACTCGGCGAATATTAAAACTTTAATATTTAGCACACCCGCGTAACAATAATCTCAAGATTCCTTCAAGCTTCTAATCCCGTTACTCGTAATTTTTTTCTACAATTATACTGACAGTGAGAGCTAAAAGTTTTCATCGGAATAAAAATAATGATTATAACGTTATGAATTAAGCAAAAAACGCTAAGGAACGATTAGGTTCGTTGAACTTATTAAAAATCGCAATAAAAAATTTATTGACTTCGAATAAATATTTCTTTCAACACTGTCTAATAAATCATTTATTTGAAACTAATAATATTGATTTAATATGACAAAATATTTATTTGATATAAGAAAATCTTTCAAAACAGAGATAAATAAATATTTATTAGTTTAATAATTTTTGTTCAGTGCCTATAAAAGTAAAGAATTCAAGTCGAGAACGGGACAAAAAGCGCATTCATTTTTAATAGAGAAACTCTCGATACACGAGAGCTGATCGAGAGTGCATAGTGCAAGGTGCAAGTGATGCAGGTCTGTGTATGGTCGGACGAATCGAGTTACGGAAACGCATTAAAGCTGCCACGTTTGATTTACACTTGAAAGCAATCTGGCAAAAGCGACACGCAATCTGCAATGTTTGCTCTTACTCGTGATTCTCATGTTCTACGGAAATTAAAAACAAAGCGAGTAAATTTAGTTTTCGTTTAAAGAATTTGTTTCATAAAAGATGGAGCCGACAAGGGAGAAAAGACAGAAAGGTCAATCGGCGAACGCGAATACAGATATATATATATATATATATATATATATATATATATGAATTTATGTTAGCTATATCTCTTAACAAGAACTTTCAGGTCTGTACTAACTTGGTTTAGTGTTTTAAAGAGCAAAGTAGGGGGTATAAACTTACTGTTTCTCATTGAAATAGTTCTCGTGAATTTACGCAGCTACTGCATTCGAGTTCTACTCGCACACATCCTTTCTTCTTACTGTGATTTATAGTATTAAAGAACTCTTTTGTCTTCTATTATAATAGAAGTCGAGAGATATCTTTTGTGTGCGACACAAAATTTTTTTATTAATACTACAGAAAGACTTAGCGGTTATTTTCCTTTGTGCTTTATCGGTCATCTCAATTCTCGATTTTTACATCTCGCCTATATTATATATTTGTTCTAAAAGAAAGATTTTAATTTTTCTGCTTAGGTATCAGAGCACTTTAGATAGCATATAAATCTTTTATTTGTGGAATGGCGTTATTTTTATCTTCGGTCAAACGAAACGTTTGAAATGTAGAAAATCGTGATTGTGTAAGAACCGTTCGGTGTTAATAAAAACTGTAATCAGTTTCCGGTACGGACATCGGCCTCTGCTATTTCATTACAAGCAGTTTGATTGCTTTTCGGGGGCTTCTCGTCTGAAGAGACTGCGATTGTTTATCGATTTCTCGTAACCGGAAAATTTTTCCGTTTCCTCGTCATTCGTTACATCAACTCTTGCATTAGATGCTACCGGGTGTTTTAATTAATTACTTGTATTTCCCATTGTTAAACCTCGTCGATTGTTCCAAGTGTCTCTTGGGGATTTTGTTTGCACACGTAGTTTATTTTGTTGACCGAAGTCAACAAGTTGTGTGAAATGACGTAGAATAATTGGATTACTTACGTGTCGCAAAATACAAGTTACGTGCTTCTCCTTCTGGACGATAAAGTTACGGTCTTTCTCCACGAAACGATAAAAGGGAATTTATTCTACTGTCGTTTCGTCACATTTTATTATCTCGCGAACCCACGAAGTAATATACGACTTTGGATGTAGTAATAACCATCAAGAGATACGAGGAAGACGTGTTCTTTAGTGCGAAAAAGCATGTTTGTAGGAATTGCAACAATCCTTGTGAAAGCCTTTGTGACAAATTTATATAAGAAAATTTGTTATATTAATCCTGCACAGTGACACAATTTAATTGTATGACGGTATTTCTTTAATAATAATTTTTTTAATTCTATAAACTTTGACATTTTTTAAAGTGTGGTTCTCTCTCTTTCTTGAAAATGTTAAAAGAAATATAATATAATTTAAATTAAATTTAATTTAATAGATAATATAATTCCAAAAAAATTATTTTAAAAGATAAAATATTAGTTAACAAAATCGGTCGCTACTGCGAAAATATATTTCTCTCTTGTTGGAAGTTGCTAAAAAGATGACTTTGTTGTCTCCAAGCGTGAATAATTTCGCAATTTTCTACCACGATACACGATAGAAATATTGAAACATCGGTGATATCCCTGGAGTATTCGCATAAAAGGGATGGAAATGTAACGACGCCGAGAAAGGAAAGGAAAAAAAGCGATCCTCATTGTCAGATTAATATCTTAATCCTGCAATTTCCCGATAGGAATGTCTTTGTCGACGTGAGGGACAAAGACAAAAAAAGAGAAAGAGAGAGAGAGCTACTCTTATCGGGATTATCTGAGCATGATTAATGAACTCGCAATCGATCGCTTATCATTTTTTACCCGACTTCTATTCTTTCATCTCTCTTCTATAGTCGATAATAATTGAACGATAATAAGATCGTAATTTAATCGTTTCACTGTACTTTCATTCTGTTAAAACACGATAAATAATTCAGAAAATATCAAAAGGTGAAAAATATATCCGAGGCAATTGTATTATGAAATATAGAATTGTAGGAATTTAATAAAAGCAGAGCTATCGTGCAAAACAAGATAAAATTCATAAAATGAGAATAGATATACATATAAAAATGCATAATATATGCAAAAAATTTTTTATATAATTATTATTATATTTTATATAATTATATATTTTATATTTTAATTATAATAATTATATTTTATATAATTATTATTATAAATTTTATATAATTTAAATTTATAAATATTTTAATGCTTTATATACTTGTTCTCTTATCTCTTTCTTCTTATTTTATTCTATTCAAAAATGCGACGGGTTTGTGATGAATGAATAATACATTAATTTAATCGGCGGGAAAAATGTAAAGTTCCTCAAATAGATTATATTTTATTTTATTTGCCGCATTCTACAATATTTCACCTCCTCGCGGGAAGGATTTTTTTCATGTAAATTCCAGCCACATAACGATATTTGCCGTAATAATCTTAATGGGCCATAGACATAATGTTCTTCCAGGCGAGACTGTGGAGTAATAAACCGCACAAGTAATAAAAATGGGACAATAAAAATATTAAATATGATTCCCTATAGATTATCTTGCAATTAGCTGTTGCATATATTTTATATGCATAATTGAAATATTTTCAGCCGTTGTGAATTTTTTCATCAGAAAATATAAAGAATATATATTGTATATGAGGGTGGAGTACAAAAATTTATTTTTTCGCGATTTGAGAGCTCTCGATATTTTAAGAAATAAAAAAGTAGTTACTAAAAATGAAATATATCTTCCCAAATAAATTTATACGCTGAACCTATATAAAAGTATAGTTTCGTTCGATATTTCCCATTCGTTTCGGCTTATAAAGTTCGCCCGTGAGTTTTATAATTTTTTTCGCGTTTCTAAAATAGACCGACTATTCCGTCCGATAAGGCAAATTTATCTTCCTCAAAAGACGAGGACGAGGTATTTGCTCCAGCGATCAAACAGCGAGTCAAAGAAACGTAAATTGCGAGGTCTTCATTATTGACATTGTTTTTATAGAGTGCACATAAAACGCTCTTTCATTTTTCTTCTTTCCCCATCTCTTAAAGATGTATTCTTTAAAGTGATGGATCGAAATTCGTACAAACATTCTTGGATTTAACATAAATTTGCGTGCGATTAATTTATGCATGAATCTTGTTTTCCATCCACAAAGGGTTTTCAAGATATCCTCTTACCCTTTTTTCTCCGGTAATCTGTGAAAATTTGCGTTCGTGATGTTTTGCGTCAAGTAAAACAAAGTTTTTTTTTTTTTAATTAAGCGACGCTACCAGAGTGAAATGTATACGTAGATCGTGTTATTAAAGTGGATCGTTGGGGTCTTTTTTATTTTTACAGAAGACGCAGGCGATTTCCAAGGTGACGACTCCTCGGATTATACAGACAATGCTTTGGAGAGTCTGATGCGAGCGGCGCAAAAGTGAGTGGATTATCTTACTTGTCAATCCCGGTTTCATCTTCCCTTTTCACCGAATTCTCCTCTCATACAGCCCTTTCCTGTTTCCGTAATTTTTCCCTCCGGCTGCCTGTTGCGGAAAATTGCATGCATGCTTTCCACGGACGATGTAAAAAAAAGTTTAAAAATAAATTCTTCTCTCGTAAAAAATCTCGCGAAATTAATTTATTATTGATAGAGCGAGTCCCTTATTACGCGTATACACTGAAAAAAAATTATTAAATTCGAATAAATATTCATTTCAATATACTCTGCCAAATGAATGATTTATTTGAAACTAATAATATTGATTTGATGTGAAAAATATTTATTTGACATAAGAAAATTCTTTTCAAAACAAATAAATATTTATTTGTTTCAAATAAATCATTAGGCAGTATTAAAATAAATATTTATTTATTTAATAATTTTTTTAATATAAAAAAATAGAATGCGTGTGTAAACCTTTCTGATGTTCAAAACTTTGACGTCTGTCGAGAATTACATAGAGATGCGGAAAGAAAATACGGAAATAAAAAAGTCGAGATAAGAGTCTTTTATTCGCGCGATCCCCGGAGAAATCTTTCGCGTATATAGTGCAACATCGCGTTATTTTCATAGTGCATATAGTGTATATGTGTTTGTGTCTATGTATATGAATGCACGCGAATATATCCGCGAATATCGAACGCTATGCGGTTTCCCATCGGTTAGTGATGGACGACAAGACAAGAAATTTCAAGATCTTGTCTTGATTTTTCAAAACGAAATCACAAATTTTTTGTACTTGATAAAATCGAGACGAGACAAGATTTGTACTTCAAGATCAAAGCAAGACAAGAAAAATCAATCAAGATTCTTGATTCTTAATAACTGAAACTACAATTATGTATACATTATTATATACGTAATTTTAATTATTTAATTGTAGTTATATATATATGTATATATATATTATCGAGGTTATTTAACATTGCAAAATTTAAATTGCTAAAAAACAATAAATTTTATAGTTTTATTGAAGTCTTTTAAATTAAAATATAAAAAGCGGCTCCTTGAAATTTAAAACAAGTATTTATTGTTGGGCTAAATGAGCTTAAATAAGTTAAATTCGTGAGTTACATCAGTAATGCTATATAATTATTTAAGAACAAATTTTGACTTTAACATCCAGATCGAAAACAAAAATAAAAATAAAATGATATAACTAGACAGAAATTTTTATTTAATAAAAATAATTCTATTACTATAATAACAATTATATTACTTAAGCTTTAAATTTTAATAAAACATTGAAATATAAATATTTATATAGCGATATACTATACAATACGGTAATACCGTGTCTTTTATTATTTGTGATATTCATATTTATTTTTTATTTTTATCAGGAATACACAATTTTATGTTTAATAACATTTCATAAATTTTTCTCTGTGTTTTTAGTAAACATTTTTCCGTCACAAATCTTTTTTTCGATAATTTTTAAAAATAATAAAAGATGTTTAAATATCTATATAGATATTATAAAAGTATCAAGAATCTTGCAAGAATCAAGACAAGAAATCGACTATCGAGATCAAGCATATCCTCGTCTTGAATCCATCACTGCCATCGGTTTCCCTCGCTTCATCCCTCTCGATGTCTCGGTGTCTCGAAATGTCATTTTCTCGATTCCCCTAATCTCGAGTAGACGTTCCTCGTTGATATACCTGTACAGACGTGCTTGCATAAGACGAGGAGGCAACTGCGATCACCGGCCGAAGGACTGCTGCTACAGTTCCAGCTGCCGCTGTAATCTCTGGGGCTCCAATTGCCAATGTCAACGGATGGGTCTCTTCCAGAAGTGGGGCTAAACACGTTAGCCCTTTCTCTCCCTTTTTCCACCCTTCCAACCACTGTCCTCTCTTCCGCTCTGATGAGTCTTCCTACGCGCGTCTCGCGCGTCAACTTTCCCACTTTCTTTTTTCCCATCTTTTTTTTTCTTTCCCTTGTCTCTTTATTATACGCAGGAGATGATCCCGGACGACGATATCCCACTTCTTCTCTTCGCGAGCACACTCGGACGTTCCTCCCGTACAATTTAACCCCCACCCGATAAATATACATATACATATATATCTGTCCCGTGGGAATAATTCTCTAATGTGTCTTCAGCATTGATGCTTATATCAATTTACAATCTCGACTAGAACGAAGGCCTCGATGATTACGCTTGACTACTCTTTTTTTCTGGTTTTCTTAGATCCCTTTTAGTCGCGCATATAAATACGATTAAATTGGAGCAGATTAGCTCTCGAGAAAATCTTTGAATGCTTTATCTTCTATACTAACGTGCCAGTCTCTCCCTCGATACTACCTCTCTCGCGATATTCAATTTGTTCGAGGACCGGTTGCGCCAATTATAATTTAATTAAAAATCGTTAATGTCTTAACGATTTAAAAAGAATAAAATATGTAACGCCGAGAGTAAAACATTTAATATGATAATTCTCACGAGAATCACGATCTTCGTGAGAATTATCATATTAAATGTTTTACTCTCGGCGTTACATATTTTATTCTTTTTATCGTATTCGTTATTTATTTATCAAAAATTCTCTTCCCTGAAATTTCCGCTTTTGAATTTTTTATCAACGAAAGTCGTCGTCGAATCGGAGCAGAAAGTGGCAAATGCACGTATTTAAAGAACCTTTTTGCAATTCGGTCAGATCTTTCGAACAAAAAAGAATACAGCCATGAGAATATATTATATCTGCTTTTTAAATGTTATCACTTTCGCTTAACGCTGGCAAAATAAATTTCGAAATAACTGATCTCACGAATTTTGCTATTCAATCTCTAAAATATATATGTGATAAAATTGAAAATTGCGTTGACTTCGTGACGACAACTTTTTCATGAAAGAACTTTGATTGGAGAGAAAAAGTTTATATCGTTTATATCCTCCCCTAGAGCATAAAAAAAATTTTTTTTTAATTAAACTATATAAATAAAGTATTGTAAAAAAATACCTTCGAACTAACATATACATATGTCAAAATATTGATACAAAATTGTCAAACGTATTTTTAAATTGTATCGCAGTTTTGATCTGCCGCGCTGCTTCCTTTCGACGATCCTTTCGGATTTTCAAGAGTTTATCTACAGAGAATCTATATAGCTCGACTCTCCCGTTATGAATAAATAAAAATCCACGAAAAATCTCAACTATCTTACATACGAGAAATGTGATTCTCTTCTCACGGAGAATCAAACACGATTCTCTCTCGTATATCTATGGAACTTCGCAATCTTTCTGGACGGGACGGAAAACGAGATTCCAAGGAAAAACGTAAGCGAAGAGATGCCGCGATATATATATATATATATATATATATATATATTTATATATAAATAAAATTACGGGAACTACTGCTCTCTGATTGGAGATATCTCTCCGGCCACTTTCGCCAATCAGATCGTCGGTGTTCCTTGCCTCGATCACTCCGTCGAGAATGATTGCGAATAATTGATGGGGTAATTAAGATTCAATGTAACGGGAGAGAGATTTCTTCCGCTCAACCACGGAAACGACGATCAAGAGAATTATTGTATAGTCGTCTCAGCAGAGAGATAATTAATATGTATATGTGGTATATCTAAAATGACGGCGATTTTATTTAAAAGCATATACCTCTTGAGCGGTATATATATACATATATATATATATATATACATATAAATATAGATACAGATGACATGCAATCTACATTTTCTCTGTACCCCGCCTCTTGAAACTTTAAACACATTACTTACTTATATGTATGCATACGAATTATAAAGTATAAATACTACAGTAATAAATGTTATGCATTGTACCCGAAGGTGGATGTACACGTATACCGATATACATATATATATTTCATGGAAATATAATATATATATTATGTATGTAAAGAGTATAGAGTATCTCTATTTTGTTTTGCGCGACGTTGACGATTTAATTTGCCGTTTTACTTTCATTTCGAAACCCTCTCGGGACGAGCGCGACTCATTTCCAGACTGGTAAGTACAGATTAATACCCTTCCCGATTAAAATACAAGAAGGAAGCGCTCGCAGCGAGATTTAAAGGAATATAAATAAAAGACACCTTTTTTGCACCTGCCGAGCCAATCGAGAAGCTCCGAAGTCACGTCGAATGACCTCTTCCCTCGCCAGGTCGCTGTGGGATAACGTCATGCTAAACCCGCAGGGTCAAGTAACTGGATCGTGACGTATGATTTAACTCGCAACGTGATTTTCTCTTGCAGTGAAGGATTACCGAGGCAAATTATATACTCATAACCTTTCGTAGTTCCTGCCGTGATTTAAATCCACCTAGACTAATAAGCCCTCCCGCGAAATCGATTAGTTACAAATGCAAACATTAGTTACAAACTCGTTCATTACCAATTAAATGATATCTCGTTTCTCGCATATTTCGTTATTCTTATTTGATTTTTTTTAAATATAACGCACGGTTCTCTCCGAGCGACTTAGAGAAGAGCGTTTAATTGTCAGATTTTTTTAATTGTCAATTATTGGCGCGATTTTCAATTAGATTGCAACTGACGGTGTAAAAATAAAATTAAAAGACGAATAAGATTTTTGTTTTACGGTTAATTGCGTTTGTGGAAATTCTATCAATAGCTTAACAGAGACGCGAAGAATTATTGATGACCGGATACATGGAAACAAATGACGTTATTTCCCGCTTTAGCCTCTAGCATCTATAGTCCTATACAGAATAATGCGCGTCCGATGCCTAGGGTTACATACCGTGGGTGTACAATGGAAATCTACTTCGTTCGGTTTCGACAAAAATGCAAATTAATGGTTAGTATAATAGCTCGAGGATTTTTAATAATTATCTTGTTTTGAAAAATCGAATACAGCCACGATTTAAGATCTTATTCAACTTTGCGTAGGCTGTTTTCGCATCAGTCGGCAAAAGTACAAGTAGTTTTGTTAAAAAATAAAATTAAATTATAAAGAAATTTAATAATTATTACGCTCGTGTAAATTAAAAAATTAATAAAAAATAGGCCAACTGTTTTTTTTTTTTTTTACTGAGTACAGTCGAAACATTTACCTTTCAATTATATGTTAAGATAAAAATTATTCAACATTAAAAATTTCCTTGCTCGTATAACTGGTCTATTTTTTCTCATTAATTTTTAAATGATAAAAAGCTAATAAAGTGTAAAAAATTATGCGAAATCTCATTAATTAATAGATAACGATATCCGTATTTTTCATTTCGCACGCTGCGTTCAATCTTCTCCCACGTCTATCGTTCTACAAGATAAGACGGAAGAACCGACGAGCGGGAACGACAGTCGATCATAGGTTCCACTAATCGAGATACACGCATCTGTAAAGCCACGTCGATCTCGATCCCGATTTCTTGCACGGGAGAGAAAAGAGGGAGAGAAGAAGGTTAAACGAGTTAACCCTCGCTTCGGAACCTTCGTGACCCGCGTCCTGGGTCCGAGTCGACTCCGTGTCGTAAATAATCTCTCGGTGGTAATGCACCGGGTGTTCCGGACATATACACTCTTAGAATACTTTGTCCCGTAACCGTATTGATTCATCGCTCTCTCGGAAATGTCAAAAGATATATATATATGTATTCTCTGAGAATGTATTTGCGGGCAAAATTGGAACGAAATTGAATTGATAAGACAAACGACTTTTATTCCGTCGAGGTAAAATGCCGATTTATAAAGAATAGTAGCGAAGTAACATTTGTATTTCGAGAAAATCTATTCTTCTCGCAAGATGTGACGGTCACTTAAGAATAAGTGTTCATTAATCAAATCATCAAAATTATTCATTTTAATTGTAATATGTCTCTTTTTGTATAAAACTTGCCATTATTTTGCGTCATTTTTATTAAATTTATATTTTCTAAAGAAAAATATCCGTAAATGTATATATTATATTATACACATTTACGTCATATATTATATGTATCTTAATATAAAATAAGGAATATATACTACGAGAGAAAAAGAGAAAAAGAGAGACTTTATAAGATACATAATATATGATGCACATAATATTTACAAACATTTTTATTTAGAAAATACAGACTTAATAAAAGTGTAGCAAAAAGTAATGATGACCTAATAAACCTTATACGGAAGAATTAATATCGTCTCTGTTCGCTCTGCACATTTTAATCTTCAAGTAAAGAAACTTTGCACTTTATGATTACACGTTATTAATATTGTTAACTATAAGTTAATAAAACGAGTTAACGTTCGCGTTAATTCACACGCATTTATAGCGGTCGAACAAAAACATTTGACGATGAGATTATTCTCCAACGGGAGCGTCTAAATTATAAATAATTTCACTAATGAGCAACAATTAGGGATAATCCGTATGTGTGTCGGTGATGCAATGACAGCGTCGATGAATTCTTATATCTAACGGAGCACGTTTGCTCCGTTCTATTAGGCACACGTAGGTCAATTTGTCTTTCTAGAACGTGGCGTGTGTTGTAATTTGTACAAAATACACTATGCTCTTAAGAGCTCTGCGACGCATAATTTTTTTTCACATCATTTTCGACGCATGATTTTTACTTTCCCATTTATAAGGTATAGCGAGAGATAAAAGAGAGAAGAGCATCGTTCGTGACATTTAATTATAACTTTGAACAATATCTTTCTCCTTGCTTCAACTTTTGTTTTGTTGTTCTTGCGAACAGTGTTGCGCTTAGATAATTTAAAAATTAGCTAGATAAAGATGAGATGAAGGAAAGATGTAATGCAAAGATTTTGTTTTAAATATATATTTAGATGAAAGATAAAATTGAATGACAACTCATCTAGATAATTTCCAGGTAATATTATTTTTAAGATTAGTTTACAGTTATAAAAAAATGTGAATTATAAAAGAAATATTAAAATATATTACTCATATTTTAATAAATTATCAGTTTTTACCGCTTCTTGCTTAATTTCTCTTACTGAAATATTTTTATGCGCTACGACTTTAAATCAAATTACATGAACATTATTCTAATTTAGTAAAGGTAACATTTTTCCAGGTAATATTATTTTTAAGATTAGTTTACACAGTTATAAAAAATGTAAATTATAAAAGAAATATTAAAATATATTACTCATATTTTAATAAATTATCAGTTTTTATCGCTTCCTGCTTAATTTCTCTTACTTAAATATTTTTATGCGCTACGACTTTAAATCAAATTACATGAACATTATTCTAATTTAGTAAAGGTAACATTTTTTTCAAATCTAAGATGCAGATATAAATAATATATATTTTTATAATACAAAATTGTATCTAGGTGCTCATCTATATAATCTGATCTAGATAACAGCAAACACTGCTTGCGAATAATCGCGCAATCATTCGGCGATTCATTCGCGGAAGAGTATCGTGAAGATTCGAGACGAATGTCTTAGGCTAAAAAGAATCGAGTATCCCCGATTACGTAATAATGCCGAGTGAAAGGAGAGGAGGACGGCACGGTTCTCTGGACTATACGAAAGGACGTAATATCACTCCGTCGGAGAGTTCGACGACACGATCAGGGAAGGAACCATAATCTCTGTGGATCACGTTCTGCACGAGATGGTTCAACGAACTTGGATCTCTCGCGAAGCGGGGCCGCACTTTTCGGTTTCGATTTTTCAAGCATGGGGGAAGAGGTACACAGGATCATATTGGATGGAGATTAAAGAGAATTTTCTCAAGGATAACAATTCATCCTGCGATCTCGAGCATGATGTCCCGTTAATGATTATTATCGTGCGATAATTCAATTTCTTGCAGCGCCTTTATAAGATCGGATTAACTTGGATTCACTAATAATTTCAATGTTGAACAAAGTATCTATTTCACGTTGAATCTAAAATTAAAGATATTACCTTTCAAAAAGAGTGAATCTTTTCCTGAGAAATTACATTTTTTTTCATTAAATTTCTTTCTCCCTGAATAACTTGATTTCTCCAGATAAGCAGCTCTGGGCGGATTTTATTACAACTGGTGTTTCGTTTCAAAGAGTATCTTTTCTTTATGTCATTATTGCTGCTGTAACATTTTATTGTACCGGTGTCAAATCGAGCCTTTGTATCGTAATACCATAAGCGTCAATTTATTACTCGCTTTGGCTATCGCCGATCGGGAGCGAGCGAATCGTTTTCCATCCAACACGTGCTTTAACAATAACGTGAGTAACGATCGAGCGGTCGTCGAGAACGCGTTGATAGACGCACGTAAAGTCAGTGAACAAACAGATAAAATCGCGGATACCAAAAGACAATACAGTTTGCGGTTCGCACATACTTATTGGAACGGGAAAGCCGATTGGCTTCGGTGCTTTAATCCTTACGGCAAACATCTTGACATTCTCGTGCTCTAACATTTTATCCAGGACTATATATCAGTATCTCACGATGCATATTATAATAATAATAATAATATTATGAGAATCCATCCATTATCCATGATTCAAACTTTTCTAACATGAAAAAAGATATTAGTTATCATGGCTAAATTTTAAGTGCTCTTATATTATACCTGAAATTTAGTATCATGTTTATTTTAAAGGGAATTCTAAACACCATTTTGTCGATAAAACATCATTTTCGCGCACTCTTTTTTTTGTATTGGTTGAATAGAATAATAAATGCTTTTCCACGATTAAAGTACATATAGAAACAATGCGCAAACGATTTTATATTAAAAGCGAAAAAAATTTAATTAAAACATTAAAAATTTATTTTGTTCCTCACAAAATCAATAGGTTCGAACTTTGTTTTTATATATACTTTAATCGCGGAAAGACATTTATTATTCTATACT